GAGAGAGATTGATTAGAGAGAGTGATGAGACGATGAGAGGAGAGAGCGAGAGAGGAGAGAGAGAGAGAGTATGAGAGAGTGAGACGAGAGAGAGAGAGAGAGAGAGAGAGAGAGAGAGAGAAGCAAAACGTCTGTTGCTTTCGTATTGCACCCCAGGTACTGAGCACGAAAACAGCTGACGACGTCCGGAGAATCGACCAGTCGAAAAGGTGTGTACACACTGATTACTACCACACCAGACAAGGCAGACAGTCTGAACAATTGTTCAATCTTAAAGACCCATAGCAGGTTCAGCTCTTTGATGCGATGTCGTCAAGCAGACGTGGGAAAACAGCGAGCAAAGACGCATTTGTGTTGGACAATATACGAAGATACCATGGAAGTGATCCGCTTGACTTACACACAAATGAACATCCACACGCGAACATCCAGCCTCTCTACGCCTCACTCGATGGGGCGGCCGCTGTCTGAGTGAGTGAGCTGCTTAGCAACACGGCCAATCTCAACCATCAGCTATTTGGCACTCCAAAGCCCGGGCCCCGGCATCGCAGTAGAAGCGGCACGCAAAATGGGCGCGTTAAAACAACTACACAGCGGTGGGACCGTCGCGTCAAGTAAAACAAACGCCGCTGCCGTGGCGTGGCGAATGCTGACACCGCAAGTGCACGGCGCCGCCGGTAAATGGCACAGTACATATATCTGCCAAAAAGAGTACGCAAAAAGGGTCGGTGACGGACGGCATAGTGCTCACTAGCACCGCAAGCACCCTACAAAAACAGCCTCCCAAAGCGACTGCCAATGCCGTGGTGACCAGGGCGCGAGTCTTGTCCACGCGTCGGCTGCCAGCACGCGAGCGTCACGCTGAACACCGCCCGCAGCCTCGAGTATTGATCAGGGACGGCGGAGGCGGGACCGCGGCCTCGCGCCATGTCCGGCGGCTACAGGAGATCGCCGAGAGACAGGCCGCGCGTCATGTGAAGCTCTCGCGACCACGGCGGCAGCGCGCCGCAGGGCAAGCCCAGATCCCGCAATCCAGACATTCAGAAGCGTCGCGTCTCGAAATGCGCCAAGGCGCGTCAATACGAATCATCAGCTCCAAGCCTTGATGTCAACTTGCCCCACACAACATTGCCACAATGGAGACTATGGAGATGGCTGGTAATGCCCACCAGGAATCGGACGACGCTCATGACAATGACCACGGCCTCGCGGTCATCGTGCGCTGCCATCTATGAGCGGTTGGTAACACTGTCGGCTGGCACGGGCGACGGCAGGCGGCGCTACGCGTCTGCGTGCTGCAGCGGGTCGGAGGGCGCCGCGCCGGCGAACACCACCGCCGGCCTGCCGTTCTCCGGCGGCAGCAGGTTAGTCATCTCCGAGCTGCTGGCGCCGCCGCCGTCCGCGTACGTCGACTCGTACACGGGGTTGGAGAAGTTGGTCGGCTGGGGACGCGTAAGGACACGCGGTCAGCCACACCCAATGGTTTACGTGAAACAACACTTTGGGGGCGAATATGGCGTGTGCAACAATAACGATGATGATCAATTCAGCAATGGAAACGTGTGGAAAAGGGGTCTGAACCGAGCAAACCTGACATCTAAGCTCCCGCGAGTCGAACTTGAGGACAAAAGTTACGTTCGTCTGACCATACGCCGCCTCATACAGCACTCAGCTGAAGACGGCGTGTGAATGAACACCGTATCGCTGATGAAGTGAGCCCTAGTTGGTGAGACCATCCCCCCTCCCTTGGCTTCTTCGTCTATTGACCGGCGACAACAGGGCTGGTCCCACTTGGTTAGCCCACATGAGTAGTACTCAAAAAGCCAGCAAACGTATCCGCGTGATGAACCTATTGAAACTCCAGCCTCGAATCACAGGAGAGCGATAACTTCTGGTAGTGTTACAGTAGTAACATATGCTACATGTACTTCAGTAGTAACAACTTGGGATGATGTGCCGGCATCGCTCTCTACCTTCTCCTCTAAACTGAAGACGGCGTCTATGTCTTCATCTTCGTTTGCGTCGTCGCGCGCCTCGAGGTCGCGTAGGTACATCGGGTTGTCGACCTCTAGCTTATCGTTTCGCATCCGAGTATGACTGAACGGCATTCTGGCGAAAGCACGCAAGCACACACGTAAATACACCCGCAAACGCAAAGACAGCAATAATAAACGTAAAGCTACACACAAGTCGAAGCCACCTGTCACCCCGTCGTCACGAACGAAACTGCAAGCAGGTCGGGTAACTTGAGTTGGCGCGGTACGTACGCGGAGGCGCAGCATACCCCACGCCACCGTGTGTTCCCGAGCAGTTGGTGGGAGTTATTCGGCAACATCACGCCGCCTGGCGTCTGGTTTCAGGTTGGTCGTCGCGTCCCTTCTCGCCAGGGGTCGCCCGTCTAGTTTTGCCAGGGGTCGCCCGTCCAGTCTCGCCAAGGAGTCACCCGTCCAGTCTCGCCAGGGGTCGCCGTCCAGTCTCGCCAGGGATCACACGTCCAGCCTCGCCAGGGGTCGCTGTCCAGTCTTGCCAGGGGTCGCCGTCCAGTCTCGCCAGGGGTCGCCGTCCTGTCTAGCCAGGGGTCACCCATCCAGTCTCGCCAGGGGTCGCTGTCTCACCAGGAGTCACCCGTCTATTCTTGCCTGGGGGCGCCCGTCCAGTCTCGCCTGGGGTCGCCCGTCGTGCCAGCAGCGACACCTGCTACGCATCGCACCACGGGACCGACGTCCCGACTACAGCGGGTACCACAGAACCGACATCCCGACTCCCGCGGCTACTGCCCCGGGCACGTGAGACACAGTCACACACGAGAGCGACGCGTTATCCCGCAAATGGACTGGACTGAAGGCAGCACAACACATGCCTTTCACACAGCAGCGGGGGAGGGGGTTCGCAGCCCAGCTCGGCCACCCGACCGACAGACTCTGTGTGCGTCTGTACGATGGCGAGTGAGGAGTCCGTGTTACAGACCGGTGCCGTCTGTAAGGGGGCCGGAAGGCTCTCCACGTCATTGACCGGTGCCGTCTGTGAGGGGACCGGGAGGCTTTCCACGTCACTGACCCGTGCCGTTTGCGCCAGAGGACGAGGCCGACGGCGGCCAGCAGCGCCAGAAGCACGACCACCACGGCCACCACCACGCCGGTGACGACAGAGTGGATGTCGCTGCCGTCCGCGGCGGTCAGCGACGACACAGGCCGCGAACAGCGCGTGCCCACGAAGCCCGGCGCGCAGCTGCGGAGGGGGCCGAGACGGGTCAGATTGGTTGTGAGACGCCATACACGTGATACAGTGCGACAGGTCGTGAGGCCGCGCAACGGGCTGGAAAACACTGGGAGTGGCGGAAATACTCCGTTCGTAGTGCTGTGTGGAGTCGCAAAACACACTGGTAGATTGTGGAACACTCGGATAAACTCTGAGATCCTCTGGGCCAAAGGGCACTCGATGAGTCCGCTGAGCAATAAGAGACACCGCGGGCACTCAGAGGGGCTGCAGAGCACTTAGACGGGAACAGACCCTGAGGATGTCATGCTGGGCTGTGAAGCACTCAGAGGGACTCGGCACCACCGGAGAGCAGCAGCCAGCCGGCACTCACTGGCAGGTGGGCTGCTCGTCGTCACGTCTGGCCGGCTCGCAGTCGGCGCCGTTGAAGCAGTAGTGCCGACAAGAGAGCGGCCGCTGGCAGCGGTCGCCGGCCCAGCCGGTCGGACAGCGGCAGCGCGCCTCACCGCCAGCCTCCTCCTCACAGGCGCCGCCGTGCAGGCAGAAGCCCGGCCGGCAGCCGTCGGCGCCCGGCGGGCGCACCTCGCACCGTCTGCCCGAGAACTGGTCCGGACATCTGGCGATGGGGCGGCTGGGTGAGGGGAGCAGGCGACGACCCGGGCACGGGGCACAGCACGAACCACCCCAGGCCAAGACACTCGGTATGGGACAGCCGGGGACGCGAGGACAGAGAGCACCGCCAGCCACCGACAACCCGGCGGCAGCGTCCGCCGAGCCGCGGTACTCCGGTCAGCACCCGCTGCCTGTCCGCTTTAGACGACACGCGGCGCACTCAACGGACGCCGGTCACACGCAGGGCTGTAGCCACGCGACGCTAAGGCACTGCCGTCGTCCTGACAAAGGCGCAACCAAACGCATCGCTCACCAGGGTAGCTGACTTCCCACTGCCACTGGCCGAAATGCCGTCCTAGACGGCACCCGCAGCCCCAGTAATCATCTACACACACTGAGCAAAGACCACGAGTCGTGACCCCCAGCCTGCGGACGGACAATTTCTAGCGGAGGCGGCGGTCCACGTATTCTCCGCTATTGCCCTGCAGCGGAGGTGCTGTGTGCAAACGCCAGTCTGGATGTTCTAGTGTACAGTACTGACCTGCAGCTGTGGTCGTCGCCGCTCTTTTCAAGGGTGCCGCCGTTGAGGCAGAAGCTAATGGCCTCTTGCCAGGAGGGCACGACGGCCGTGCCGACACACAGCTCCTCCGGCCGGGAGGAGCCTGTAGCAGGCGAGGGAGCACGGGTCACCGATCAGACCTCGCTCACAGAAACACGCGTACAAACGTCCCCGGGACCCGCAGACAGACGACTGGCCGTACAAAAGCTAACATCGGCCTGGGCCCACCGCAGGCAGTCATATGTGTCGATCCGAAGTCGGTTTCTTTCAGTTTCTTCTGGTTGAGTCGCTCGACATCCGACTTCCCGCACAGGAAGAGTCAAACCCGCATCGCTTTTTAGGAACAATAAACATCCAGCACTGTAGTGATAATGAGACAACCATACCAACACTGCCATGGTGGTCTGGACGCCGCCGCAGAGTCAACAGGGCTGCTGGCTCGAGCTCACCACATCACGACAGAGACCTCTGGCTCGAGGAGCCCACATCATCCCGGCCCACTGACCGGGGGGACAGCTGATACAGTCGTCACGGCGGCAGTCGTCCGAGCAGGTGCAGAGGTCCACCTGACAGTGGTCGCCGCTGTACCGCCGTCCGCAGGCGCACACCGGACCGGAAGCCGTCCGCGAGCAGTTACCTGCGGCGCCACGGCAGGAGCGGTCACAACAGACACGGCACGGCAGGAGCGGCCAACACAGACACGGTACGGCAGGGGCCACGACAGGAGCGGTCACAACAGACACGGCACATCAGGAGCGGTTACAACAGACACGGTACGACAGGGGCTGCCGACAGACACGGCACGGCAGGAGCGGTCACAACAGACACGGCACGGCAGGGGCCACGGCAGGAGCGGCCAACGCAGACACGGTACAGCAGGAATCATGGCAGGAGCGGTCACAACAGACACGGCACGGCAGGAGCGGCCAACACAGACACGATACGGCAGGGATCACGGCAGGAGAGGTCACAACAGACACGGCACGGCGGGAGCGGTCACAACAGACACGGCACGGCAGGAGCGGTCACAACAGACACGGCACGGCAGCAACGGTCACAACAGACACGGCACGGCAGGAGCGGTCACAACAGATACGGCACGGCAGCAGCGGTCATTGCAGACACGGTACAGCAGGAACCACTGCAGGAGCGGTCATTGCAGACACGATGCAGCAGGAACCATGACAGGAACGGTCACATCAGACACGGAACGGCAGGAACCATGGCAGGAACGGTCACAACAGAAACGGCTCGGCAGACACCGTCACAGCAGACACGGTACGGCAAGAGCCGTAACGGCACAGACGGAGTACACACACACAGTAGAATCGGGCGGCCAGAGGTGACACGATGGCTGAAAAACCAAACGAAGTGAGCTGGCGGGACAACAACCACGCATAACGAGCGCAAACGCGTTCAAACAAAGGACATCCGCACTCGGGGCAAGTCACATTATTGTACTTAGCGTCAAAAACGGCGTGCTTCGTACACACGTATTTACAGAACTAATCCAATTATGTCTGCCTAGCCACAGCAGGTTAGACACACACCAGGCCAGCCTGACGGGTCGGACAAGCGTCGACCAGGACTGAAGCCCAAGCCCTGCCGCCGACGCTTGGCTACAGGCGACCTAGGGTACGAGGTGGGCGTTACACACGCCACTGTGCGGTGGCGGCCATGAGCCGGGCTACCTCCTGCGCACGGAATGCTGCACAAGTCTGAGCAAGCGCGCGGACTGGTGTCGGGTCCAGGCGCGCCGCCACAGACTCGGGAGACGACGGCGCTGCCTACAGGCACGACCGGCGTTAGCACCGAAGCGCCGCCTCGGCCGACTGCGGCCGCGCAGGGGACCGCGGCCGGGGCGCGGCCGCTTACCGTTGTTGATGCAGTACTGGCGGCACAGATCCAGCTCGCAGTAGCGTCCGCTAAAGCCGAGCGGGCACAAGCAGCGCGGCTCGCCTCCCTCCACCGTGCAACGACCTGACGGGGCGGAGGGGCATCAGCGCCGGACAGGAATTACAAACGAGGTACCGAAATGATAGCCTGTACGTCGTGCAACTCAAGGAAGTGTCATGTTCCAGCCACCAAAACGTCATCCGTTACGACAGGCGTTCATCAGACACACGCCGACGGCATGGCGCCATGTCCAGAGACACGAAACTAAAGCAAAGGCAAGGACACCAGCGCAGCGACAACGCGACAAGTGCGGAGCGGTGATTATTCCATCAACGCCGGGGTAGGCTCAGTACAGATTGGTGGCAGCGAACGGACGAGTGACGGTGGGGCGCCGTGTCACCGCCGCTGGCCGGGGGCCCCGGCGACTGACCTGCTCCGCACGGGTGGTCGGCGCACGAGCCCGTTTCGCAGTGGGCGCCGCTCAGACCCGGCCCGCACCGGCACGAGGGTGCAGTGCTATCCGGGTCACGGTGGCATGTGCTGTTCCCGCGGCACTCGTGATCCACGCACTGTTCACACCGTGCGCCTGGTGGCCGCACACAGAAGCTGCACTACCTCCGCCCTCCAATAGGTGGTAGCACGGTTCACAGAGGTGCGGTAAGCACACGACGGACGGGGGATACCTTAGCGGGCTTTGAAATATTGATCGGTGGCAGTCATATCCAGTGCCACAGTAATTTGGGAACTCAATGTCCGATACACGCCAGCCACACTCTCTTACAACACAGTGGATCCGCTAAGCCCTCTGAAACAAGCTGATAAGCAACATGACACTGCCCCAAGAGTCCGCACATCCCCAAGACTGCTTTGTGATTGCTCCGCCACCTGTCCCTGGGTCACGTAGCTGCCTGCGGCGGCAGTGTGACGTCATAGTCCGTCTGCAGCGCCGCGTGACGTCACACACCTGTGAAGCCGGCCGGGCAGACGCAGACATCAGTGCCGTTGGCGCGGCTACAGGTGGCGCCGTTCAGGCATCCACGGCCCGAGCACGGGTCGGCCGGCGTCTGGCACCGCTGGCCCGTCCAGTCCGGCAGGCAGTTGCACTGCAGCAAGAGAGGCCATCGGCCGGTCAGGCAGCGCCCTAGCCGCTACGGCGTCCCCCGTGGGCTCGGGCCGAGCGGGGGCGTTAGTGCCGCCTCCGGCGCGACCCGAGACTCTGGTATGAACATCGATTAGGTATTCGTGACACCGTGAATAATGTAGTTGGCGGATGCAACGTATGGGGTGACGTCTGCAATTGCGTTTGTGTTTGCCCCAGTTTAAAGCGTCAGGTCTAGTTGGCAATCGTAACGTGTAGGGTTTCCTTAACAGTGTTCATGTTGTCAGAGCTTACAGCGTTAGACGGAGGCTGGGACTCGGGCTACGATGAAGAACATTGTCCCGACACCTCGTTAAGACGACAGGACCCGATCAAGACAGACGAAGCAATGCCGTCCAGGACAGGATGCCAGAGCACGAGACACGACAAGGGAGAGATGCCAACCAACACCCACGCGCACATCCCACTAGCATCACACAGTTTTCGAAACGGCAGCCGGGCCGACCGGACGCCGGGCGGCTGGCGGCCGGGCGAGAGCAGAATGAGACGGCGCGCGGAGACAGCCGGCCGGAAACGCGGCAAATGCGACGCTCACCGCCAGGTCCGGGCCGCCCGAGATGAGGTTGACGTAGCAGTAGCCCTTGTTGAGACAGTGGCCGGCGCAGCGGTCGCGGTCACAGAGTGCACCCTGGTACCGCGCCTCGCACACGCACTGCGGCACCGAGAGCGGCTCAGCCGGCGGCACGCCGTCCGGCGAGACATCTGGTTAACTGTCTCCGCACCGAAGCTTTGACGGTTTTCAAAAAAATGGCGCCGCCGTCTCAACGGCATGCGTTAGTTATAGCGGTTACTAGCGACGATGCCACCAATTCGTTATCCATATTTGTCCAGTTATATATACATACATACATACATACACACTTACATACAAACATACATATACGTAACTACATATATATATATATATATATATATATATATATATATATGTATATATGTATGTATGTATATATGTATATATATATATATATATATATATATATATATATATATATATATATATATATATATATATATAACGCGATATTTACAACATGACCACATGATGGACACCCCCGCCTCCACCAAGAAGGGATATGGTTTCACGTACCTTCAGGGTCGGCCAAACCCGTTATGAGCCTCGTGATTACCCCCCCCCCCCCCAAACATTAATCCTCAAAAGACCATGAATGGTCTCATCACCTCCGATCCCACACGTCCCGGGTCTGACCTGTTGGCTTCTCCATGACTACCCATGGCAAAGCCTGCGAATAACCCCGTCCCGACCAATAAACAGCCTCCCATTGACCGCCTGCCCCTGCCAAAGACCCCGGCTGACCCCGTCCAGCCGCCTGACCTACCCTGATCGACCGCCGCCATCACGTACCCGGGGTCCGGCAGGGCCGCGCCGGCACGTGCCGTGCACACACTCCAGGTTGCAGGGCAGCACGGGCAGCTGGCTGGTGAGCTGGCAGCGCAGCCGACCGGCCGCGTCCGGCACCTTCTCCGCACCGTGCACGCATACGCAGCTGTACCGTTTGTCCGAGGTCGGCACGCACAGGCTGCTGTTGCCGCACGAGTTCGGGCTGCACGGTGACGTCACTGCCAGGGGGCCGGGGACATGTCATCAGAATGGGCGGGGCCGGAGAGAGGTCGAAGGGAACGGGCGGCAATGAAGGATGACGTGTGAGCTTTGAGTGTGGAGCGGATGGCGAGGACGGGGTGGACGAAATGGTGGAAGGCGCGGTGCGGGCGCAGTGACGAAACATCGCGAACGGCATGCAGCACAGCACATGGGGGGGGGGGGGGGTATCTGACACGGAACAGACGATCTCGACGGGATCCACCCATCTCAGATTCGTGACCGGCTTTTGCCTGTTGCGAGTGATCGTCGGCAGGCGTGTCCGCCCGCCGCTAACACGGCAACAGCTGACACATCCGTCTCGGGTGTCATGGCGGCTAACTTCGGGAGTTCACGCCTCGATCAAGATCTACGTCACAGTTACGGGCGTGGTCCGGCTCATTGGACCACGCCCGTAACTGTCACGCATCGTGTCAATCACGGGCGTGGCCCTGCTCGTCGTGTCAATCACGGGCGTGGCCCTGCTCGTCGTGTCAATCACGGGCGTGGTTCTGCTCATCGTGTCAATCACGGGCGTGGTTCTGCTCATCGTGACAATCACGGGCGTGGTTCTGCTCATCGTGTCAATCACGAGCGTGGTCCTGCTCATCGTGTCAGTCACGGGCATGGTCCTGCTCATCGTGTCAATGACGGGCGTGGTCCTGCTCATCGTGTCAATGACGGGCGTGGTCCTGCTCATCGTGTCAATCACGGGCGTGGTCCTGCTCATCGTGTCAATCACGGGCGTGGTCCTGCTCATCGTGTCAATCACGGGCGTGGTCCTGCTCATCGTGTCAATCACGGGCGTGGTCCCGCTCCGTGGGGTCCCGGGCGTGGTCCGCCCCCGTTGTCGCGGGCGTGGTCCCGCTCCGTGGGGTCCCGGGCGTGGTCCGCCTCCGTTGTCGCGGGCGTGGTCCCGCTCCGTGGGGGTCCCGGGTGCGGTCCGCCCCCGTTGTCCCGGGCGTGGTCCGCCCCCGCTGTCACGGGCGTAGCACGCCTCCCGTGACAGTGACTGTATCACGCCCGCTGGCCAGGGCGCAGTATATTGATCGCACCAGCTGACGCTCAGGGCCAGTCGTGATCGGCCGCTGTTGGAAGCCGTCGTGGCCGTGCTCGGCGGCGCGCCGGACCCCCATCAGCAGGGCAGCCCGCCGGCCAGGTGCCCGCCCGGACGACCCCCACACGTGGTGCCGCCCGTCCGACGGCGCGCCTCGACGCCTCCGGCGATGCCCGATTGCTAATGGGAATCTGATCAGCTTGCTACGCAAATGTTATAGTGGGGAAGCATCGGAGCACCGTGCATGAGCGAGCGGACCTACCAAAGCTGACCTGCAGACCTACAGAGCGAGCAGGCCTACCACAGCTGATCGGCTCACGAGCGGGCTAATTTGTAGGCTTGAGCGCTGATACGTCGGCATCTGGTCATGTCTGGAGCTGGGACGCTGGAGGTGGACGTAAACACCATGTCCCGGTTCCAGTTCCAGAGAGATGGAGTCGCAAGTGCCGCGATGATCAACAAACCGATGATGTAATCACAGACACCCCTTCCTGGCCCGGGAGAAACCAGTTCTTGGCCAGGGCCATGCGCAAATGCTTATCACTGCACCGATGAGCTAGTAAATAAACGTTTACTGGACCGCAGCAGAACCGGGTATGAACGCTATATTACCGATCGGGGGATATCATGCAGAACGCCATTGGATAAGAGACATTTGATCTTGACACTTCTCATAATCGGTTAATTTCATCTTCAGCCATTTCATGGCATAGCTCGCGACATGTCGGTATCGTATAATTTCTCGGCCTTCAACGTGTCTGAGGCTATCAGAACTTGTTACGAATCGAGGTACCTACGATGAAATACTCACATTCCCCACAAAATGAGTAACAAAACAAAACAAAGTGAGTGTTGTTTTCTTGCACTCGTTTCGGTGAAGCCCTTCATCGACGCCGACGGGAACAGTTGACTAATTTCGCGCCAACGTAGTTCTCGATCTTGTCAGACATGCTGTGAACTTGCAAGGCTCGAGAGCCACCCCTGGATACATCACGACAAATGAGAAGTCTGCGACGAATGCGCACGGGGCCGACGGTCCGGCAGCACACCAGGCTCGGTCCCCTGCACCAGCCAGAGCTCCAGCACTCTCGACCCGCAGCGGGACGGGCCGGTTCTCCCACGCCGAGCCTGCCTCCGGAGCGGACAGGGGCGGCCGGCTTGGTCTGCGGAGGCTCGGACGGTGTCGGCCCCAGCGCTCGCTCCGGCCGGCAGCTTTTGGGTGTCACTGGGGTTTCACAACGCTTTCGGCTGCTGAGGCTAGATTAATGGCGTCGCCCGCCTCTCACTCAGGGAGGAAGGGCGGGCACCGCGGGGAATGGAACCCCAGACCTTCGGTTTTCCAGACGCAGAGCCTGACCACCGCGCCATCGGTGCCCAAGGTCCTGCCTCTCACACTAAGAAGCTCTGCGCGCGGTGCTGTGAGCGCCCGACTGCTGTGTTTCAGCCTCACTCCGCCGCGACCCCGCGACCTGCTCTATTGACGACTCCGGAGATGCCCGGGCGGCCGCCTGCCACTCCACACCGAGAGCCAGGCCTCTCTGGGCCGGGACATTGTCTCCACCGGACTGCTGGCGACCTCTGGTTCTCACGGACAGTACGCAGCTCATCGATCGCCGCCCCCGCTGCCCCGCGTGCTCCACGGCCGGACGAGGCGCGGGCGGTGAGCGCGCTCCCGTGCTCCGATCGCCGCCGTCCCAGCACCCGGCGGCACCGGGCATGACACCGACTCACGACGTCCCGCTGGCACTGTGACGCCCGTCCAGCCGTCTGCCAGCAATTCGTGAGGAATGTCCGGGCGGTCTGGCGGCGGCGTCTCGGCGGGGAGGCTGGGCGAGCCGGCCGCGGGCGCCCGGCCTCCCCGGGGAGACGCCGCCGACGCGGCGCCGGCCACGCGGCGCCGGCGGGACGCACGTGGGTCCGCCGGTCATCCGATACTTCCCGATGGCGCGGACGTCGTGGATACGCGGAGAAGGCTATCGCTGCAAGGCGCGGGCGAGAATGCGTCCCATACTGAGCAGCGTGTCTCTCGCATGTCTGACTGAACATGCCCCATCCCTCACCCTACTCTGCCACTTACACTCGTCTAGGGTGTCATCATCCACAGCGCATGTCGCAATATTAGGGTCCACCGAGAAGGATGCTGAAAACGGGTATAACTGAGCGTCCGCACTCCGAGTATCCACACTGAGAACCCTTCCGCCCTGATACGCCAGTATGAGCATCCAGAGGCTTGCATCAGAGTAACTGACCCTGACTCTGTCGACACCCGTCCGGGGGTTAATTATTCCCGACACATGTATCAACAACACCAGAGCCAAGCCGAACAAAACCGCTACGATTGATCGCACAGACGATGACCAACGCATGCCATGGCGCCATCACGCCGAGCCCCACGACACTGCCCCGCCCCTCTCTGCTGGAAACCCCTCCCAGAACCATTCTTGGCTGGGCGGCCGCGGCAGGCGGCCAGACCCCGAACTCCCGCCGTACCCTGGTTTGACTCCTCCTCACGCTGCTGCAGAGTCGGCGCCGTGGTGGCCGGCGCCCCCCCGCTCGCTGGCACGGCGCCACCGGCCGCCGGCTCCGCTGACCCGCCGCGGGCCTCTGCCGGCGTCTTCCCGCCCCCCGCTGTCACCGGCGACGAATGGTTCGGTGATGACGTCACCGAGTCACCGTTGGTTTCCGGTCGGGTGAGGTTCGGTGATGACGTCATCGTATCGCCGACGGTCCCCGGTGGGGTGAGGCTCGGTGATGACGTCACCGAGTCACCGACAGTCTCCGGTGGGGTGAGGCTTGGTGTTGACGTCACCGAGTCCCCAACGGCTTGCGGTCGGGTGAGGTTCGGTGATGGAGTCTCGTCACCGCTGACCGGAGGCGGCGAGTCGGCTGTCATCGGAGGACCGGCCGGCGATGGGTGAGCCAGGCCACCGGCCGACACCGGCACTGACGCCGCCCTCACCTCCGTGCCGCGCGATACCGGTCTCTCTGGTGACGCCGTCACCGGCGATCCGGCCATCGCCACGCGTCCGCTCGTCACCACCAGCACCACCAGCATCGGCACCACAGGGGTCGCAGCCATGTCGCGGCGCATCGGTGCACACGGCCGGACGGCGCGACCGACACGGGCTGACTTCCTAGCCGACCTTGGCCACTCGGCCGCAGCGCCGGGCCGGGCATCGATTGGACGACGCCGCGCCGCTGGCGTCCGGCCCAACGTCGGAGGCCGCCGGCGCTGGGACAGTGACCACCTGAGGCCTTCATGGGCAAGAATTCCTTTACCCGATCCACCCACTATCTATGGTGCTGTGCCCATAGCCCATCCGCCACCCATTTGCATTTAACCAGCACTTAATTTCTACATTATGGAGAATTTCCAGGAAAGCTCTTATCAAGCTCAAACCTTTTGTGTTCATGACCGCAAAAGTAGTGTGAATGAAGCTAACTGTGAACGGAAAAGGCGCAAGCAGTTTCACTGTGTAGCATTCTCGAAGCATCTGTCCGTCACTTCGTTAACGTCTGTACCATTAACCATTCATACCCGTGATTTCCCAAATCTGTACCCGACCAATCCTTGCCCATTTCATATGCGAACGCATAGGCTGATCAAACCCTTAAAGTCCTCCAGTTATCACCCGGACCGGAGCTTCGTTTGTTCCCGTAATGCTCCCGTGGTCAGAATCCAATGTCCGGGGTAATGACCGGTCGCCACAGGTCCCTCAGGCCCGCGACAAGAAGCCACGGGCCCCTCAGGCCCGCGACAAGGAACTTCTCAAGCGCCACACCGGTACGGAAGTGCAGGACGCAAGCTTGACGTCTACTCTCTTCTCCACCCAGACAATTTATCAAACGCAGCACCAAGTTAAAAGCAACAGACGCCAGCCACGAGTCAAGTCAGCGCATTTGTCGCTACCTCGCCAGACGCCATCTGGTGATAGCTCATGGAAGCAATATAGTGTTACCATATGGTCAGACGGCCCGACGGCTTCCAGACAGGTAATGGAAGCGATCGCAGATGCTGCGCATTCCACAAGCCTGGCACCGGTGCCGTATCGGCGCCACTCTGGAAGTGTGGGCATCAGCTTAGAACAAGCAATGCTGGCTGGTACTCGGACCGGCAATGCAATCAACGCAGATTAGCGTTCGTTCGCGCCCGCGAGGAAGAGACAGTCCTGTACGCCCTGGTTCTGATTCACTCCAGCTACCGATGCCAGGCGCGAATGTCTTTAGACAAAACCCACATTTGGATCAGCGTTCTTAAGTCAACTCCTGAACGCATGACACCAGTGGGCCTCAAACAGCCGACCTTCGGTATTTCAGTACCCCCAAACTAATAAAACATAACCATCCTATCGATTATCCTTATACTATTAAATAAGCAAGCAAACTGCCGTTATCAACCAACTGCTACTGCTACTGTGCGCTTTATCTTCTCACAATGGTCTGGAATAGCCACACAGGCAATGTGCATCGCCCTAAGATACGTCTGATGTCGAATGTCTTATGTCGTTCAAGTACACCAGCAGTTCGGGCCGTTTAGTCACCCTGGCCTATCAGTCTGGAGGCCGCCTGACGGTCTCACGGCTTCTTCATCAGTCCAGAGGCCGCCTGACGGTCTCACGGCTTCTTCACCTATCAGTCCAGAGGCCGCCTGACGGTCTCACGACTTCTTCACCTATCAGTCTGAAGGCCACCTGACGGTCTCACGGCTTCTTCACCATCAGTCCAGAGGCCGTCTGACGGTCTCACTGCTTCTTCACCTATCAGTCCAGAGGCCGCCTGACGGTCTCACGGCTTCTTCACCACCAGTCCAGAGGCCGCCTGACGGTCTCACGACTCCTTCACCTATCAGTCCAGAGGCCGCCTGACGGTCTCACGGCTTCAAGCGGTGGGTCAAAGCAATACGAACGTCGCGGCCATTACAGCGAGAGCTGCCAGTAAAAGCTGCAGCAAACGTTTTTCCACGTTCTTATGACGTAGGTCTATCAGGATGGCGCTCCAGTTTGGCACAAGGCTATGACTGTCAAACCTCACGGCAGATGTCTCCAGAGATGTGTGCACCATCGCGAGCCCTGGTCAAAGGGTCGTGAGCGTCCCCGGCTAGGTTCGCGCGCAAACGTCACTGCTGTTTTTCCAGTGCTCGATTGAACGTTCGTCTTAAGGGCTGATCATTCATTAACCCAACTATGGGCAATCCTGCTTCCTCCGCTTAAATCACTCCGCCACCATCGACACCGACCTGGCCCCGGAGATGCACCGGTACACGCCCTCCCCATGCAGGTGACGTCGCCGGTAGATGCGTCACAATATGACCTACCATGTGGACTCGTAAACGTTCTGGCTACCAGTGACGTCACAGTGAAACATCCCGGGATGGCCTCTGCCATGAAGAGCAGGTCTCTGACGTCACTGGGGAGCCTGGCGTAAACTGGCTATTTTCCGTGCCTGATAATATGGGTCAGCACCTTCGACTCGGAGGTGCCATATATTTCGATCAGTTTCAAGAATGCAGAGGGATATACCAAACCACGCTGCTTTATGTTTGGCCACACACGGCAGCAAATGGCATAATACTTGACAGACTGCAGCTGGCTGGCACATACAGCTCCGTTTAACCCATCAGACAAGTGGACTCATGAATCAGTCCATCAGAGCAGCGGACAGACGTGTGGGCTGTCGGGCGGCCGTGCTGCCACCTAAAGGCGACACGACTCTTTCGTCTCCGCGCGCTGCCTATAACCGTCTTTGCAGCGGGAAATTGTTCCAGCTCCTTGCCGGCACCACACGGCAGTGTTATGCTGGACTGTGTCACACATGCCGGCGGCCTGGGACCACCGGCGTCCTGGGCCAACCGCAGAGCCCCTCCCCTTCAAGCCTGCCCGGACGAAGAGACCGAGCTCACAAACCCCCGAAGTGCAGACCCAAAAAAAGAGAAGGCCACCAATCCCAACAGCCGTTCCTGGCGTGCAGACAAAGCGCTTTCAGGGCCTCGCGGAACAGGCACGCCAGCCGTGCGATGCGCTAAGACGCTACGACCGTAACGCCTCCTTATGGTGGTTGCAGGTCGAAGACACCGGGTTAGGAAGGGGCGGAGAGGTGGGGGGGGGGGGGGGGGGGGGGGGCGTAGGATACTCGGTGGGCCGAGATGTTTACGGGACATTGAGGCATATTCTCAATGTCAGCATTCTGTTTGCGGGCGTTCCAGCCAAACTCTAAACAGTGCAAGCGCCTTACAGAGACGCTTAACACGCGCCCGGGTGGCCGGCTGGATGGATACCCTTCACTCGGGTAGGGGTCAGTTTGACCCCTCTAATACTCCGGAACTAAGAGAACTAGATATACCAAATTCACAAGGTGTGGTGACCTGTACGTGAAACCACTTTGGTCAAAGCTCCAGCTTCCTAGGTCATGACCTTCAGATCAAATAAGGCAAACAAGGTCAAATTCCAGGCAAGTCTCCAAAGGGCCTCTAGAACTTAATAACTGTTCTAAGCAAAAGGTCACAAGCTCATTCAAGGTCAGTGACCTGGTTTGACCTTTTAAGGTCATGGTCACGAAAATCATACAAGACTGCTTTGAGTTTTGCATTTGGATAAGCGACAAATATTACGCTAGGCATTATGTTCCTAAAAACAATGTTGACCTGGATCATTTCATGTCAGTGACTATTCTGACCTCTAAGAAGTCCATGGAAGGTGTATAATGCGATTCCTGTTATCAATAAATTCGAAATTAGCACCAGAAACTACCCGATACAGCAAGCCCTAGAGTAATAAAACAGGTTAGTTTTGACCTTCGTCCGACCTTCATTCCTGACCCTAGGTCAACATAATTTGTTTATTCAATTGTTACATTCCCTAAGAAAGCATATCAGAGGTGTATGACTTTGTCTAACACTCCGCAGTTGGATCAGATTGGACGATTCCTTAGAAAATACCTTCGCTGAAACCATGGCCTGACCTTGACCTGCCATAGGTCCGTGACCTTACAAGGTACATTAAAATGTTTGATGCTAAGCGATCCGGTATTCGATTGTCTACAGCTATGCAAAATTTGCGCCGTACTGTTTTGACATCATTCCGCAAAAACTTCGGGGGTCAGTTTGACCCCCCCTCCCACCCGAACGCGTGTTAAGTCTATGATAGAGACACCATATTACCCGCTACCAACGGTACCAAGACACGACACTCCGGCCGTCCCTGCTTGCGGCAGCCGGGGCACGCACGCCACTGAACATCACACGAACCCCGCCAAAAACAGGGCAATCCCCGACCATAGATGGACGATCGGACGCCTCCGTACTCTCCGCGCGGAGGCGTACCCCGTCACTCCGTACCTGAACGACTCCGATCGGACGCCACCGTACCTGATCAGACGGCCAGAGGGTGACCCAGCCCCGGCCCCCTGTCCGCCGGCGGTGTGGTGACATTGCATCGGACGCCACCGTACCTGGTCAAACGGCCAGAGGGTGACCTAGCCCCGGCCCCCTGTCCGCCGGCAGTGTGGTTACATTGCATCGGACGCTGCACCTCTCTCCCGATGGAGGGTCGAGACGGGTCTACACTGACCATTGGCTGTCTGTTTGCTGGGCTGCACGATGACGAGGTCGGAGGCGGCCCGGATGCCCTCGGCCAGCCGGGTGACGTTGTCCCGTCCAAACTTGTCCAGACGGGCCACGCCCGGCAGCGGGAACGTGGTGAAGTACAGCCAGTCCTCGAACACGTCCAGCATGTGGGGGCGGCCCTCGTCTGTCGCCCACGTCAGGTAAGGTCAGCTCAGGTCGGGTCAGGTTAGAATAGGGTGACGGCAGCAGGGAGAAGCCACCACGTGCTGCAATGCGGTCCACACCAGCAAAGCTGCCCAATACACCGTCTGGAGGACATATTGGGGAACGACACACAGACATATTGGGGAATCAACACACAGGCATATTCGGACGCTTGCTATCACAACAAAAACTCTACGACCCGAGTTTGCTCACAGCGGTACGGCGCGTGTGAATACGACGGTCATAAGCACCATAACCTCCCACAGTGACCGTAACGGCAGCACCCAACGCAATTCAGAACCCCCGCCAAGCCCCTCCGACACCCAGCGCCACCTCCCGTCCGTCCACGCAAGCGCAGCTTTCGCGCCCATCCGTCGGGAGACGCCACTCACGCTTCTCGAACTGGCGCACAAGCGCGCGGTCGCTGCCGTCGAGCCGGACCGACTCGACGGTGGCCAGCTTCGGGTCGCTCCAGTAGAGCCGGCCGCCGGCGTGGTCGACGGCCAGGCCGCTGGGCCAGCGCAGCCGCGTCCAGACCAGCCGGTGCCGGTCCGAGCCGTCCAGCGCAGCCGTCTCGACGGCTGCGTCCATGCCGCGGTCCGTCCAGAACATCCGGCTGCCGGCGCCGGCGCACTCGCCGGTTAGAGGACGGCCGTGACGCGGTCGGCAGCGCCGGTCACGTGACACGTCACAGGTCTCGGGCCCAGGGCAGACGGCCATCGGAGAGGACGCGGAGGTGCGCGTGCGGTCATGGGAGAGGGAACTCCCTAATGGTCAGGAGCAGTGGTAATGCATCTTAGGTAAGGTGACACTGGCAGTGGGCCACTGAAACTTACCATGTTACACGTAACATGTCACCCGTGGCTGAACACTAGAAACTGGTAACAGTTGACATGTCAGTCTGGTCTGGCTGGAGAGCGATGGAAGTCATTCGATAACACATTTGCCCGAATTACCGTTGCAGCCGAGTGAATCAGTTCCCGTTCAGACATAACTCTCCACCAGTGCCGTGTGTCTGGCCGCACCACCACCCAGAGTGACGGCGCCCTTGCCCATCAACAGCAGCCGCCTCTCCCCGGCGCCAGACTCACCGCAGCGCCGGCTCAACAGCCAGGTCGCAGGGCTCCTGGAGGCGGCCGGTGACGACCGAGGCGGCGCGCCGGCCGTCCAGCGAGGCCATCAGGATACGGGGCGCGCCGGCGTCCACAACGTACAGGTGGCGCGACACCCAGTCCACGGCCAGGCCGCGCGGCCGCACCAGGTGACGAATCTGTCGGCCGAGTAGCGCGGCGATACGGGCGGCCACGGCGTGACACGGGGAAAGGGGGGGGGGGGAACACGAGCGGACACGGGCGGGCACGAGCGGGCACGAGCGAGCACGGGCGGACATCGCCGCGCATCGCCATCTGAGCGGTCGACACGCTGCCAAACGCCGCTTCCGTTGTGCCCCATTCGCTCCTACGGTGGTGAGATTCGCGCACGCCCTCACGTCTACGGCGGTACAGCACAGCCGACGACCGCGGGAGGTGTGGGGAGCCGCTGACTCCCGGCGGCTGGACTCCAGCGAACACAGGGCAGGGATGGGAACTGGCCCGTCGCAGGTCCACCAGCCGCGGCTGAGGCGCCCGGCGCCGCATGCAGCACAGAAGAGCAGCGTATGAAGAAAGGCCCGCGTGTCTGCCGCTTCGCGACTGACAAAAGTCTCGTAACACGCCCGCAACGCCTCGCCCTGCCGCCACAGCCCCCGGCGGAGCCGACAAACAACAGCTGGGCGTCAGCGGCTGTTGGTGCCGGCCGGCCGGCGCGCCAGGCTCACCACCGTCTCGGTGGTCTGGCGGCGGACGCGGCCACCGCCGGCCGCCGCCGGCGTGTAGCGCGTGACCGTGCCGTCCTCGTCGTTGGTCCAGAAGATGAGCGGCGCCTCGGCCGAGAAGAGCACGTCCACGGAAACGATGCGGTCCGTGGGCAGCGCGGCGCCCGCCACCACCGGCTCAGACTCGTGGGGCAGACGCTTGTACGGGTCGACGCGGCGCAGTTCCGACTCGGCTGCCACCATCAGGTGCGCCGGCTCCCCTGCCCGGCGGAGGTCGGGGCAGAGGTCAGGTCACAGGCCAGATCCTAGTCAGGGTAAGTCAGGTCGCTACGGTGTCTCGGCCACAAGCTCAACCTGGTGACGGTCATGGCGGCGACGTCGGGTCATGGCGGTGACATCAGGTCATGGAGGTGACGTCGGGTCATGGCGGCGACAGAAGGCCATGAATGCGAGTCAGGTCATGGCGGCGACGTCAGGTTACGGGGGCGGGGTCGGGTCATGGAGGCGACAATACGTCATGAATGCGAGTCGGGTCATGGCTACACACAGTCAGATTGTAAGACACACTACGGTCAAACCAGTGAGCTTCAAGGCACAGTGAGGTCACGAAGTAGTCAGCCCGAAGCTGGGTCAATGATGCCAGGTCACAGCTTAAACCGGTCACACCCCGACAATGGTTTCATTAGAAAGGCCACCTATCTGGGACGCCACCCTCCCCCCCCCCCCATCCCGCTCATCAGGAGATTGGGGGATAGCAGAATCGACGGCGAGACGACGGGCAATTATACATCGTGACAGAAGACAACACATGGCGAGTTGAGAACTTTCTTCTAACAGCATGAGCTGGCGACACAGGTCTAGAAAGTCGCTATCCTTTGTTCTCACCCTTTTCGGGGGGGTTTCCGCTAACACAGGCTGCCTCCTGAGCAGCACCTTCCAGTGTGACCCAGATGGGGCCGATCTCAAGAACTTCCGTCCAACCGCTTGCTTTCGTCGGACTCACATAGTAAAGCCCACAGACCACTGAAGGGAAGAATTCTGATAGGACAATAGGGCAGCAGACATGCGCACCACAAGCGTCGACACCTCCAATTTTAGGCGCTGGCTGCGTTCCGGGTTGCTGTTATATTAGACACCCAGCCATCGAATAGCCTGTGTGAACTTGACTCGGCCAGCTGTGATCAGAAAATTCATCGGCAATAGCTGATGCCGTCAGCGGCGATATAGTATTGTTAATTACTCATCTGCCGATCGTAGCAATGTCACCAAAGGCGATGCATTATTTCAGAGGCAGACGCTGACACAGCCGCCTATTCACGGATGGGAGCGCGGAGACTTTCACAGGAAGACCCGAGTTATTTGTATTCTTGTGCAGACCGTCATTTACTTTTCATTCAAGGACGATCATCTGTTAATGAACGAAAGCGGGCCGGTAGGTTTTGATAGCGCGCCAACCGGTCGCGGCCCCCTCGAAGCACGCGTGCGTGGATAGCGTATACGGCAAGCGGATTGCAGCATGGGCCGGTAGGTTTTGATGGCGCGCCAACCGGTCGCGGCCCCTTCGAAGCACGCGTGCGTGGATAGCGTATACGGCAAGCGAATTGCAGCATGGGCCGGTAGGTTTTGATGGCGCGCCAACCGGTCGCGGCCCCTTCGAAGCACGCGTGCGTGGATAGCGTATACGGCAAGCGGATTGCAGCATGGGCCGGTAGGTTTTGATGGCGCGCCAACCGGTCGAGGCCCCTTCGAAGCACGCGTGCGTGGATAGCGTATACGGCAAGCGAATTGCAGCATGGGCCGGTAGGTTTTGATGGCGCGCCAACCGGTCGCGGCCCCTTCGAAGCGCGCGCGCGTGGATAGCGTATACGGCAAGCGAATTGCAGCATGGGCCGGTAGGTTTTGATGGCGCGCCAACCGGTCGCGGCCCCTTCGAAGCGCGCGCGCGTGGATAGCGTATACGGCAAGCGAATTGCAGCATGCTGCCCTCGTGTTATCAAAACGTGTACCAGAGCCCGCTAATGCCCAACATCTAAGTTTTGGCAGTATTTGTCTTGTCCTTTACCTGGAAGTCAGAAAGCATGCCTGTTGGGACAAGAGATCCTGCTCGAATCACGTGTGCTGAACAAAATCCTCCCCATTGCGTACTTACTGTCAGAATTAATGTTATTCTACCGAGCTGTATAGAAGACAAATGAAAATCAGGCAGCTTCTAGATCACAACAGCTCACGCAGACCACATTTCGCGGAGGGCCGAGTCGGGCAGTGTACCGGCATCACATTTGACCGCAGCAGGATGCGTCCCTCACAGCCGGACAGAGCCGGTTCTGTCCGGCTCCGTCCAGCTCAGACTGGTCGTCGGCTGGCCGCCGCCGCCAGCGCACGGCCCGGTACCATCGATCGCCCCGCTCACCGGGCACCGTCGACACCACCCGCCGCTCGCGCGCCAGCCTCCCCACTTCGCTCTCGCCTGTCCGCTCCCCGCCGCCGCTGCGGGCGGAGCCGACTCTCGCCCTCCCATTGGTCGGACCGGCGACAGCGACGCCGCGGGCGCTCGGGTGACGCCATCAGCCGGCCGGCGTCGGCCAACCCGTCAGTGGAACAACACGAGCTGAACGGAGACGGGCTGCGCGCACCGTGGCCACCGACCTGAACCGGCGTGACCCGGCTGAGACAGGCGCGGTCCGGTCGGGTCAGCCGACGCCGCCGCCAGTGCCGCGCCGGAGGCACCGGCTGCCGCGGTCGGCGCGAGGCCGCCCGGCTGGTGGGCTGCCTCTCAATCCCCCTGATGCTGGCCACCATGGCGCCGACCGCAGCCGTCGCCACCAAGGGCCGCACGTGTGGAACGGGACCAGGAGGACGGAATAGAGAGGAGAGTAGGGCGAGGACGCAGGAGCGGAACGCAATGGGACGGCGCTTCCCGCGGGTGGCGGGAAGGAACGGAGCGTGGAGGTTGGCCCGCCCACCGATGGCAGGGACGGCGGGGACATGGCTCCATCCAGCGGTTTCAAAGCCGGAAGTGATACTGGGCCACGCAGTGGCAACGGGACGAGCAGTGATATTCGTCCAGCCAGTGGTGCCGCGACGACCAGCGAAATCGGCAGACCATGGGTGTTCAATCCGTCAAGGCTTTTGTTCCAGCTGACCGCAAACCGGTCGGTGACGAATCCACAACAAACGACACCGAAACCGGCGACAACACCAGTTCTATCAGCGACATCACCCCCGTGCCAACCCCCAGCGCGCACCAGGGCAGCACTAACGGTAGGCCGCTGGCGGGTGGTGACGCGGTCGGGTCGCCGCCAGAGCAGGACCTGACCTTCCGCGTCAGCTGGTGCTGCACAGGTGGCTGCGCACCGAGCCGGGACCGCTGGCCGTCCCGCTCGCTCTGCAGGCCGGCTGCCTGGCGCCGAGCGGGCTGCTCGTGCACGGCGAGCGCCGGCCGCGCGCAGGCCCCGTCCTCCTCTGGCTGGTGGCAGCCGGATGTGGGCTCGGCCGGCCGCGCACTGTGCAACGCTTAACATCGGCGCGTCAGCCGGACTCCTCTGCGCCGGCGGCTACTTGGCGCTGCTGGCGCTCCTCTGCACGGGCTGGGGTGCCGTCATCGGCTACCACCGACAGGCCACCGTGACGCCGCCGCTCAATCTGCACTTCAGAGACTGCTGACCAGCTTCGGCTTCAGCTCGCCTCGCCTCGCCTCGCCTCGAGCCAGCCGCCGCCCGGCTCGGCGACCGCCGCCAGCCGGGCCACCCGCGCGCTTCTCTACGGTGGCGCGACGCTGCTGTTCATCTTGCGCGTCCGTCGCCGGTCATCCCCAGACCGGTGACATCAGCCGAGCACGTCTAAATCGGCGATGTCAGGCGAGCACATCTCCAGACCGGTGACGTCAGCGGGTCGCGTTACTCGGCGCCGCAGCTGGTAGACGTGGTCTTGTGATAGCGGTTCAGGGTGCCGACCGACTGGTCTCCGCATCTGGTTCCGACTGGTCTACGAACCGAACGACCCCGCCGATCATCCACCATCCCCGGACCCGAGCCACCCCGCCGATCATCCACCACCCCCGGGCCTGAGCGACCCCGCCGATCATCCACCACCCCCGGGCCTGAGCGACCCCGCCGATCATCCACCACCCCCGGACCCGAGCCACCCCGCCGATCATCCACCACCTCCGGGCCTGAGCGACTCCGCCGATCATCCACCACCCCCGGGCCCGAGCCACCCCGCCGATCATCCACCACCCCCGGACCCGAGCCACCCCGCCAATCATCCACCACCCCCGGACCCGAGCGACCCCGCCGATCATCCACCACCCCCGGGCCTGAGCGACCCCGCCGATCATCCACCATCCCCGGCCCCGAGACACCCCGCCGATCATCCACCACCCCCGGCCCCGAGCCACCCCGCCGATCATCCACCACCCCCGGACCCGAGACACCCCGCCGATCATCCACCACCCCCGGACCCGAGTCACCCCACCGATCATCCACCACCCCCGGACCCGAGACACCCCGCCGATCATCCACCACCCCCGGACCCGAGACACCCCGCCGATCATCCACCACCCCCGGGACTGAGCGACCCCGCCGATCATCCATCAGCGAGGTCTGGAGAGGCCGACCACCTCACGCCCCCCCCCCCCCCCCCCACCACCACTACGCTTCACCACAGCGCCTCTCCCCGGCTCCTGATGTGTACCCACCGGGAACGTCACACCTCTACCCGGCTCCGGTCCGGTCCGGTCCGGTCCAGTCCGCCCATACTCCACTCACCGTTCGCCTTGCATGACTTGCTCTTGCTGTGCCCGCTAAAGCGGTAGCCGTCGCCGCAGAAGCAGTTGGAGTCGCCCTGCCGCTTGGCCACGCAACCCTGGCTGCACACGCCGAAACTGCAACAAGCCCGGCGACAGCGTCACAGGTCTCGGTCACCTGACGGCGCGCGCAACATGACCAACGGCACGCCACTTGCAACTACAGCTCAACAATGGAAAGCTGCACACGATGCGTGCCTACTTAGTACACACCACCTAGGGACATTCCCGCAGCACCTCTTGGTGGGATTAAGGTGATGAAGATGTCTTCTCCTTTTGCACCTTTGTCCGAAAAGCACAACCTCAAGACGGCGTAAATATTTATTGCAGAGCCCGGCCCATCACTGGCATCACGTGACTGACCTGTCAGGACCATCGAAACAACGCAATTTACAAAAGGTTGACGTTAAGACCAGCTCGACGCGCGGCCTCGCTCGAAATTGCATCAAATTTCAGAGACCTGATGTTTCGGCCATTTTTTCGCCAGAATGCGTCCAGCTCAACACCTGACATATAATGAAACTTTTCAGGTTCATCGTATTGCTAGAACGTGTTATCGAACAGCTGACGGGCGAGGGAGGGGAGGGGGACGGGGGAGAATCGCTTTCCACGTGTTGAGCTAGCGAGGGCATGCTGCCATTTTTTAGCATGGGGCGACAGGACCGAAGAGACACACCTTGTTACAATGGCTTCACCCTCAACAAGTTCCGTAGTTCCAACTCGTTCAGCAAGAGAAAGTGCCTGGCCGGTTCCATGTCTGACGTGTTGAATAACAACGTGGACCAAACTTTGCACGGAACCTCCATAAACGGACCACGCCTACCAAACTAGTTTCAACAGGTTCTGTTCTCTATCGAGGCAAAACCCCTCGCATATGACATAAAACAACACTAAGAGTTGCGTTTTGCAGCAATGCACTCTGTGATAATTTTGTCCCGCTGATGTCGCCGTAACACCACGGTCCCACGCCGTCACATTTAGAGCTGTCAAAACCGCTGCTTTATTTCAAAGAAAAATTCACACGAATCGGTAGATAACATAGCGCGTTTAACGTGAAGAAAACGATCAATGATCCCTGGTTTTGCCCGGCAACATGTCTTGCATTATAAAGAGGCCCACCCAACCATCACTTAAGCAGCATCAATCCCATCTAAGATCAGGGGAGCGGTTCAGCTTTCTTCTAATGCCGTTTATTCCTTATCTATATGTCTTTTCTTTCAGGTAGCCGCTATCCACCATGTTTGTCCTCGCCCCTGGGATCCCTGATATCCCCCGAGGAAACCGTAAAACAGGTGACAATCCTACCGGCGTCGCCGGAAACGTCTCATCACTGAATACCACCCAAAGATCCTGGAGTTTCTTCCCATTGATCGTTTGGGCGTTGCTAGCGGCGTGGGTAAGTGTATCCAGCTCTAAAAAGTGCTGTCGCTGTCCGACCCAGAAAAAAATGTCTCCACGTGTTTAGCTTACAAAGGGACCTTCACCAAACATTCCCACAGGATAGGTTAGCTGCGTGGCGACAAGGCCATTTGTGGCCAGGACTTAGTCTCGTGAAGACAAAATAGGAGCCTACACACTTCATTTGGTGCCATCGGGGCTCATAGACCAAAAGCAACCTTGCCTAAATGGCGCCTCCTATTTCGCAATGCTTTCGGAATCGAGGAGTTAATAAAGTTCGCTGGTTTTTCATCTTATGAAACAAGGCCATGATGGTTAAAGATTAGTGCTGGGCTCTTAAGATGGTTCAATTATTGAAAGTGGCGTGGAACATGTATGCTTCATCTTTTCAATTTACAAAAACAAGTATATTGAAGATTAAAGACGCAAAAACCCCCCAACCCAAAAAATCCCAAAGGTTGGCACACCATGGGAGATTCTTCGAGGTCTTGCCCAATAGCAGAGCAGTTAACGGGTTGTTTTTTTCTCTCTAGACTTATGCATCGGTTAACACGCGCCCAGGTGGCCGGCTAGATACCCTTCGATCGGGTGAGGGGTCAATTTGACCCTCGTGAGATCTCGGGAACTAAGAAAGCTAGAGACACCAAATTTAAAGGGTGTGTTCAACTGGACGTGAACTCATTTAAGTCAAACTTTGAGGCACCCAGGTCATGACCTTTGGGTAAAATAAGGTCAAACAAGGTCAAATTCCAGGTTGGCCTCCAAAGTGCCCCCAGAACCAGGATAACTCTTCCTAAGTGAAAGGTCACAAGGTCACTTAAGGTCAGTGACCTTTTTGACCTTTTTAAGGTCATGGTTACCAAAATCATACCAGACTGCTGAGTTTTGCATTGGAATAGGCGACAAGGATTACGCTAGGCAGTATGTTCCTAAAAACAAATTGTCGACCTGGGTCATCTTAGGTCAATGACCTATCCTGACCTCTAAGAAGTCAATAGAAAATGCATAATGCGGTTCCTGATGTCAATAAATTCGAAATGGGCACCAGAAACTATCCCATACAGCAAGACCTAGAGTAATAAAACGGATTGGTTTTGACCTTGGTTTGACATTCATACCTGACCTTAGGTCAAGACAATTTGCTCATTCAATATTTGCGTTGCCTAAGAAAGCATCTCAGAGATGTATGGCTTCGTCAAACACTCCATTGTTGCATCAGATTGAATGATTCCCTAGAAATTGCCTTCGCTGAAACCATGGCCTGACTTTGACCTGCCATCGGTCAGCGACCTTACAATGTACATCTAAATTGTTGATACCAAACGATCCGCTATTGAAATTTCTACAGCTATGCAAAATTTGGCGCAGCCACGCCGCGCCGTTCGGAAACTATTCTGGAAAAAACTTCGGGGGGGGGGGTAATTTGGCCCCCCACCCAAGCGCGTGGTAAGGTCCAGACACATAAGTAACTGCTCTCCAAAATTCATTTAACCGCCATTTAGATATTGAAAATATGGTCAAAATACTGGTTGCATATTCTAAGTGATTCCTCGGAGGTTCAAATTTGATGTGTATACTAAGAATAAACGCATAAACGACAAAAATGGAACGATAATCTCGTGGCCGAATGGTTAACGCAGCGGATCTATGCATCCCAAATACACAGTTTAAATCCTGAGAATAATCTTTCAGCAGCCCCCACCCGCACCCACCAAGCCTACGACTGGCTAGCCGGGTCGGCCGGCTATCTTCCCCGGCGAGTCGGACACCAGTCTCGCTCCGACTGATGCAGACTAACCCACAATCTGCAGATACACCCGCGCACAAGCACCGAGACATCGAGCACGCTGGCAAATCTTCCCCACCCGCGGCGAGCACTGAACTCCACGCCAGCACGCTAATCAGTGCACGTGCTCGCCCCCCCCCCCCCCCCTCCCCCGGTGGCCCGAGCGCAGACCCCAATCCGGCCGCCCGAGAGCAGCGTCTTCCGGCTCTCACCCGCAGGCCTTGGGCGGGCAGTTCCGCTCGTCGGAGCCGTCACCGCACTCGTCATACGAGTTGCAGACGTCCTTCCTGTCCAGACAGTGGCCGTTGTCGCAGACGAAGCCGTGCAGCTCCACGGCGCAACGGTGGCGCGCGCGCAGAGGGCCCACCGAACCTGCGGTCACGGTCACACACGGTCGCGGTCACGCGCGAGCACGGTCACACACGCCCACGGTCACATGCGGCCAACGATACGGACGCCAGTCACTATAACGGCCAATGGCCATCTCTGGGTCGCGGTTGCATACGCTCACACGCGGTCAAGTGTACGGGCAGCAACCACTATGACGGCCATTGGTCACCACTGAGTCACGGTCACATGCGGTCACGGGTGTCGGCGGCAGTCACTGTGACGGTGCTGATCGCGACTGGGTCTCGGTCACGGTCAGCCACGGCTACAATGAGGTCACAGGCACTGTCAAGGTTCACCACCACTGTGTTTGTTCGCACACCGTCTCGTCTGGTCACCGCTGCGGTCGCCATCGTGGCCACGGTACCAGCCACGGTCATCAGCACAGCCACATCAGTCCCGTTCATCACCACTGCCCCCCAGTCAGTAATGGTCACAGTCTCAATCAGTCGGCCGCAGTCGGCTACGATCACGGATATTTCAAGGCTCCAGCCCGGGACGTGATTCCCACCATCAGAGGGCGGGGCGTATGAACCAACACTCTTTCGGGCGCTCACGTGCTGGGCACAACACGCTCCAGACGAGTCAGCACTGCGCGGAGAAGACGAAATTCGATAACGCAGCTGGGGTTGTAAGAGGTATGCACAAACCATTTTCTAGTTTTTCTTGACACTTTCTTGTCAGTGTTGTCTTAAAGACCACGCTGCATATTGGTGTCAACTCGAGAGCCACACTTCAAAATGAGATCCTCTCGTTTCAGTTCCTATTGCTGCATAAATATGTCTTGATTGCTCGCACTACAACAGTCACCATAGATCACACCCTAAGATACCAACTGCTGCTGCTGATGACGATTATTGCTGTCTCAAGGTGCATTGATAGCAGAGGTCCCTCTCAGCCCGCGCAACCACAACCCAACCACGGTTGCACGCGCCCACAAAGCCATCGCTCTCCCCCTGCTGGCCACTCACAGAGACCGGGTCGCTCGTCAGAGCCATCGCCGCACTGGTCCTGGCCGTCGCACAGTGCTTGCACGTGGCTAGCGCCGGCCGTCGGGTACAGACAGCGGTGGTTAGCGCAGCGGAACGCGCCCGGCAGGCAGGCGCGCGCGGCGCAGAGCGCGCTCGTCTCGTCGGAGCCGTCGGCGCAGTCCTGGTCCGAGCCATCACACACCCAGCTGGGCGGGATGCACGTGCCGTCTCGACACCTGGTGGCACGCGTCCCGTTAGCGGCCGGCGCGCCGCCACCACTCCAGCACCACATATACAAACACCCTGCTGGGTCCTCTGTCGTGCGTGGCACCGTCCGAGCCCAGCGCTTGACGTTTAACTGCTGGCTTGTCTGTGGTATGTGCACCATTGCTGGCTCCACTGGCGTCGACACAACCTAGCGGAAGGACAGCATTGGAATCTGGACCACGCGATCTTGAGGAAAGCCCCCCTAACCCGATCGCAGACAGCTACACCCTAGCCGTGCACCGCGACCACAGGTGATATGGGCCGCTGCTGCATCTGATCAGTCTATTCTCGTAAGCCTCCCTAGGCCTGCCCGAGGACTGACCGTCCCGTCCCATCTGTGTCCGACTAGAGACTGACCATCCCCTGGCGGCCGTGCGAGAGCGCACGTCGCCCCGTCCCGTCCAGCTCACCTGAACTGATGTTCGGGACACGTGTCCGACTAGAGACCGACCATCCCCTGGCGGCCGTGCGAGAGCGCACGTCGCCCCGTCCCGTCCAGCTCACCTGAACTGATGTTCGGGACACGTGTCCGACTAGAGACCGACCATCCCCTGGCGACCGTGCGAGAGCGCACGTCGCCCCGCCCCGTCCAGCTCACCTGAACTGATGTTCGGGACACGTGTCCGACTAGAGACCGACCATCCCCTGGCGACCGTGCGAGAGCGCACGTCGCCCCGCCCCGTCCAGCTCACCTGAACTGATGTTCGGGACACATGTCCGACTAGAGACCGACCATCCCCTGGCGACCGTGCGAGAGCGCACGTCGCCCCGCCCCGTCCAGCTCACCTGAACTGATGTTCGGGACACGTGTCCGACTAGAGACCGACCATCCCCTGGCGACCGTGCGAGAGCGCACGTCGCCCCGCCCCGTCCAGCTCACCTGAACTGATGTTCGGGACACGTGTTGTTGCAACCGGCCTCGTCGCTGGCGTCCGTGCAGTCCACGTAGCCGTCACAGCGCCACGTGCTGAGGCGACAGCAGCGTCAGGACGCGCGACACGTGCGGGGTAGCCGGACCAGCGGCGTACTCGCCAAGCGGGAGACCAAGTCAGCGCGCCAGCAGACAAGCGTGGCGGGACATTTTCGCAGCGACGGCCAAACGCAATGCTAATGGCGAGTAACAAAAAGAGTGCAACAAGGTGCGGGTCATTCAGCGACGAGTGTGAGTGCGATACTGTTTACCACCACCCAAGAACGAATAGCCCTCAACCCAACATCGACAGCTGACCGCTGAGTCCGACAGCAGGACAGTGGGCAGCCGGCCTGCGGGCCAGACGAGTGAGCTGTATACTGCGGGCCAAAAAAATGAGCCGATCAGGGCGGTGGCGGTGAGTCAGCCGCCGGCCCGACACTGTGCCGGTGGGGAGGGGGGAGGGGGAGGGGTAAGTGCGGTACCTGGGCACGCAATGGACAATGTCCGGCGGGCTGAGGCAGCGGAACATGTCCTGCGGGCAGTTCTCCAGGCAGCCGATCTCGTCCGAACGGTCGCTGCAGTCGTATTCGCCGTCACACCGCAGCGGGCCGTGGATACACCTGGCGGCAAGGTCACTGGTCACTGGCCGGGTCACTGGTCACTAGCCGGGTCACTGTTCACTGGCCGGGTCACTGGTCACTGGTCACCGGCCGGGTCACTGGTCACCGGCCGGGTCGCTGTTCACTGGCCGGGTCGCTGGTCACCGACCGGCTCACTGGTCACTGGGCGGGCCACTGGTCACTAGCCGGGTCACTGTTCACTGGCCGGGTCACTGGTCACTGGTCACCGGCCGGGTCACTGGTCACTGGCCGGGTCACTGTTCACTGGCCGGGTCACTGGTCACCGGCCGAGCCACTGATCACTAGCCGGGTCACTGGTCACCGGCCGAGTCACTAATCACTAGCCGGGTCACTGGTCACCGGCCGGGTCACTGGTCACCGGCCGAGCCACTGATCACCAGCCGGGTCACTGGTCACCGGGCACCGGCCGGGTCACCACTAGGTCGGCCGACAATGGCGGCTCGCAGACCAATGCAGCACACCAAGTCACCGGATTGTCGCCAGGCCGCGGCGCGCCATGCAACAATGCGAAGTCAGCGTCCATGTGGAGGCACGTCTGCGTCTCCGCCTCCCGGACAGCCACCAGCCTATCGATCAACGTCTGAAGTGACCCTTACGGGAGCCTCATAAGGCCTCTTTACGTGGACCTGCATACAGAAGAGACCATTTAGCCATTACCAGCGAACTGCTTGCACCGCGGCCATACCACCTTAGTGTGTGGGACGGGTTTGTGACGTCCACCTGCAGATACAGCATTGACCACTGCACGCACAAAAAAAGAAACACGTCAGCTCGCGGAGCACGCAAATACCGGCCGACAGCTGAGCGCTGACGAGACACCAGCCTACAGAGGGCGGCGACACGAGCGGCACCGCTGCACTGGCGCGCTCGTCGCCAGCGGCTGCCTGACCTGCCGTTGACGCAGCGGTACTCGTCGTCGGTGCAGTTTCGGAGGACGCAGTCCACCTCGTCCGAGTTGTCCTTGCAGTCGTCCTCTTCATCGCACCGCCAGCGGTCCGGGATGCACCTGAGGCCGGGTCGAGCCGGGTCAGGTTAGACAGGGGCTTGGTCAGGTCAAGCCACAGGCAGGTCAGGACAAGGTCAGGCTGCGGTTGGGCCAGGTCGGGTCACGCCAAAATAGGATCAGCTTGTTATCGGGCCAAGCCGCGCCACATCTGGATCGGGTCATGATCGGGCCGCGCCGCGTCGGGTCAGGACAGGACTAAGTCCGGGCCCAGTCAAGCCGGGGTCAGTTCAGACCAGGGTCAGGTCAGGTCAGGGTCGGGTTCTACAGGGTTGGATCAGACCCCGCAGGCGACCAGCCAGACCCAGAGAGATGCCAAACACAAGATATCCCTGTAGTAGGGAGCAGATATAGCCTGGCGATTTTCCACCAGACAGCTGGGCCGGAAATATGAGTCTACCAATCCACATAGAAAACACACACTTAACTTGCCTGTCGTGACTGTGACGATGGACCTGCAAACGAACTACAGGCTAGCATTCTTAGTACACCACACCACCTCCAGCACAGGCATCGTGAGCCTGAAGCTAGAGTTGCCCCTGGAGATTACAGCTGCCGTGGCCGATTCCGCCGGCCAAGCAGCCGAGTCAGCACGCGACGCGCCACTCACTTGTTGTTGGTGCATCGGAACTGGCTGGGCTCGCACGAATGCAGCTCCAGGTCGGAGCACTGCGGCCCCTCGTCCTCGTTACGCGGGCAGTCCTGCTCGCCGTCACACTCCCAGGAGGCCGGCACACACCGGCCCGATTCACATCTGGGGGTCAGGTCAGAGACAGGTCAGACCATATTACATGATACATTTTGCATTATTTGGGCACAGCAGCACAAACAACTACCATGACATGAAATTCGCTTAAACGCCGGAAAATGCATACAGAGAAGACATCATCCACCGTAGAGTTAGAAAGCCACCATTCCCCTTCGAACGCGGCCACCGGCCGCGCCGGCGGCACCAGCGTGTCGGAGCGGCTGGCGCGGCGCGGCGCCCCACCTGAACAGGTTGGCGGGGCAGGTACGGTCGGCGCACGAGACTCCCTCGTCGCTGCCGTCGACGCAGTCGCTCTCGCCGTCGCACACGAACAGGCCGCTGACGCACTGGCCGCTGTCGCACTGTCGGACGACGGCGACACAGACGGTCAGCGCCGCGGGCGGCGGTCTCGCTGTCTCGCTGTCTCTCGGGGCGGACGCTGGCCCGATCTCTCCCGGACGCCCACCGCTGGGGCTCGTTACCGGCGCCACGCTCATGTGGCTCCGACCGCGCCGTGTTATGTATGTATCCGTGTTAGCACGGGCACGTGGTGCGGACCGGCCACCAGCAGCTCCTGTCGCAAGCTAGTCTGTATCGTCTTGTATGTTTGTATCTATGACTGAGGTAGTCTGAAAAACACCTAGCGTCCGGACGTCCACAAATCTGGCCCGAACAGTCAACTAAAATTGCTAACCCCGCACGATCCTCATAAAAAGCAAGATTAATTACACACCATGACAATAAGCAACCAACTGCAGCAAAAGCCTCACCCGCTCCAACAGCCCCTCCCCTGGTCAGCACCAACGTATCGTCACGTATCGTACAGTCCAAGCCCCCTCCCCCCCCCCCGCGAGCCCACGCATACCAAGAAGTCGGTCTTGGCGCAGGAGACGTTGTCGCAGTCGCGCTCGTCCTCTCCGAGCGGACAGTCGGACCGGCCGTCGCACCGCTCCAGCTCCGAGATGCAGCGCGGCGTGACCGTCTCGTTGCCGGGGCATCGGAACTGGCCGTGCAGGCAGGCGTGCTGTCGGCAGGGTGGAGGGGGGCGTCAGTGGAGGGTGGGCCGGGCCGGGCTGGGCCGAGCCGGCCGGGGCACAGTCAGTCGCGGGGTCTCCTCAGTGGCATCGGAGTCGGATTGGATCATCATCAGAGCGGTGGAGCTTGGCGTTGAGCGTCCACGTCCGCTTGAACAGGGAACTTGCTGCGTAAGGCAAGATGACCGCTAACGAAGGAGTGATCAGAGCCACAGCCTGGCACACTTAGTCTATCCATAGTCTAACCGAGACGACCGATGACAGTCATGTAACACTGGGTGCGCCGCAGCGTGCGGACGATGCCACAGGCGATGTACCACTGGCGCCGCGAGCGAAAAGCATGCCGCGAGTGCTGGCTGGTACGTGAGCCGGCGGCGAGCGCTGCACGCCATGCACGCACGAACGACGAACAATACGTCAGGTGAGCAGCGACCAGCGCGTGCAATACGAATCGTGAACTGCTGGTCACCTCACTAATGGCCGCGAGCGCCGAGTGGTGCGTGCGTCACTAGCGCTGGCCGCGAGCGCCGAGTGGTGCGTGCGTCACTAGCGCTGGCCGCGAGCGCCGGGTGGTGAGTGCGTCACCAGCGCTGGCCGCGAGCGCCGGGTGGCGTGCGCGTGCTGCGCCCGGCGCGAGCCGCCGGCCGCGGTGGAGCGCCGGGCTCATCAGCGCGTGAGACTGACCGTGCCGCAGTGAGACTCGTCGTCGCCGGAGTTGCACTGCGGCGAGCCGTCGCAGACCTGCGTCGGATGGACGCACATGTCGCCGCCGTCACACTGGAGCATGCCTGGCACCGGGCACTGGTACGGCGGACACTCGGCCGGCTCGTCCCAGCCGTCGCCACAGTCGTCCTGGCCGAACAGCGGACCGTCAGCGGCGACGGCGCTGCTGGACACGCTCACACCACCGCAGGGCAGCTTGGCGGCATACGGCGTGAGACATCACACGGGTGAAAGCCGGTGCCGCTACGACACGGTGTAGAGCGCGTCCGTGGTTCGCAGGTCACGGGCGAGTGGCTCCGCGCATCGGCCGGCTCACAGTCGGCGCCAACAACGACGCTGACACCACACCATCCCGAACACATGTGCGGCGGCGGTACAACCGACTTCGGAGCACGCACACACGAACGCACGCACACACACACACACACACACACACACACACACACACACACACACACACACGCGCGCGCGCGCACGCGCACGCGCGCACGCACGCACGCACGCACACGCACACGCACACGCACACGCACACACACACACACACACACACACACACACACACACACACACACACACACACACACACACACACACACACACACACACACACACACACACACACACACACAGCGAGAGTTTTTCATCACACCATCACCGCCTGCTGAGTCGCAGCCGGCGAAAGGCGCGGCTGCGGGCCCACGGCGACTTCACGCGCGCCGCTCCTCTCCCGCCGCAGCCGCCGCTCTCGCCCCACCTGTCCGTCGCAGCGCCACCAGTAGGGAATGCAGCGCATGGTCAGCGGACACTGGTACTGGCTGGAGGTGCAGTTGGCGCGGCACGTGCGGCCGTCGGCGTTCAGCACATAGTTGACGGGACAGGCGCAGGCGTGGCCGCCGCCAGGCCGCAGCAGGCACAGCGCCTGGCAGCCGCCGTTGTCGGCGCCGCACGGGTTCTCGCCCGGGTCTGCCGGCCAGCCAAGCGCACTGTGTCAGGCGGTGGCTGGGCTGGCAAGACCGGTCTCGGTTTGTCACGCACTCGTCGGTCTAAATCGTGCCGGTCTGCCGCGCATGTGACGTCATCATTGCCGGTCTGCGGCCGTCTGCTGGTCTTAGAGAACGAACGAGAACGAACGACGGGAGGCAGTGCAGCAAACGCATGACATTACGGACGTGAAGCTAGACATTCACTTATTCGCAGCACGGAACGAAGCCTTGACAACGCACATCGCTCGCTTAAGGCAATCATTTACGTAAAATAACAAAAGAGGAAACGCTGGCTTTGCTCTAAGAACGTCACCTCTACGTCGAGAGATGCGTAGCGCTCCAGGCTCGGTGAGCGCGCCCGTGCGCGTTCCGCCCTCCGCTCGGACTCACAGGGTCGCTGCTGCAGCTGGTGGTAGACCACCAGGTTCATGGGGTGTCGCACGGTGAGGGGCAGCGTGGTGAAGTTGGAGCCGTCTGCCTTGTGGCAGCGCTGCACGGCCTTGGTGTCCCAGTCTGTCAGGTACAGCCAATCCTCGAACACGGCCAGCGAGAACACGTGATGCAGGCTCGCGCCGTGTAAGCCTGCAACCGGAGCCGGAGCCGTGAGTCCGGTGGTGGCCGGTCGCTCGTGCCGAGGACAGTGACAGCGCAGGACAGTTGCGGTGTGGCGGGGCGGCCAGCGTCACCGAGGCGGCCCGCGGCTGATAACACGGCCGAGCCGTGGCCGGCCGTCGCCAGCCCCCGACACCGTCCGCCGCCGGCCACCGAGCTCAGGCCGGCGCACTTGCCGGCGTCGCCTCAGTCCCTGTCACCACCATAGCGAGAGCTTCTCGCTCTAACGCCGCCGAAAATTCTCCACCCGGTCAACGCGGACCGGGCCGGGGGCTCACCGCATCCGTCTCAACTGCACCGACCCACGGCGACAAGGCCCGCGCGCGCTCGGCCCGCCAGCCCGCCCGCTCCCCCGCCGGCCGTCGCCACTCACGCCGGCTGACGAGCACTTGCGGGTTGGCGCCGTCCAGGTCAGCCACGCCGATGTAGTCCTCGCGCGCGTCGGCCCAGAAGAGGCGGCCGCCCTCGCGGTCCACGGCGAGCGCATTGGGCCAGCCGAGCCGCTCGGCGATCAGTGGGCCCGCCTCGCTGCCGTCCATGCCGGCGCGCCCGATGTGTGGATCGTTGCCCCAGTCCGTCCAATACATGTACCTGGCGGCCGCGGCCGGCGTCGGGTGAGCGCCCGCCCGCGCCACGTACGCACGCCGCGGCAGGTCAGAGACGGCGCAGCAGACTGTGCAGTCGTGTAAGACGCCACAGGCACCACACCTCTCCACCCGACACCAGGCTGGCGAGGCAACGACACGTGTGGCGGCTGTAGCACGGGGTCATGTGACGACTGCGGCTGTGACGCGCGCCCACTTTGGCGGTCCCCTCCCCGCCACCAGTAGCGCAGCAGACCGCGCACGCCCTGCCTGGCCGTCCGGCGACGATCACTCACCCGGTAGCTGGGTGCACGCAGAGAGCGCGCGGCTCGTCCAGACCTTCGCTGACCAGCACGCGCGCGAAGCGGCCGTCCAGGCGCGAGACCTCGATCGTGTCCCGGCCCTTGTCGCACCAGTACAGGTTGCCGGCTACCCAGTCCACGGCCAGGCCGGCCGGCTTGTCCAGCGTCACGGTCGTGTGCAGGTCCTGGCGAGGAGCGCACGGCAGGTCAGGTCAGGTCGTGTGCAGGTCCTGGCCAGGCGCGCACGGTAGGTGAGGTCAGGTCAGGTCGTGTGCAGGTCCTGGAGAGGCGCGCACGGTAGGTGAGGTCAGGTCAGGTCGGCTGAGGTCCTGGCAATCGACACGGGTCAGTCGACGCCAGGTTTAGACAATCAACCACAGATGGGGCAGCCGCCGCCCACACAGGCCGGGCAAACATCGCCAAATCCGGTGCACTCACGCCTCTCACCATTCTCATCAGACTACTTTACGACGCACACCACTGCCAATAGCTGCAGACGGCGACAATGAACGCTTACTTACAGAACCGGACGCGGACCAGCGCTCTGCCCCGCCCCACAGGCGGAACGCCACATCCGACGCGTCTCCCACCTGGTGCTGGTACTCGGAGCCCAGCCCGCGCTGGCACATGCGGCGGATGAAGGCGCCGTGCGGCTCGGCCGGCTGCTCGCTCCAGTAGACGCAGCGCTTGGCGAAGTCGAAGTCGACCGCCACGCCGTTAGTCAGGTTTTTGGCGAGCAGTGTGGTGCCGGCGCCGGCTGGGTCCAGTGACGTGATGTAGTACCGGCTGATGAGTAGCACGCGTGCCTTCTCGGCTGGCGGCAGCGCGACGCCGCGTCAGACTGGGCGCGCGCCGCCCACCGCCCGCCTACACCGGGGGACTGCGACAGCCGCCCTCCCCTGCCCCTCTCCCCGCCTTCCTCCTCCCCCAGAAGACATGCAACGTCGGGACGTACGTGTTGTAGCGCGCTGGATATTGCGAACAAATGGTGATATTGGATGTCATGAAGCCACCATGCCGCACAGTAGATGGCACACATGAGCACGCTGGACATACAGGAACTTGCGCATTCCTCCTTGGCCTCCTGTTCGACTCGGCCACACGCACCAGGCAGGGCTCCACCACCCGCATCACACCGCGTCGCCGTCAGCAGCCAGGTGATCGGGCCAGACCCCCCCCCCCCCCGTCCCCACTGACCTGCCACGCTGGGGTCGGCGCGGCAGCTGTGGCCGTCACGTTCCGCCAGGAAGCCGTCGTTGCAGCTGCACCGATAGCTGCCGTACGAGTTGGTGCATCGCTGACTGCAGGGGCGCCGCGCCTCGGCACACTCGTTCCGGTCGACACACTTGTCCGGCTGGTCGGCCGGCGCCTGCGGGCACGGTGCTGGGTCATGCGCGGTGACGAACGCCGCTCATGGAGGAGCGGCGCGTTTCGGACACGCGCAAGAGGCAGCGGCCGGCTCGCCAGCCCTCGCCAGCAGCCACCTCCTAATCCACTGCGCCGTCTGCCAGCGTCGCGACGCCCTCACCTCGAAGCCGGTCCAGCAGCGGCAGCTGTAGCCGACCGGTTCGTTGACACAGATGTGGTCACACGGCGCCCGCCGCTGGCACTCATCCACGTCTGCCGGGCAGGGGCGGCGTGTCAGCGCGCGTCGTCGCCGCGCACCGCCGCGTGCGACCCGGCCCTTCTAACGTCCGTCTGCGTCACGGGACGGAGCGCCCTGCGCGGCCGGACGTCTCGCACGTGGGGCGCCCTGTGCGGCCGGACGCCTCGTACGTGGGGCGCCCTGTGCGGCCGGACGCCTCGTACGTGGGGCGCCCTGTGCGGCCGGACGCCTCGTGCGTGGGGGCGCCCTGTACGGCCGGACGTCTCACACGTGGGGCGCCCTGTGCGGCCGTACGTCTCGCACGTGGGGCGCCCCGGACCCGCAGCGGCGGATAGTCGCCACTCACCGCACAGCATCTCGTCGCTGGCGTCGCCGCAGTCGTCGTGCGTGTCGCACACGGCCGTGTCGTTGATACAGACGCCGCTGTTGCAGAGAAACTGGCCGGGCTTGCAGGCGCCGACTGTTGACGTGTTGGTCGCCTTCTCCTCTGGCGACCGCCGCCACTCTGACGCGGACCACACAGGCCGGTCACGGACGCAGGAAAGAATGCGCATCGCAAACCCAACGGTTCGGCTCTACTTGGCGTCAAGTGGACGACAGGTCATGTGGACGCCCCTTGCTCAAAGGCTTCCAAATCTGCCGCACAAGCAGGTCGCAGCGACACCAACCGGCTTCGAAGCGAGTCTCCTGCCGTGAGGTGCGTGCTGGCGCGGAGCAGCAGCGGTCATGGGTCCCGCACACGGAGCAGTAGCGGTCATGGGTCCCGTGCACAGAGCGGTGGCGGTCATGGGTCCCGTGCACAGAGCAGTAGCGGTCATGGGTCCCGTGCACAGAGCGGTGGCGGTCATGGGTCCCGTGCACAGAGCAGTAGCGGTCATGGGTCCCGTGCACAGAGCAGTAGCGGTCATGGGTCCCGTGCACAGAGCGGTGGCGGTCATGGGTCCCGCGCACAAAGCAGTAGCGGTCATGGGTCCCGTGCACAGAGCGGTGGCGGTCATGGGTCCCGTGCACAGAGCAGTGACGGTCATGGGGCCCGCGCCGCTGCGCAGCGCGCGTTGAGCTCACCACAGTTGGGAAACGTCTCATCGCTGTTATCCTCGCAGTCGTTAATGCCGTCACATAACGCCGACGACGGGATGCACCTGGAACCGTCGCACACACAAACGCCGGTAACCATTTCGAGTCCTAAAATGAAATGCAGCACGGAATCCTTGCAGAGGAACCTGCATGCCGCTACTTACACTCCTGGAACGCTCGGTGTACCTCCGCAACTCTGTCTCAACTCCACACTCACCCTGCTAAAAAAGCGTCAACAAAAGCTCCCGAGCTCATCCGCAGTGACTCTGCAAGCCGAGTCTCGCGTGTTCCGAGATCAGCCGGGCTGCACATGGAGGATGGGGGTGGGGGTGCCCGCACGGGCCGGTCAGTCCCACTCACGCGCCGCGCAGGCAGGTGAATTGGCTGTCGTCACAGGCGCGGCGCAGGCAGTCGTCGGGCTCATCGGAGCCGTCGGCGCAGTCGGCCGAGCCGTCGCAGTAGGCCGCGCGCGGGATGCAGCTGCCGGTGAGGTGCGAGAGCCCGTCACACACCGCAGCCGCAGCCGCAGTCGTGCGGCAGTTAGCGCCGCGGCGAGCGCGATAAGCGTCCGTCTGCCCCGCCTGCGGGCCGGCCCCCCCCACAGGCCACGGCGGGTCTCGGCCGCACCTCCTCGGCCGCACGCGACCAGACAAGGGTCAAGAGCTTTCGAGCGATGATGATTCTGTGTTACCCAACACAGCTGATTCCTCCTCCTCCTCCTCCTCCCCCTTAAGCGGTCGCCTTGACCTAGTTATGAAAGGCGAGCACACGTGAAAGTTTGGACTGGCGCCTGATGCAAAACTTTTAAAGACAGCCCAATGCCTTGACGGCAATAGATGCCGCCTCACAAACACACACCCTCCCCCTCTCTTGCTCACGTTTCCACCGGCCGTTCACGACCGCACCTAAGACGGCACCCACACGCCGCCACCACGCCACCAAGCGCGGCCTCCCGCGTCGCCAGCCCCGAGCGGACGGCGCGCCGGTCCAGGCCGAGCGCGCACCTGCCAGACACGCAGCGGAAGCTGGCACTGTCGCACTGGACGTTGCGCGGCTCGCAGACGGCGGCCGCCTCGTCCTCGCCGGCCGGGTCGTCTCCCGGACAGTCGCGGTCGCCGTCACACACCCAGTGCGCCGGGATGCAGCGGCCGGAGTGGCACGTGAACTCGGCGAGGCCGCACGTCTTTGACTCTGGTGACGAGCGGAGGGAGAGGAGGCTTTAACACAATGCCGATCATGTCACGCCACATCACATGGCAGCCGCAGCTAGTGGGAGAGGGAACGGCGCAGGTTGGAAAACGGAGCGGCGCGGAGCTAGCCGAAGCGATCGGTAGAGGCCACACGCGTGGTAGCCGCGACGGGTTGGCAGAGGGGACGCGTTTCAAAAGGTTCGTTTAAGACCGTGGTATAGACGGGCTGGGCTGGCGCTCTGTAGGCGTTGGCCTTGTCCCTGAACTCGAAACTCGACGCATCCCGAATAAGATCAGATAACTCACTGGAGCCATCCGACTAATCCCTGGAGAACTACAATCGCCTCGTCGCCCCTCATTCCAAGCCCCGCTCGAGCCACTCATTGGGGTCGTCCGTCTAATCCCTGGAGTCTGAAGCACTAGCGCCTCGTCGCCCCTCCCTCCAAAGCCCGCTCTGGCTACTCACTGCAGTCGTCCGTCTCGTCGCTGGCGTCGGAGCAGTCCGCTTCGCCATCGCACTGCCAGCTGGCCGGATAGCACTCGCCCGAGCCGCAGCGGAACTGGCCGTGCCGACACTGGTGCTCTGTCGATCGACGCCAACCGTCTGGCAGGGCTCCGTCGCCTAGTGAGGCGGACCGTGCCGGGCCGCGCGACCGGCCTCCAGTGGGACGGCATGGAGACGGACAGACGGGAGAGACGGCCCGGACGCACTCGTTCACGCCGTGCCAGCAGGGGCGGGGGGGGGGGGGGGTCTGATCCAGGCCCCGTCGGAGAGAACACATCGCACCGATCAGGGCGAAGTGGGTGACGCACGACCAGGCGGCAACAGTTTAGGGCGGCTCAACGGTGCCAAATGTCAGAGCAGCCTGATAACTGTGTCAGAGAAGCAGCAAGAGACGCAAATGGGCCCACATGGTTGACATGGTTATACGTGGCGCAGGGAGGACGTGCGCCTCACAGCGCCGTGCAACAGCAGCCGCACATAACCCGGCACCAGCCGTACTCAAGCTGAACGCTCGCTCCGCACAGCTCAGTAGCTGCACATAACCCGCTGCTCACCGCAGTCGAGCTCATCGGAGCTGGGCCGTCCGTGCAGGTGGTCGACGCAGTCGTTGGTCTGATCGCAACGCCAGTCGGCCGGAATGCAGTGGCCGGTGCGGCAGCGAAACTGCGACTCCTGACACGCCTCATCCTCTGCCGGACGGGATGCCGTCAGCCGCCGACGCTGAGGGCGCCGCACAGGCGCCGTGTCGAGGGGGGACAGGCAGCAGCCGCCGCAGGGTGCCACACTGTCACAGGGGGCGTCACGCCGTCACAGGACGTCACGCAGTGGCGACACAGGCCGCCACGGCGCTCCAGTGGCGATATAGACGCCGTCGGAGAGAGCGTATTGGCAGAGGCAGGCAACATTACACGGGGATCGGAACGGCACGACAGGCGGTGACGACGGGCGGGACGGCGGACGTGTGCGGTGACGGCACACAGAGCACTCGCCAGCGGGACCGACCGGCGGATGCCGAGCAAAGTGAGCGTGAGATTGAGAGCGTGAGAGGCGCGAGGCCCGGTCGGCCGACTGACCGGGTTCTGGTCGCAGACTAGTGCAGTTGGCCTCGTCCGAGTTGTCCCAGCAGTCGTTCTCTCCGTCGCACAGCCAGGCGGGCAGGATACAGGCGGTGGTGGTGTTACAGGGCACCATGGCGTACTCCGGCCCCTCGACCGGCTGACGGCATGGTAGCGGCGCTGGCGGCACGGCGGCACTCGTCACCGCCCGGTCACGGCGCACGCCGCTCGCCCGGGGTCGACACGCCGCGCGCGGCGGCCCGGCGCCATCACCACCGAGCGACGCGTCAGGGGCCCGTTTCGAGGCAGCGTGGGCTTACGGCCTGCTCCACTGATAACGTGCCGGCAAGCAGTGCATGAGGCCTAAACATCAGATGGGGGAGGGGGAGGGGGAGGGATTTGATGAAGCGTTTGCGAGCTGGGGTCTAAACAAAGATTGGCGAAGTCCGTCACAGGGAGCAACGCGGACTAAACTGTGGTGGCCTCACTGGCCGACCGACCGGCGCCAAGACGCCAACAGCGCGTGACGCAAGCCCAGTGCGCACGTCAGCACCACTGTCCCACTAGCCACACACGACTCAGCAGTACGCCTCACCAGCTGTTACCGGTCAGACATGTACAGTCTGTCTTGCAAGCACCGTAAGTCACAACCAGACGCGTAATGGACAGCTCAAGCAGTTTGGGAGGCCCTGAGCCAACCAATGCACCAGGAAACCCTATGCCAGCGACACTTTTTTGGAACCCGGGAAACAACAACCACTCACGCTTTTACGGAACGCGGCAGGGAAAACCGAATGGTGTCGGGCTCAGTCCGAGCATTGGAGATAAAAATAACCCAGGTGAATATATTTCTGATGGCGAGTAAGAGCGATGGGAGGGTGAGAGAGTGAGGGTGAGAGAGTGAGAGAGAAAGAGAGGGAGAGAGGGAGAGAGAGGGGAAAAAGAATCGAGAGGAGAGGGAATCACGTAAGGACAGATAATCAAGTGGGGAGAACAAATAAAGTGGGGAGAGAAAATAAAGTGAGGAGAGAAGATAAAGTGAGGAGAGAAAATAAAGTGGGGAAAGAAAAATGATCAAACGAAGAGAAGAACCGTCCACCGACTCTCAACACCTACATGGTCGTTCACGACAAAGGCTGTTGGTTACACGTGAATCAGGTCATCGTGGGAGGTTTCATGAGTTACTGGAAACGTTTGAGCGACGGAAAGAGGGTGATATCGTCAGCAGTGCTAATATGCACATCCATCAGCACACTGTGCAACTGCAACTCTGCAGGATCCTTTCTTGAGTCGCCGCATACTTGACACTGCTCGCAGGCATTCGTGGTAAACGTAGGTCGCAAACGTGTTTTGAGGCGCATAGTGCGCCGTTGCTCCCGTCTAGGCATTTCCCGTCCAAACACTTGACAGATCTATCAAGGATAAGCGGTCGTCCATAAATTACGGTGTGCATCTGTAACCAATTGGGAGTCCCCTTTCCCCGGTTACGCACTGGCTACGCTGAACAAACCTCCACTCTCCTTGTTTACGCTGTGTAAGCGTAACACCACGAAAAGGTAACACCACTTTGGTCATCAACTGAGATACAAATGCAAAGCAAAACGGACGCGTTCCTTGTCATGAGAGGGAGCCAACAGAATCTGGCTGAGGAGTTGTAAAAATTCCTTTTTGATGAATGATTGGTAATCATACCTGAGCGTCCGTTCGCCCTCTATCTCGTGTCACACTTCGGTTACGCTTCATAAAAACCTCGCCATCCATGCGTAGCGTAATTCGTAGACGGTGGCTTAGGAAATGTATCCTTCACAGAACACAACCGTATAATTCGGAACGGTTCAGGACGTGAAGACTTGAATGTTCGTACAATGAAATCTACAGGAAGTTATGTTAGAACTGCGAAGTTTATCAGAAACCACCTTTTTCATATCAAAAGAAGCTCAGTTATATTGGAACCGTAAACCAATCGAAAACCACTTGCATGAAAGCCAGTTAACGAAATGATCGCGGATTTAGCGACATTCCCTAACACGACATGATGACGTAAGGTTTTAGGGCCCGCCGACATCAAACGTGATATTGCGCCCACCCTACTACAAGACAGAAAACGTACGTTTTCATGGGAAATACGATGCACATAACACGGTCATACACCCCCAGCGTGAAATGATTACAATTACATGCGATCGCTTTTTGCCGCCCGACATGTTCTTAGGGGTCTTATGGGTATCAGTTGACATCGTGCCGCCTATCGCTGGTGGTCGTAAGTCCGAAAAGGTCATAAAATAGTGATTTTAATTCATGCTTCGTTTGTTGAGAAGCATATTCGACCATCAACCGTCTTCGCAATAGTGTCGAGACAATACCATAAAACACCTCCCATGATGCCCGCTGTTGCTCTGCTATTACATATTACATATTGCCGTGCGAAGTCACAAATATTTTGAAGACCTTTCACAGGCCGTTATGAAGGAAAAACGCTACACGCTACATAATTTTTGGCGAAAAAAGTAGACCTGGGATGTGACTGAGGACAATGAGAACAACTACAATGGGAGCAATGGAAGAATGGGAACAATGGCACTTACCGGGATCGCTTTTATTGCAACCCCCCTGTCTGCTGCAAGACTCGCTTGCCACGGTCATCGCCTAACAGCCTGCTCCCGCCGCGGACCTGCGCTCCCTCCCTCCTCTGCCAGTAACTCCGACAGCTTGGGCGCGACGGTGTCACCGCCTGGCGAGGCCTGCCGACACCAGCGGACGCTGGCGCCGCCGCGCCTCACACTCACGACATTCCATCTCGTCGCTGGCGTCCTTGCAGTCCTGCACCTGGTTGCAGCGCTTTTCGTGCGGCACACACTCGCCCGAGCTGCAGTGGAACGGCGGCGCCGTGCCGTCACCGTCGCCGGCGCCGCACGAGCACGGCTCGTCGGCGCCGTCGCGACAGTCGGCGCGGCCGTCGCAGCGCGCCGTCGCCGGTACGCAGCGCGCGCCGTCGCAGCCGATGAAGCCGGCCGGGCAGGTGCGGTTGGCTGTCGGCGAGAGCGGACCGTGAGCAGTGCGAGGGAGCGGGGAGTGAATGAGGGGAGCAGCGCAGCTGGTCGGGACTAGCCGTCTGCCTCTGAGACTGCGAGCTGGGCCGAGATGCTGACATCCGAGCTGAGGCCCAGCTGGCGTCTGGAGGCTGACCTCTGAAACTGGCGGTCGCCACGGATGATTTTTTCAAGAGTATTTTGGCATATTCCACTATCTCCCAAGTCAGCGGGTGCAACACACGGTCCGGCACAGCCCCTCACGCCGAGCACACTGAGGTCATGTAGAGACCACGAGGAAAAGTAGGGCTGCGGTAAGGAAGTGATAGGGACGAGAGGGCGGAGGGGGGGGGGGGGGGGCAAAGAGGAAATACGCGTCACACAACGTGGGAAGAGAAGGCGCAAAACGAGACTGCCGATACCAGGCGCGCCGAGCGGGGCAGACGGACAAGGTCGCGCTACTAACCACAGTCGTGCTCGTCGCTGCCGTCGGGGCAGTCGTCGGTGCCGTCGCAGGTGAGCTGATACGGCACGCAGCGGCCATCGTCGCTGCCGCAGCGGAACGAGTCCTCGTGGCACGGGTCCTCGCTGCGAGAGCAGGTCCGCCCTGCCAGCGACCAGCGCCGTCACACGTCATTACGGTCGGCGACAGCAGACATCCAACAGCAGAGTGAGTGGGCACCAGCGTCGTCCTCTCGCCACGGGGCGCACGTAGCCCAGAGACCGGCCAGTTCAACTATCCGTCCACGGGTTCCAGTTCGCTCTTACCATGGAACTTTCACTCGAGCTTTGACTTACCGCACCGGGCACCTGCACGCATTCACACACCGCACAGTGCCGCACGGCTCCGCGTGCTCATCGGACGGCAGGCGTATGAGCTGACGGGCCGCTGACGGTCGCGACCGTCGCTCAGTGACGCCGAGCCGCCGCAGTCCGTCGCGGCACTGACCGTCCTCCAGCAGGCGGCGTCCCTCGGCGCATGCGCACTTGACCTCGCCGCCGGCGTCCAGCGTGCACACGTCACTGCAGCCGCCGTTCTTCGTCAGGCACGGGTTGCTGGGGCCTGGCGAGGGGCGGGGGTGGTAGTGAGCGGCGGCGCGCCATGGTCCCGCGCGGGGAGCGCAGCGCACCTCGGCCCAGGGCCGGCGTCTGCAGGTCACCGACGCACCGGTGGCAGCCGTCAGTCAGTCGACCGTCAGCAGGGCGGTGCACGTCTAGCAGGAGCAGGAATTGGCAAGCATGCGGACGCAGGCTGCGTGAGCGCGTGGTCCCACCGAACCACACCATCCCTCCACCAGGGATGTCGCTACAGCCGGCAAGAGCTTCCTTCTCAAACTTTTTTTACCAGTTTTGGGCCGGTTGATACCGACATAACCTGACAAAAGCTCTGAAAACAAAAACACTTTAAGCCTTGTAGCTGTTGGTTGCAATACAATTTTGGAATTTATTTCATTTTGTACCAAGCGATCTGATCACACAGCAATATGATCAACGGAAGATGCGGCTGATATGGTCTTATCCGGTGCTGTATGGCAATGGCCAATGACTACCTAATGTGGTGCAACAATGTTCTTACAAGCTAAAATGCAAAATCACTACCACTTAAAAGCATTTATTCATTGTGCTGCAGCCTTGCAAATGCGTGAAACGCGCATTAATTCATGGGCATTAGCAAATGTGGCGCGCTGGCCTTCTATGGTGCTGCAGATTTGGTGCATACAATCAACGAAATGCCTTGAAAAACATACCCTCAGAATCTGGGTTTGTGCCAGCGTCTGCCAGTTTAAACCATCAGCAGTTTCTGGAAGCCGATTTAAGCCGGTCAAAACAGGCTGGCAAACACCGTTTCAGCCAGTTGTTGATAATGATGCACCCTGCCCTCAACACACAAATCGAAGTACAGGCAGTACGGGGAGCGTGGAGTGGCGCCGCGGAGCTGGACCCCTGCGGTCCTCATCTCACGGCGTCGGACCGCTGCGGTCCTCATCTCACGGCGCCGGACCGCTGCGGACCTCATCTCACGGCGTCGGACCACTGTGGTCCTCATCTCACGGCGCCGGACCGCTGCGGTCCTCATTTCACGGCGCCGGACCGCTGCGGTCCTCATCTCACGGCGCCGGACCGCCGCGGTCCTCATCTCACGGCGTCGGACCGCTGTGGTCCTCATCTCACGGCGCCGGACCGCTGCGGTCCTCATCTCACGGCGCCGGACTGCCGCGGTCCTCATCTCACGGCTTCGGACCGCTGTGGTCCTCATCTCACGGCGCCGGACCGCTGTGGTCCTCATCTCACGGCGCCGGACCGCTGCGGTCCTCATCTCACGGCGCCGGACTGCCGCGGTCCTCATCTCACGGCGTCGGACCGCTGTGGTCCTCATCTCACGGCGCCGGACCGCTGCGGTCTTCATCTCACGGCGTCGGACCGCTGTGGTCCTCATCTCATGGCGTCGGACCGCTGCGGTCCTCATCTTATGGCACCGGACCGCTGCAGTCCTCATCTCACGGCGAAGCACTGCACGCGGGGCCGCTGAAAGCCGACCGTCAGTCAGTAGCGGCAGGCCGCGACCCCCCCACGCCGGGAGCGCGCCGGCCGTTGCGTGCACACCACGGCCGCCGCGACCCGCTCGCATCGGGCGCCGAGCGTCACTCACAGGCGGAGGCCTCGCGGCTGACAGCCACGATGCCCATAGGCTGGGCGACGTCACGCAGTATGAAGCTGGGGTCGCGGCCGGCGCGCTTGTCGGCCCGGCCGACGGCGTGTCGCACCCAGTCCGTCCAGAAGATGTGCTCGCCGAACACGGCCACGTCGAATGGGTGGCTGGGCGTGCCGGACAGGATCACCTGCCAGCAGTGGGAGTCACTCAGCAGGCCGGAGCGCACAAGGGAAGCGGATCAGGCCCTGGTCTCCACACTGCGGGACGCGGCAGACGCGAGGCAGAGGCAACTTCTGGATTTCTGACTAGAGTAACAGGGGCTTCCCCCATCCAACCAGTCCGTGTTGGGGACGTCATCTCGGGGGTCACCCACCACCAGTGACTACTTCCAGCCCCGCCCAGCTCTGTCCGGCGTCCAGGCCGCTTCGCTCGCCCCGCTCACGAGCTGCAGTCGCGACCCTCGGCCATCCCCCGTACCGCGCCCCAACCACCTCCCGTGCACACCAGCGACCTGCTCTCCCTGTGCGCCCCGCCGCGGCCGCCAGCGCACCTCGCGTCCGCTGCCGTCCAGGTTGGCCCGTTCGATCTTGTCGAGCCGCGCGTCGGCCCAGTACAGCTTGTGCGCCGGCTGGTCGATGGTGATGCCGTTCGGCATGCGGATGTCGGTGTGGATGACCGACATGACACTGTGGCCGGCCAGCTGGGCGCGCTGCACGCTCGGCGCCTGCGAGTTCCAGTTGGTCCAGTAGACCCGCCTGCCGGACACCGGTGTGGTCGGTTTGGTTCGGTTCGGGTTCGATTCCCGCAACGGGCAGCTTTCAGTGGCCCGATCCACGCCGTGACGTGGCAGCGATGATTGCCTCAGCAGCCATGGCAACACGTTTTGGACCTTGAGCTGTCTGGCAGCCGACGGCAGTCCGAAAACCCTTGAGTGCATCCTCCATGAGCTATGAAATTACCAATGGCTGAAGTGAAAAATGTCCCGTGTCACCCGGGCCCGGGCAAAGCAGTACTGAATGAGTTGATCGTATCACCGCAGTATCAATATTCCACTTCAGCATCTAAGAATTATACATCCGTAGCTACTCTTCTCTTGCGCTAAGAAGCGCGATTCTTTGCAGGGAGGGAGGGCGCGCCGCCGGCCTCCGCGCGAGGGAGGTGCGCGCGCGGAGGCCGGCGGCTATCACCCCTAACAATCGGGTCATTGTAGTCGCCCAGCTGCCTGGGCTGACAGCTGCAGAGCTGCTCTGATGGCCAGCTATGGTCAAGGTCGGCTGCTCCGAGCACGAACTGCCCAGCTGCGTGATGTCCAGCCACCCGGTAACAATCCCTCGCCATCTCCCAGCTGCAAGTCTCAGCAGCTGCCCAGCTGCCGGCGCGCTGACCTGTTGCAGCTGTCGATGGCGATGCCGCGCGGCTTGTCGGCCTCGTCCAGCGGCACGAGCAGCTGGACGCGGCTGCCCGAGTGGCGCACGTTGATCCTGCTGATAGCGCGGTGGCTGCTGCACGTCCAGTACACGTCTCCGTGCACCGGCTCGAACGCCACGCCCTCCACCGAGCCCTGCTCTGCCAGCGGACAGGCACGCACGGTCAGCCTTCAGGTCACGCAGGGTCAGGTCACGGCGGGACGAGACGGACTTGGTCCTGCCGGTGATGACGCGGCCGGAGTGGGGCTGGCCGAGTTTGGGACTGGCATCGGGTCAGGTCACGACACATCACGACACTGCAGGTCAGACGACATCAGGTCATGTCACTGCAGGTCAGACGACATCAGGTCACGCCACTGCAGGTCAGACGACATCAGGTGATGTCACTGCACGTCAAATCAAACGCTTCTCGGGCAGAATAAAGGAGCATCCACTGACGACACGTCGGATGATGTACGGACTCGGATCAGGACAACTCACCAGGCCACGTCACGACCATCGGGCCATCACCAGGCCCATGCGTCAAATCAAACGCTTCTCGGGCCGAGTAAAGGAGCATCCACTGACGACACGTCGGATGATGTACGGACTTGGATCAGGACAACTCACCAGGCCACGTCACGACCATCGGGCCATCACCAGGCCCATGCATGACCATCAGGTGCATCATGTCACATTTTCATATCCGCTAACATCACGCACGTCATAGATAACGGCAAAACACAGCTTTTCAGCACGTAGTGTGTACACTACACGTCAAATAGGCAAAACTCCGCGAGGAATCACCGACTCCTGTGCACCAAAGCTGACCACACGGGGCGACCGTCCGGGAGCTGAACTGCAGCCCGGTCGCAACACCGCTGCCCCGAGCCCCGACGTGTACACCGCCGTTGGCCGGCTCTACTCACGATCGGCGATCACCCTGTGATCGGAGCCGTTGAAGAGCACGCTGTTGATGCTGCCCCGCTGTATATCGGAGAAGAAGAGCCGGCCCTGCGCGTAGTCGAACGCCAGCCCGATGGCGTTACGCACCACCTGTTTCGTGTCGATGGCGGGGAACGGCGGCGCGCGCGTCAGCTCCGGGAAGAAGTGCAGGCTCTCCACGGCAGAGACGCGCGAGAACATGAGGAATTCGTCATAAGGTCGGCAGCTGACGCCGTTCTCGGCCAGCCGGCCGTGCGCGCACTGGCAGCGGTGGTCGCGCGGCGCGGCGCTCTCGCCGAGGAATACGCACAGCTCGGCGCAAAGGCCGTTGTCGGCGCACGAGTTGATGCGCGCCTGTCGGTCGCGGCTGTACACCTGCAGGTCGCGCAGCCGGCGCAGGCCGCCGCGCACCGTCTCCACCTGACTGAGATTGCCGACGGGCGCGCGGCGCACGCTGCCGCCGTCGACGGCCCGGTCGGCCCAGTAGAGGAGGCCGGCGTGTAGCGAGATGGCCGTGGCGCCGGCCACAGCCTCGCCGTCGGCCAGCAGGCGCGGCTCGCCGCCGTCGGCGTGCAGCCAGCCCAGCCGCGCCGGCGCCGTCAGCAGCCAGTAGAGCGTGTCAGCGCGCACATCCAGCGCCAGGTCAGCGCTGGAGACGCCCGGCGTCCAGGCGCCGAGCGTGGCCAGCACCTCGCGCCGGCTGCCGTCCGGCAGACTTCGCTCGATGACGCCCGAGGCGCCGCGCCGGTTCGTCCAGAAGAGCCGGCCGGCCGGGTGGAAGCAGATGGCGTCCACGCGGCTCAGGTTGCCGCGCGCGATCACCAGTCGCAGCGCGGTGCCGGCTCGCACCATGTGGATCGAGTCGGTGGTCGACTCCGACCAGTAGGTGTTGCCTGCAGGCGGCGTGGGGTTACCTCCGTGCAGCGATAGAAAGGAGCGGTCGAGCGTCGCGAACGGCGTCCGCAGCAAATTAGCAAAACATACCGGGCTTCACATCCAGCATCACACGATTCCCTGGGAAGTGCTTTAATGTCTTTATGGCCACTCGTTGCTGATGCTAACGCGTGGACCCTGAACTTGTCGCACTTACACACGCACCACTCCCCACCATTTATCCAACCCGAATAGATGACAGCAAAGCAGCGGCAATACCGGCGATAGGATCGGTGAGCTTCCGCTTCGATGTTCCGGCAGGCAATCACCCCCCTCCCCCCTCGAGAAGTGTGTGACTGGACCTCCGCAACATCGCCCCGCCCCCACTCGACCGCAGCTAACCCGCGACCTGGAGTTCACTGAACAGTAACCTAGTCTCAGGAGTGACCTTGTAGCCCAGCCCCCGCGCCGACTGACCTGTAACCCAGCACCCCTCCCCATAGACTGACCTGTGACCCAGCCGCCTCCCCCGCCGACTGACCTGTGACCCAGTCGACGGCCAGGCCGGTGGGGCCCTGCGAGCCCCTGACGTCGGTCGCCAGCCGCGTCAGGTTGGACCCGTCGCGTCGCACGCTCAGCAGGTGACCGGCGTCCTGGTCCACCCACACCAGCCGCTGGCGGGCCGCGTCAAAGTCCACCGAGTCGGCGATCACGGTGGCCGAGAGCGGCGGCAGCACGGGCTCGTCGCCGCCGGCCAGCGGTACGCCCAGCACGCCGTCGCCGCCGGCCACGATCAGGAAGTCGGAGTCTCCTGCGGGCGCGCCGAGGCGTCACCAGAGGTCGCGACAGTCACATAGGTCAGAGGGCAGAGTTGAGAGGTCGGACGGGTCAAAGCCGGAGGTCTGAGGTCGGAATTAGAAGTCAAGAACGTCCCGCGAATCAGCGATCCACAGGAGACAAGGGGAGACAATATGGCCCAATATGATCAGAGCCACCAGCTGGGTCTGGAAAATGCGGCCAACGGGCCACTCAGGAAGTCGTACAGCTGATCAGCACACACCTACCACTGCCGAAACACCGGCTGCCCCGGACCTGTTCGCACAGTGCCTCGGCCCGCCCGACCTGACCGCGTCACTCCGCGGTCCGCGGCGCGGCACCTGACGCGTCGCCCACTCAGTGACGTTACTCACCATTACACGTTTTGCCACCGACGGGATCCAGTATGAAGCCGACGGCGCAGCGGCAGCGCACCTCTGTCGGCGCCACGGGGAAGCAGAGGTGCTGGCAACCGCCATTGGCGTCGCTGCAGGCGGAGACGCGCGCCGGCTGCTCGGCCGGGTCGTACACGCGCAGAGAGAGCACGTCCGCGTCCGAGAATGCTGTCCAGAGCACGGGGCGGTCAGGGGGCGCACCCGCCACGGAGGCAGCCCAGCGAGATAGCCTCATCAACCCAGCTGGGGCAGCAGAAACGGGCGGAAGCCGGCTGGCAGCAGCCGCGTAAACAGGGAGTCTGTGGGATTCCGTCGCTGCCTGCCACGCTGCACTCCGCCCACTGTCAACAGCAACCATAAGATCCATGCGCATGTGTCAGCGCAGACCGCGCGTTCCGGACAAGCCCGGGGCTACTGCAATCTGATGCCTCACCCACACAGTCAACACAACGCACGCTGCCACTCATGCGTGTCCTACGTCTCTCCTTGGCTAACGCCCGTCATCACATAAACTGCCGCACCAGTGCCGACAAAACGCCGCCACCGGTGCGTGGCGACCCCCCCCCCCCCCCCCCCCCCCCCCTCCATCCACCCTTCCATCAGTCTCCCCGCTAACATTCGCTGCAACCCACGTCGCCGCGCCGCCGCCGCCGACCGACCTGTGCCGTTGCGAAGCGGCTGCGGCTCTTCGCCGGAAAGCAGTACGGATGTGACGCCACGCGTGCCGGCGTCGGCGTAGTAGAGCCGGCCCTGGCTGACGGCCACGGCCGTCGGCTGGGCGTCCTCCGGCAGCGGCACGGCACCCAGCGGGCCGGCGCTGCCGCCGGCGCCGAGGTCCAGCCGGCGCACGACACGCTCCTCCTCCACCCAGAGCAGCGCCGGCGCGGCGCCCGTGGCCAGACTAAGCGCTGCCGGGCACATGGCACCGTCAGAGGGCCGGCTTTGTGAATGTGGTCCGTGTGGCAACCACCACCGGCGTCACACCCCGGCGCGCCGGTGGGTCGGCGCCACGGCCCGGCGCGCCGGTGGGTCGGTGTCACGACCCGGCGCGCCGGTGGGTCGGTGTCACGACCCGGCACGCCGGTGGGTCGGCGTCACGGCCCGGCGTGCCGGTGGGTCAGTGTCACGGCCCGGCGTGCCAGTGGGTCGGTGTCACGGCCCGGCGCGCTGGTGGGTCGGTGTCACGGCCCGGCGCGCCGGTGGGTCGGGCCACAGGCCGACGGCGAGCTTCACACTTGTCCGTTATGTTTATTTTTCTTCACTGAAGTTCATTTATTGACCAATTATTTCAAACAGTGGCTTATTGTTTGATTCCATGCAAGCACGAATAAGAGCATAAGTGCACTATTGCGAAATGACGGCAAGACGACCAAGTTCGAATATTTTCAGTCATTCCGCCGATGAGGCCGCGCCATACGAAAAGGCCTGCGTGCCACCGACAGGAGGAGAGGTGGCAGATCAAGGACACCCGCCGCTGCCACGCGGCAAACACATTGACGCACAGTGGCACGTGGGGTGAACAGGGACCGGATCGCCACCAGAGCCCGCGAATCATTAAGGGCCCGGAACACAGCGAGGCTGTCACGGTGGGCGACAAGGTCACTAACACCGCGCCAGCCCAGCGCTTGGACAGTCGCCGCCATTGAATCTCGCTGACGAGCCTCGGCAACGATCCTGACCCTAAAGTTTGCCACCACAAGCACCCCATTTGAAGCACACGCTGCAGTGACACCACATACGGAGGCAGGACAGAAAGTAAGGGCAAACGTGTGACTGGATATAGAGTTTAATAAAGCCAGGCGCAAGGTAGTGACGAATTTTACGAAAGCAGAAAAGGGAGTTGCACTTTTGACGATATGAGATATGGGCATGAGAAAACGCTGAAGAGGATAGAACCGATTAAGGATTCCTAAGGGACGTCGTGAGTCAGCACAAGGGAAAGACCACTGCCTCATCCGCATCGGCTGGCACCCCTGCATGAGCAGTCTGTCAAACACAGCCGGGCTTCGCACGGCAGTCCATCAACCCCCGTCCGGCTTCGCGCGGCAGTCCGTCAACCCCAGCCCGGCTTCGCACGGCAGTCTGTCAACCCCAGCCCGGCTTCGAACCGCAGTCTGTCAACCCCAGCCCCGCTTCGAACGATCAACTAATCCGGCGCTGTGCGACGCGTCGCTCGCCCCCGCCCCCCCCCCCCCCCCCGCGGAGCCTGGGGCGCACACCCGTCCCCAGCCCGGTCCCGTCCCGTCAGCCCGGTCCCGTCAGCCAGGTCTCGTCAGCTCACCCGTCCCCAGCTCGGCCCCTGATGGCCGGTCCCCGTCGCGTACTCACAGGTCAGGCTAACCGGGTGCGCAGCGTTCTCCCAAAGCACGGTGACGTTCTCGCCAGCCATGGTCGCCCGCATCACCCTGCAGCACAGACGCACGCGTGAGAGCTCAAGACCGTTGCGCGCGGCCGGCTGCCTGAGCCGGCCCGCTGTGGTGGCATTGGCGACAGCTATGGGGCGTGTGTGTTGGCCGCTAGCGTTAGAGCGACGCGCGCGGACAACAGCAGTGAGAGCCAAAACGCAGCCGACGACAAGGATAGACGCGCGGCTTTTCGACGCCCGTCCAGCACCGTGACTCTGGGCTTCAATATCGATCAGTTACAACGGTAGTGGTCCAGTCCGGCAGACGTCTCACGTTAACCAAAGCGGGGGCGCCAGCGACCAGGCAAGCCAGCGACCGATGGAAACACTGAGCCTTCACTCGGCTCGACCTGATCCGACATGGCCAGCACAATTAATAAAAGGGGGGGGGGGAGAGAGCAACGTCCCAACTTATTCCGTGTCCCAGCCCGACCCGACGGGCCGTCGAGCCGGAGCATTGGGGCGGCTCGACCCGGCAGTGACCGCCCGCCGGCGCACCTGCTGCTGGCCGGACCGTGGCTCAGGTAGAAGAGGGCGCCGGTGGCCGGGTCCACCTGCAGGTCCGACAGCCGGTCCGTTTCGGAGGTCACCAGCGTCGTGTACAGCGCCCCCTGCGACCCAGAGGCGAACGCTCAGAGCAGAGCCGCCTCACTGATTGATTGCGGACACCGCAGGTGACTGATCGGTAATAGCCACGGAACAAAAAACAAAAACAAAAATAGAGGGCAGTGCCGTTACCAAAAATGACCGCAGTTATTGCTTTCAATCTCTTATTATCCCACTCGAATCACATGGGCGCGGGTAGTTACGCGAACTTACACCCAGGCAGGCAAGCGGACATGCTGAAGACATCGCGTTATTATTGGCAGGCTGGGACCACGCAGAGACCGTTCACCCGTCGAAAGGCGAAAAGGCTTAAGCAACATTGGGTCAAATAGAACTTCGGCCTTTGCCCTTCGAATCGCAGCATTACTTTGCCTCCACCAGCAGAACTCCGAAGCCCACCCCGCCCAGCTATCTTGGGCTTCGGGCAGGTCCCCGCCCGCCCATCCCCGCCCAGTTGTCTCGAGCGCCGGGCAGGCCCCCGCCCGCTCATTCCCGCCCAGCTGTCTCAAGCTCCGGGCAGGCCCCCGCCCGCTCATCCCCGCCCAGCTGTCTCAGGCTCCAAGTGGGGCCCCCCACCCTGCACCATGGCTCCACGGCTGTTCGGTGCCGCACCGGGCCCGCCGCTCGGCGGCGCCGGTTAGTCTGACCTGCAGGTTGGTGGCGGCTATCTCGGAGCCGGCGCCGCTTGGCGAGGCCGCCGCCACGAACAGCACGTCCGATGACCAGTCCACGGCCACGCCCGTCGGAGAGGACACTGCCGACGCCGTAACGCATATGACGCGACAACGTACGGCACGGCACGGCACGGCACGGCACGGCACGGCGCGGCACGGCACTATATAGCGCGGCGCCGCAGACTGACGCAATACGACACGGCACGGCGCAACACGGCTTGTCACTACGCAACACGGCACGGCACGGCACGATGGGACCCAGCCCAGAGACGGGGGGCTGCGTGGGACTGGCCGCCGGCCACGCAGGCACCAACCTGACACGGGCTGCTGTGTGGGTCCGCTGACCAGACTCTGGGCGCCCACCTGGGCCCCTCTGTCAGCCCAGACCACCAGCCGGCGGCGCGCGTGGAAGTCCAGCTGCACGGGTCGCAGCACGTGCGGCGCTGCCACGCGCGGCAGCACGTGGTAGAAGCTCGAGTCGAGGTCTACACCGCGCACACTCTCTTCCAGACCCATCAGCAGGATGCGCTCGTTCGCTGCCGGCGACCGCGAGTCAGGTCAACGAAGATGGCACCGATGGTGCCAAGCGGCGGGCGAAGCGAGGGTCAGGAGGTGACGTGCCGGTGCCGGTCACTCGGCCGCACGGCAAGGTTTGTTGCACTAGTGATGTCATGCAACCACAGCGTACCGTTGGGAACGTCCTGGACATGCTCCTTCGAGCGGTCCGTTATGCTCGGAGGGTCTGGCTTTGTTCCGCTTGCTCTGCTTGGGTCTCTTTGCGTGGAAAGCGTCAACTTTAGTCCAATACAAGGAGAGGAAAGGGGACATCGGAGCCTTGCGCACGCCGATCCACAAGGCCCCCGGCGACCGCGGCTGTTCGCTTAGAAGTGACGGGCACATACCAGATCAATAAGTCGCTTCAACACATGCAGCTACGTGTACAATGCCGTCCCGTAACCGGCCAGTATACGTTGTATCTGGTGCTGACGCGGGCGGGTCCCGCACTAACCGACGCATGTCTTGGTGCCGTTGAGCTTCATCAGATGCGGACAGTGACACTCGAACGAGTCGCTCTTGTTCAGCAGGCACAGATGCGAGCAGCCGCCGTTGCGGCGGCCGCAGGGGTTCCTCGCTTCGAACAGAGACAGGAGTTGTGAGCTGGCAGTCGTGCGGACCTCCCCCTCCCCCCCCCCCGAGTCCACACAGCAGAAAATTGGGGACAGCAGCTGAGATCAGCCAAACTACACGACGTTTCATAGCGGGACAGAGGACAGACATCACGGCAGACGTCGAGACCGTCTGGCAGTCCAGACGCCCGTCCACGTTGACCGTAGGCGGGCGTCTGAACCTTCAGTCAATGTAAATCCAATAACGCAACACACGCAACGGAAAACCAGCTCAAGTGAGAACGCCCGCTTGCCGTCCAGCTCGCTCCCCATCCGCTGTAAGCAACCTTCTACACCGACTGATAGTGCTGACGCGGCCTGGCTGACGCTGATGGAGAGGTATCGTCACACCATCGGGTCTTACCCCCCACCCCTCGCCCCCTGCCCATCGCCGGCCCTGAGCCGAGCCGACTGCACGCGCTTTTGTCGCGGCCGACACCGGCTGCTGGCGAACGGACCGAACTCAGTCGCAAGTATTGGCCTATTTGAAGCACGCCACAGAGCCCGGCTGGCGTTGCGTGTAGCAGCCCGGGCAGAGCGAGCCACACGAGCGTGCGCGCGCCGTACCGGGCGGCTGACGCGTCGAGTGCAGGATGTGGATGTCGAACGGCTGTGTGATGGTCATCTGGATTGGGTCGACGTCGCTGCCGTTCCACTTGTTCGCCCTGCCAACGGACGGCGTCAGACGACCGGCCGTCTACCGACCACGCTCTGACTCAGGACCACACTCTGACTCAGACTCCGGACCACGCTCTGACTTCGAACAACACTGACTGTGACTCCGGACCATACTTCGACTCTGACTCCAAAATACGCACCGACTCCGAACCACGTGATGACTCCGGACTATACTTTGACTCTGACCCCGGACTACCCTCTGACTCGGACCTCGAACCACACTCCGACTCTGACTTCAGACCTATTCCGACTCTGACTCGGGCTCGACTGATGTTGATCACGTCAGGACTGCGGACCCCCGAACTTCGGCACGCGCATCACCTGGCTTTACGCCTACCTCCCGGCAGGGCGCTGGGCCGTGTCATTCAGTCGCGCAACGGTATACTGACGGCAGCGGGGTAAACGCACGCGCGCGCTCCGTCGCATACGCCCCGTCGCTTCGGTTGGCGGCCTCTGCCGACCGCCGTTCGCGGTGGCGCGCCCTACCCACCTGACCACCGAGTTGGTCTTCCAGTCGGTCCAGTACACGTAGTTGCCGAACACGGACACGGCGAACGGGTGCGTGAGGTACTCGTGGTCGCGCAGTACCGCTCGGTGGTCGGAGCCGTCGTAGCGTGTCGTATGCACCGCGTCCAGCCTGCGGGGAGGCGAGCGGCGCGGGTCAGCTGCCGTCGCGGGCAGACGGCCACCGGCGCCCAGCCCGGGCTGGCGACAGGCCCTGAGGTGGGACGGATGGTCGCCTCGACGCATAGTCCTGCCCCCTGTGGGACGGGCGTGGCAAACTACGGCGGCCCCGGCCTCGACCGGCGCGCAGGTCTCCCCCCCCCCCCCCTCTAACGACCTTAACCACCTGCTGTCCATGGGCGTAGAGACATCCTCACACGTGAAACGACTGAGCTCACTTTCAGATTCCTCCTCATGACGTTAATGGCATATATTCACAAAAGGCAGCGTCATGAACGCCTTGGTTACCCGATCCTACATTCATGCCACCATCAACTTATTCACGGATACAAAGGACCTGTCCACAATAGGTTAATGCTTCACGCTTTTTCCGTGACACCGGGCGGGGCGGGACGTGGGGAACCAATGGACGCGGCGCCGCCCTGGCCGCGACAGGTCGGGACAACTCCTTCCACGAGCCGCTCCCTTCTCCCACACTCCCCGGTCGCCACGCACTTGGCGTCGATCCAGTAGACGCGGCGGTTGACGTAGTCGAGCGTCAGGCCGTTGGGCCAGGCGCCGCCGGTGGTGTTGACGTGGTACACCACCTGGCGCTGTCCCCCAGCCATCGAGGCCGACTCGATCCGGGGCCGCGCCTCGTCCCAGTCCGTCCACATCAGGATGCTGGCAACGGGACGCACGGTCAGTGCTGGGACGCCGAGCACCAGGCGCGGTTCACCGCACATGCTGAGAACGAGGCATCACACTATTCATATCAAGATACTGACAACCAGACATAGTGTAAATAAAGTAACGTTACCACCAAGCGGGCTTTTCGCAGTGACCGCCAGATAGAGCACACTTTCAAAATTAAGATACTTCATGATACTGGAAGTTTCAGATTGCAGCGCACATAATGAGAACAACACACAGCTCAGTTGATAACGGAACACTGAAAATTGGATGTCAGGCGGCACAGCCTGACGACCGGGTATAAGAAAACTCAAAGCTGAAGTCTCGGGATCCGTGAGCAGCCTGCATCCGCTGCTGAGAAGCCAGCCCGGCCCGTCTGCGCGCCGCACCGGCGGGCGGCGGGCGGCGGGCGGCGGGCGGCGGGCGGCGCCACACTCACCCGTCCCGCGGGTCGAGTGTGAGCGCGCGCGGGTTCTTCATGTCGCCGGCGATCAGCCCCTTGCGGTAGCGGCCGTCGAGCCGCGCCACCTCGATCTGCACCACGTGCGACTCGACCCAGTAGAGGTTATGGCCCACCCAGTCGACGGCCAGCCCCTCGGCCGTAGCCAGACCCGTGCTGATGACCGCCGTCACGTCCGAGAGAACTGTTGGGCCGGCGGGCAGAGCGTCAGCACTGGACCAATGGACCGTCAGCACTGGACAGGGGTCGCACAGTTGGAGAGCGCCAGTATCGGACGGCACAGAGCGCCAGTATCGGACGGCACAGAGCGCCAGTATCGGACGGCATAGAGCGCCAGAATCGGGCGGCACAAAAGCGCCAGTATCGGACGGCACAGAGCGTCAGCATCGGGCGGCACAAAAGCGCCAGCATTGGGCGACACAGAGTGCCACCATTGGGCGACACAGAGTGCCAGCAGTGTTGGTACAGAGTGTCGGTGCAGACTACAGCCGGTGCAGAGGCACGGTGCCATCTCATCGCCAATCCATTCGTTCGCACGAGTCATGCTGATCCAATTGCACATTATGGTGCAGGTTATCTTAGCAAAAAAAAACAACAACAACTTGATAACCCCCCCCCCCCCCCGTCGGCTGCCAAACGCTAGCGCAACAGAGACCCGCACGGAGGCCTGCAGGTTCCCGGTGAGCACGCGAGCCACGTCCCGGCCGGCCGCGGCACACGGCGTGCCGGCGGCGGCGCCAGCCCACCCACCGTCGTTGATGAGCGAGCCGCGGTAGATCTTGTCGCGGGTGATGTCCGACCAGAACACCTGGTAGCCGTCGCGCGTGTACAGAAAGTCGAAGGCGATCGTGTTCTGCAGGCCGGTGACGAGCGCGCGCGCTTGCATGGTCCGCAGGTCCACCGTGCGCAGCTCGTGCCGGTTCGAGAACAGGATGTAGGCTGGAGACTCGTCTGCCGGCCCGACCACGGCGCAGTGGCGTTTGACATTTGAGCCAAGCATTGCCATGGGAAAGTAGCTGTCGTGTGATCAGTTCACGACGTACTAAAAACTTCTCTGTCCTTATGTTGCAGTACTTCGTCGCGGCGCCAACGGAAACACAGAAACTCTGCTGACGGCAAGTTCGAGCCCACGACGTAGGCGTCACAACACAAGCATCTTAGCGGTACGCTGCAACGTTTCCCAATGATGGTTGTAATGACCCAATCACGAAATGTAATCCACAACAGAGGAGCGTGAACGGTGCATTATGCGAGAAACACATCAGCCACATGGAGCAGAGATTGCAAAGTCCGTGGACCCGCCCAGTTTACCAGCACCGACCGTAACCCTCGGCAACCCCCAGTGCATACTGCTAGGTCGCCTCCACACACAAAAGCGTAACCAAGCCCGGCCCCTCTCCGGTCGTGCCCGGTGCCCATCCGGTCGTTGTTGGTGATTGGAGTTTACGGGCGCGCCGACTGCGGTGGTCATTTGGCGCCCATAACGGGTTTTGATTTACCTATTTAATGAGCCGCACAAATGGTCCCAAAGTTGATGTGTTTGAGAAACAAAAGATCTGTTGAGATTCCAGAAATGGTGAGTTTTCTCCTAGCATACCACGGAGGGTAAGAGGCAAGTCATGCTGTCCAAAGTAACGTTAGCGTTCTTGATGATGATGATTTGGGCTTTGGGGCGCACCGACTACGTTGGTCATATGGTGCCCATAACCTACTTTTTAGCTAACAGTTGCCTGAAAAAGCGGGGAGATAAGGTTTCGTTCGATATATGGCATGGAATTGTATGTCTTCAAGATAGCTAAAAATGTGGCCGTCATGTACTGAGCTGGAATCGTCTCCCAACATACCGCAGGGCGTTTGACGCAAGGACCCAGATCCAAAATGGCGCATACACTCCGAGGCGAGGTGGGCGCAATCTATCAATACATGTCGTACGGTGTAACGATCCTCGCAGCGAGGACACCGCGGTTGGTCTTCCCCGCATAGCAGATAATGGTGAGTTGCGTATGTGTGTCCTATTCCCAGGCGGCATAGCGTCACTTCCTCCTGCCTCACCCTACAACAGCTGGACGCCCATGGTCCCAACCAGGGTTTTATCTCTCTCAGTTTGTTGGCAGCATGCGCATCCCAATTCGCTTGCCACTGCTTCAACATGAGTGCAGATACCGCTGCATATAGGTCGTTGGCGGGACTGTCACAGAAGGGATGCCAGATGCGTGTGTGGCGCGCCTCGCTGCGGCATCAGCTACTTCATTACCCGATATGCCAACGTGGCTTGGCATCCAGCAGAATACCACCTGCTTCCCGGATCGCGACAGTGTAGTAAGAAGAGTTAAAATGTTCTGAACGATGGAATGTAATGAATCCAAATCTTGCAGTGCCATCAGGCTACTAAGAGAGTCCGATAAAACTAAGTGTTGGTCGTCACTGTCAACTTCTATGAAATGGAGTGCTTCAAGAATGGCTATTAGCTCGGCTGTGAAGACCGATGCGTGACCAGGCAAAGCAAAAGACCGCGTAACAGGACCTTGAACAAATGCACATCCAACACCGGCATCCGCTTTCGAACCGTCCGTGAAGGTCTTCTTGTGATCCGGGCATGACGCAATCAACTCCAAAGACGTCAGCCGAAACTCATCCGGAGACACCTGCCTCTTCTCGAAATGGGAAGGTGAGACATCTACCGCTGGTGGACAGAGCTTCCAAGGAGGGGTCTCGGGAATTTCCCAACGAATCACATGCCGTGTGCGAATGCCACACTCCTGTAAAAGTGTGAAAACCCTCACACAGAAAGGTGCGATCCGATGTACTCTTCCAGACAGAAGCATGCGTATTGTGTGGCGAGAGAAGACCCACTTGTATGTTGGGTGATCGGGGAACTGCGCCAACTTACAGGCGTATCTCGTGCCCAGTACCTTTCTCCTAGTGGACAAAGAGGGCTCGTGGGCCTCAACAAGGAGGCTCGCTGTCGGAGAGGTCCTGAATGCACCTGTTGCGATGCGTAAAGCAGGATGATGTATCGTGTTTAAGGAACGCTTTACTGACTCACAAGCGCCGTCATAAACAAAAGAAGCATAGTCGAGCTTGGATCTGATAAGAGAGCGATAGAAGAGCAAGAGCGTTTTCCTGTCCGCACCATATGAGGTGCGCAAAATGCACTTCAGGACATTCAGGGTTTTAAAACACTTGGCTCGCAACGCCTTTATGTGGGTGCCCATCGGTTGATGGTCCGGGGCAGCCGGCCGCTGCGCCCACCTTCGCTGCCGCAGCTGAAGCCGTCCGGCAGCAGCCGGTAGCCGGGGTAGCAGGCGCACTTGTGGCGGTGACGCAGCGGCACGCAGCGCTGCGAGCACGTGCCCCAGTCGTCGCACGGGTGGCCGTCCGTGCAGGAGAAACCGTCGTTGGCGAGTCGCTGGCCGGCCGGGCAGAAGCACGCCGGGCCGCGGCGCGGCGTCACTGTGCAGGCGTGCTCGCACGACGGCTGGTACACCTCGCACAGGCCCATGTCTGACGGCGGTGGCGGTGGCGGCGGTCAGCGGTCAGCAGTCACCGGTTGGTCGCGACGCGCCGGTCCGCCCGGCCCGCCGTCCAGGCGGGCGTCAGAGGGAGCGTTTGTGTCAGTGTATCGGGGACGTCAACTGCTTTAGTTGAGACGACACGGGAGCACGTAGCGCTGACTCGGGCCGTTCACCGTGAGCGGGGCACAGGTCTCTGAAGACCTGTGCCTGTCTCTGAAAACATGCGCTCTCTCTCTAGCCTGGCGCTCACCGCTCAGGGCACGGATCTCGGCAGACAGGCGCTCTCTAGCCTGGCGCTCACCGCTCAGGGCACGGGTCCCGGCAGACAGACGCTCTCTAGCCTGGCACTCACCGTTCAGGGCACGGGTCTCGGCGGACAGGCGCTCTCTAGCCTGGCGCTCACCGCTCAGGGCACGGGTCTCGGCAGACAGGCGCTCTCTAGCCTGGCGCTCACCGCTCAGGCCACGGGTCTCAGCAGACAGGCGCTCCCTAGCCTGGCACTCACCGTTCAGAGCACAGGTCCCGGCAGACAGACGCTCCCTAGCCTGGCACTCACCGTTCAGAGCACAGGTCCCGGCAGACAGACGCTCTCTACTCTGGCGCTCACCGCTCAGGGCACGGGTCTCGGCAGACAGACGCTCTCCGTCGCTGCAGGGGCGCCCGTCACCAGCGTCGTTCGCTCATCACACCAGCGACGCGTCTAACTCTGTGACCCAAACCAACGGTGGCGACGTAAGCCTTTCCAGTCCACCACCCCCACCCCTCGGAGTGGCACTCACTGCAGAGCACGCCCTCATCCTCGCCGGAGGTGCAGTCGGGCTTGCCGTCGCAGACCTGCGCGCGCACCAGACAGCGCGTGCCGTTGTCGCAGGAGAAGTCCGGCTCGACACACGCCACCACCGACGGCGGACAGGCCTGGCGGCGCGGCACGTCAGTCAGCTGCCGCCCGCCGCCATGTCACGCCGCCACACTGAGGTCACTAAGGGTCGGCCTGCAGCGTGTTCGCGCTCGGCTCAGCGCTCACACAGAGGCACGGCGCCGCGGCGCATCTCGGCGAAACACAGTGAGAACAGCGGTGGAGAGGGAGGAGGGGGGGGGGGGGGGGGGGGGGTAGTGCGCCCCGCCGGAGCCTCATCACAGCTCGTCACGACGGTACCGAAGGAGTACAGAGCGGGATACATACCACCTCGTCCGAGCCGTCATCGCAGTCCCATTGTCCGTCGCACAGGTACTGGGCGGGCAGGCAGACCCGGCTTTTGGTGCAGCGGCGCTCCCCCTCTGCGCAGTCCTCTGGAACACGTGCGGAAGACTGTGACGTCACGCGCCAGGTCAAACTGAGGCGACGACACGTACCCTCTACCTCTCCTCTTCCCCCTGTCGCCGACGTAAAATGATGAGCGGCACCCAGGGCCCCGGCGTCATAAAACGGAACACACGGGGCGCGCCGGGTAACGCAAGCGCTCCGTTCGCCAGCGTTTGAGCTTTGGCAAGATCCATTCCATCCGAGATCATCGGAGGCCAGCCGGCATCAGTTCGAACACGGCGCGGCGCGGCACGGCACGGGACGGCACGGCACGGCGCGGCGTGGCACGGCACGGCACGGCACGGCACGGCACGGCACGGCACGGCACGGCACGGCACGGCGCGGCACGGCACGGCGCGGCACGGCACGGCGCGGCGCGGCACGGCACGGCGCGGCGCGGCGCGGCGCGGCACGGCGCGGCGCGGCACGGCGCGGCGCGGCACGGTGCGGCGGCCGCTCCGGTGACGCCCCAGCAGCGTACCATCACAGCCCTGCTCGTCAGAGCCGTCCGGACAGTCGGGCTGGCCGTCGCAGCGGGCCGTGGACACGACGCAGACAGAGGTGTTGCCGCACGGCCGCAGTCCCAGCGCTCGGTTCTCTGCAGCAGCGACGTGTCAGGTCAGGAAGGTCTTCCTCGTGGCGAAGAGCAACCGGCCGAGATGCACCACGCCACGGAGAACACAACACCCAGTCATTAACAGCGTAGCTTGCCGCGCTGCGTGCACGCACGCACGCACGCACGCACCGACCAGAACCTTCGTCAGTAACTTGGATTCCTCTCCAGACTACGGTTCGAATCCCTCGGGACGCAGAGGTTTAGCTCAGCGGGGGAGATGAGCCAAGACGGCAGTCCCGCCTCCCCCTCTCCCCCCCGAGGTGAAGCCTTTCTCTCGCTGCGACACCTCCGCCCGGCGAGAGTGATCACCCTGTTCGGTGAGGCAGGCGGTGAGCGTGGAACCGGCGTGCGCGGCGTGAGCGCCGGCGCAGGCCGCCTCGTCGGCGCAGTCGGAGCACTGGCATGTGCCGTCGCAGGAGGAGGCGGCCGGCATGCAGGCGCTGTCGGCCGCGCAGAACATCTGCCGACGGCGGTGCCAGCTCAGCGCGTCACGCGACCCTTCCTCAGTCACGTCAACAGCATCCAGAGTGAAGCTGCATACTCCGCAGAGCCATAGTTCCAGCAAAGTGCCATAGGCCAGCTTAATTCAAAATGATACGTCAAAAAGTGCTTTACAATTGTATTATATGTCATCCCATATGCACCTTTCCATTCAAAGGTATAGTTTTTTTCTGATATAGGCTCCTATGGCTGTTGGTCAACACACGACACGCGACGGCCGCGACTCGCATTGCTACCTCTTTCTGCTGCTGACAGATGACAGCGCAGTTGAGCTCGTCACTACCGTCGCCGCAGTCGTCGTGGCCGTTGCAGACCAGCGAGTAGAGGCGGCACCACCCGTTGGCGCACTTGAACTCGTTCAGGCCACACGGCGGGTACTCTGTGGGCGAGGAGCGTCAGATAGGCTGCGGCTACGCGGGTGGGGCGGCTATGGGAGGGGGGGGGGGGGGTAGGGCGCTGTGGGATACCGGGTACCTCACAGCCCTGTCACGCTCTGGTCACGGGAAACAGCGGCGTATTTTCACCACAGCGACGGGATCACCGCAGCATCACGGCCTTCGTCCTTGTGGGGACGACACTGAACAGAGGTCAAGGCATTCAGGATGTAGCGCATCCGTATGATCGACCGCTTGGACATGGAGTGATCCGGTGTCACGGACAAATGAGACCACCAGAGCCACTAGCGGAGATCCGTCACGACCGGTGGCGCTTTTGGGCGCCGCAACCGCCTGACCGACGCCGCCAATCACAAAGCATTAGCACAATGACCACAGGTATACCTGGTACCCTCAGCACACATTCCCACGTGACACGCCCGGCCAGTGGTTCCGAGCAGCGGGGAGGACCCGCCCTCCCGCTCCCATGACACGTTCAGGGCACCGTCCTGGGTGTGCCGCGCCGCCCCGCTCTGCTGATCGCACACAGAACGCGGCGGGCCCGGTCGGCAGCGTCGGACACCGCGTCACTGTTTTGACAGCAGCTGCCGCTCGCAGCGCGGCACCGGCGCTCGGCGGCGGCGCGGTGCTCACCGCAGTGGGGCGGCTCGTCGCTCAGGTCACCGGCGCCGCAGTCGGGGGTCATGTCACACACCCAGCCGCGAGGAATGCAGCGCCCGCTCCGACTACACTTGAACCGCTCCGGCCTGCCGGCACAGAGGCGACAGGTGAAGAGCGGCGGCAGAGGCAAGCCGATGGAGTCGACCGCCGGTCACGGTCTGCCCCAACGCGCGGGCCCATTGATGGCGTCATACGCCTGACAACATTCGACCTAACGCCGCACTGTCCGCAGCACCGCCGCTCACTTGTTCGCATTGTGATTCACCGGTTCAAACAACAACATTATGGAGCGGGCAATGATATTTGTGACTGGACACCAAAACGGGGCCGTGATCTCAGCTGAACGACGGGTTTAGAACAGCGCTGCGCACGCCACCACGCCGCCGCGGTCGAAGCTGGCCTGCCATCACTGACCCACAGGTGGCGTTAGCGCAGCGCGCCGTCTGCTCGTCGCTGCCATCGTCGCAGTCCTTGGTGCCGTCACAGATCCAGGCCTTGTTGACGCACTGCAGTCGCGAGTGGCCGCTGGAGTAGCCGCCGTCGCCGCTGCCACAGGCCAGACCGTCCGCCGGGCATGACGCGTTCTCTGGCGGAGGCGGGGGTCGATGAGCTCAACCACACCGACAGGTGTGGAGCGCTGGACATGTTCGGCAATTTGACATGATGACACCGGAAAGGACAAAGGTCGGCAATCGTTCTGTCACCAAATGCACACAGCAAGCTCTGCCAGTGGCGGAAGAGCTAGTAATTAAAAAAAAACACGGACAAAAATGTCACAATAGGCATGCACGGTTGAAAGTCAACGTTGAAAGCCAGCTGTTTAAAAGAGCTCCGAGGGGCGGTGCAGCTGGAATCCCGCTGTCGTGTGCAGCAGCGCATGCACTGGAGGGTGCTGGGATGACAAGGCTGGACGAAGGCCGTCGTCTGCCCGACCCCAAAGCCAGCACCGCCCAGGACCCCCACACACTCGCGGGCACTCACGGCCCGCCCTGGACACTCACGGCACGGTCCGGTGTCGTGGTCCTCGTCCGAGCCATCGTGGCAGTCCTCCTGGCCGTCGCAGACGTAGCTGAAACGGAGCGCGTCGTGAGCCGGAAACAGGCGGCGACGGCCGGGACCAGCGCGCCGCGCCGCCGGACGCTGGGGCGCTGTCACTCCGGCCCGGACGTGACCACGGCCCCACCCCGGCGGGCGGCGTCACACCGGCCAAGCGACGCGTGGTCACGGCGTGCAGACGCTGCCACGACTGATCAGCGCAGGCGAAAGCTTACAACCAAATGCGAAGCATGGGAGCATGACCCCAAAAATGAAGCCCACGAAAGGAGCAAGCCAAGTGCGCCCGGGCATTCAGCCGGGCTTCACGGCCGCGTCAGACACAGCTTCCGAGCAGTGCGCCGTGTGACACAAACCTGCCACGAGAGTCCGCACACGACCGTCACCATTCCCGTCCACCACACCGACACGCCGTTCACCGTTCCCGTCGGGCAGAGCGCCGGGCGGTGTGCTTCCCCGCCTCCTCCTCCTCTGCTCACTGCTGGTTGATGCACTGTTTGCTGACGGCGCACTGGAACTGGTGCGGCTCACAGGCCAGCGGGTCGCTGTAGTTGGCGGCCGGCGCGCAGCTGCGCTGGTCGGCGGCCAAGCTGAGGCCGTCGGCGCAGGCGCACCGGTGTCCGCCCGGCACGGCCAGACACAGGTGCTCGCAGCGCAGGTCATGGCAGCCGCCGCCCAGGCGTGCGAGGCCGCCCTCTGCTGGCGCGCCGGCAGGTCAGAGGGCCGCGGAGGCTGGGGCCGGCACACCGGTAGTGGCGTGGCTAAAGCAGAGATCGTTCCCCAGGGGTGGTGCCCGGGGAACACTTCGCGAGGAGCTTCACACGTCATCAGCGAGGCGTACTGTACACTGGACGTACCGATCCAGACAGCTCCTTGGTAGCACGCCGTGGGGCCGTCCGTCGTCCCACACACAGTAAGTAGCACCTTGGGTCCCCCCTACCCCGCGTGCCCCGCCCTTGGACTTCGCGCTGCAGGGACCGCCAGCCGCGCGCAGGGCCGCACGTACCGGCGGGGACGCGGCCCGGCTCGCACAGCTGCTCGGTGACCAGGGAGCGGGCGCGCTGCGGCAGCGGCAGCCGCCGGCCGCCCTCCTCGCGCCACAGCTGGCCGGACGTGGTATCGCGCCAGTACAGGCTACCGTTGCTCTGCACGCCGACCAACACCGGCCAGCCCGGCAGGCCGGTGCTCACCACCTGCCGACGAGGGTAGGGTAAGACGGCGCCGATGGCTGCCCCGCTCCGGTGAGATACAGCACGGAACAAAATATCTTCAGTTCAATAAACCGCCTGGAATATACTGAGGTGAAGTCACGCCACACCGTCACAAAGCGCACCTCTCGCCTGCTGCCGTCCACGTTCACTCTCTCTATGTTCTTCTCCTCGATGAAGTAGAGCTTCTTGTTGGGGATGTCCAGCACAACGCCGCCGGGCCGCTCCAGCTCCAGCAGCTTCTCCCTGCGTCGGCAAGGGCACATCACTCAGCAGCCATCGCTGAACGCGACGAACGCGGCGCAGGGCATCACAGTCGCATCCTCGCGTTCTGCCTGTTGGTTTAGCGCCATGTTTGTTTCTCGGACTGGCTGCCACCCCACGTCACGGACGGAGCGGAAACGCTCAACAAGCCGTCAGCCCAGGACGGCCGCATCGCTCCCACAGCTCGGCTCGGTGCTGAAGTCCGCGTCCACGTGAGGGCCTCCCTGAGACCGTCTACGGGACAGCAGCGCAGCGTTGGCATGGCCCGAACCCCCGCCACACACACACACACCACCACCGCCGGCGGCGCCCCCTCCCCATGCGGGGAGAGGTGCAGCCGTGAGCAGGGTGAGTCAAAAAACGGGTCGGGACTCACATGTGAGAGCCGTCCATCCAGGCCCGCTGTAGCGCGAACCCCTGGCCGTAGTGAATCCAGTACATGTACCTGACGGAGACGGGCCAGACGGGACGTCAGTCGGGGGCCTCGCCCGGCCGAGCGGACCGTTAGGTCACGGGAGGCGACGCGGCATCAGACGGCGGGCGGCGTCACGACCACGTACAGCACATACAGCTGATAACGTCCCAACCGTACAGCTCAGCACGGCTTGGCAGAACAGACCGGGCCATGACGAGGCGGCAAGGCAAGGCAAGTCATGACGCCGGTAGACCTGGTGACACGAGCCACCGCGTCAGTCTTGACACGACAAGCCGTGGCCCCGCACGGCAAGGCATGGCACGCCGTGGCACGGCTCGGAGGACATGTCTCGGCGTCGCGTGGCACACCGTGGCGTGCCATGGCGGGGCGCACCCTGGCACGGAATGTCGCGGCGGAGCACAGAATAACACGACACAACACGCCACAAACTCACAGCACCGCATAACAGGAAAACGAGCTCCACGCGCCGCCGGCAGTTCCCCGACTATTTGCCGCGTACGTGGCGCCCCCGTCCCATAAGTACGTGTGACAGCCCTCCGCCCGAGCACAACCCTGCCCCAGAGAGCGGGCCGACGCTGGAGCGGCGGCGCTTACCCGGCAGCTGGGTCCAGCTCTAGGCTGAGGAAGAGCAGTGACGCTTTGCGAAGCAGGAGCCGGCGCCGCTCGGGCCGCGCCAGCGGCACCACTGATATGGCCTCGGTCACCTGCGGCGGAACGGGCCGCGGTTCAGCGGATCGACGGGTCAGCCGATCGGCGGATCAGCGGGTCCGCGGATCGGCGGGACAGCGGATTGGAGGATCAGCGGGACAGCGGATCGGTGGATCAGCGGGTCCGCGGATCGGCGGGACAGCGGATTGGAGGATCAGCGGGACAGCGGATCGGCAGATCAGCGGGTCCGCGGATCGGCGGGACAGCGGATCGGAGGATCAGCGGGACAGCGGATCGGTGGATCAGCGGGTCCGAGGATCGGCGGGTCAGTGGATCAGCGGATCGTAAGATGGGCGGCACCGGCGAAGGCAGCGGAGCGTCTCAGGGACGGGCGGTCGCGCCACGGTGGGGAGTTGTACGTTTGGCACGAACGGAACTGGTCAGTCGGAACGGCTCGCAGTTAATGTGAGGTGATGTGGTAAGGGTGAGGGCAAATGGGCAAAAAGTTACTGAATATGCAGTGTAACAAATCAACTATTTCATGTGCAAGACTGTACACTTCAGCATCCAATGCTGTCCATGGCACCTTGAACGACTTCGTCTGCAGCTGGTAGACCATATCAACCCGTGGCCTCTCTCGCAGTCTACATCGCCACCGTGTGGCAGCCGTCCGCCCAGACCGCTGTCAGTCGCCGTGGATCGGTTCCACGGCGACCGACAGTCGCCCGGCGGAGCCCCGCGCCGGCCGTCCGCCCAGACCGCTGTCGGTCGCCGTGGATCGGTTCCACGGCGACCGACAGTCGCCTGGCGGAGCCCCGCGCCAGCCGCCCACCCCTACCACGTCCGCCCAGTAGAGGTTGTCGTTAAGCCAGTCGACAGCCACGGCCGAGCACTGCCGCACGCCGTCGGCCACGAGCACCTCGCGCGCGCCGCCGGCCAAGGCGCGCCGCTCGATCGTCATCCTGCCAGACAGGTCCGAGCCGGTGAGCGGTCGGCGCCAGCGCGCGCCCACGAGGGCTGATGCTAGTGGGCGCCACCAGTAATCCCTAACAAAGCGATCATGTAACAGGGCCCGGGTTGCCTCAATGGGTATCAGTTGGGCGTACCCATGCGCCTCAATCGTCTCGCGCTCATTGACACCCGTGTTTATTTGTCATCTCTCAGCTGTTGACATGTGTTTACGGCCTCCCTCGCCCACTAGATCAAATGTGGCTCTGTCGTCGCAGCCGGCAGTTGACATCCAAGTGCTTCCACTGTCCCCCCCCCCCTTCCCTCCCCTCCTCGCCCTCCCTGCCCAATGTGCCCTTTCCATCTCCCAAAATGATAAAACACACAAGCCTATGCCGCCTACACCACCGCCTGACATTTTGCGTTCTCCTTCGCCTGCGAACAGACCCTGGGCCCCCCAAGTTCCCCGCACCCTTCCCGCCGGCGCCATCCCAGCACCGAGCCCAGATCCCTCAGGCCGGGACGGGCCGGCGTCCGGAGGAGGGCGGCGCTGCGCCACACTTACGCGGCGCCCTCCGTCGTCGGCACGTTGCAGAAGTAGAGCCGGCCGTTGCCTGGCTCACAGTCGGCCACGGGCGTGACGTGGCGGCCGCGCGCCGCCGTCACGGGCGGCACCAAGTCGCCCGGCCGGCCGTCCAGTGCCAGGCCCAATACGCCGCGGGGCGAGGTCGCCAGCAGCACCGGCTGGCCGGCGTACGCTGCCGGCGGTGGCCGACGCGGTCAAGTCACGAGCCACCGGCGACCGGGGGGCCGGGCAGGGGCGAGAGACCGGTGACCGTGGCTGCGAAGACGACGAATGGCACGGGCGAGCGGGACGAGCGGGACGAGCGGGACGGGCGGGACGGGCGAGACAGGAGACGGCGGCGAGCCGGGTCGGGCAGGTGGAGGGACCGGGCGCAGCAGTGAGCCGGCGGCGGCAGGAGCGAGCGCCGGAGCTTATCCAATGAAGACCGAGGGGGCGACCGAAAAAGGAATGACAAATGGTGCAACACGAGAGGGCTGGCAAATCAAAGGCATTTCTCGGGACGGAGGTGCCAAAAGGCCGCGCAATACTAACCAGAGTAGAAGCGGGGGACGTGCAGGAGCTGAGGGAAAAGACGAACCTGAGCGACCACAGTTGATGAGCCTATGTGCCGCAGATTACTAGCACAAGAGTTTGAGCTTTCAGGCATCGGTAGGGCGATGGAGGAAACAGCTTACACTCCGGACCATTCTGTCAAAATGTACGGAAATAGCACACCCAAGGCTTAAATGGTAGCACTTGGTGACACGCCGCAGCCTCGCAGCTAACCACCACCGACCTGAAAGACAACACATTAACGTGTCGCTTGGCCAGCTTGAGCATCAAAACACCAGCACGTGCTTTCTCGTCAGCTACGGGGTGGTGGCGCGCGCCAGCTCCCCGGCCGCCACTCGCGCTGGGACACCCACCGACGCAGCGTCCGCCATCGGCCAGCCGGAAGCCGGCGCCGCAGAGACAGCTGGCGGTGGGCGTGCCGTCCGTCGACACCGGCACGCAGATGTGCTCACAGCCGCCGTTGTCCGTCTGGCACGGGTGCTCCACTGCAACAGGCCGGCCGCCGCAGGCGACTGAGGTGACCACGCGGGGACGCAGCATGTCGTGTGCAGGTCTGAGATTACAAGTGTTTTTGTGATGTATATATATATATATATATATATATATATATATATATTCCGTTCTGAGACTACACACGAATTGCGTCCGGTGCACCGGCTCCTGAGAGCGTTCCATGCCAGGGTCAGCACGATGGAAGCCACTGTGGCAGGGCGGTTGTGTGGTACGGCCTGCGTGTGAGTGGTTCGCGGTATGTTGCGATAGTGTGGCCGGGGAGGGGGGGGGGGGGGGGTTGACCGGATGAGTATACGGGTAGCTGTGCAGCAGGGCGGGTGGCTGGCCCGCTAGGTACCAGGGCAGGTGGCGGGCTACCTGGGTGACAGGGCAGGTGGCTGGCTAGCTGGATGGCTCGGTTTGTTTCGTTGCCGTTTGGACGCACGGCAGTGTACCTGTGTGGAACCCCGTGACTGTATCCATGCCTTCGTCCCTGTCCGTGTCCGTTCCGCGCGCGCCAGGTCAAGACAGGCTGGTGTAACATGCATTCATCTGTTCCTGTGATGTTCGCAATATTCACCTGCCTGAATGTCGTACACACACTTGTGTCAAAGCCCGTCCCTTTCTGTGCCGCGATACGCCTACAACCACGCCCGTGGCTATGCCCACGCCTGTGTCCGTGTCCATGTCCGTGCCGGCAGCCTGCACTCCATACGCCCAGCACCCCTTTCTCCGCCCTGGCACTCACCGTCCGGCTGCTCTCCTCCCTGGCACTCACCGTCCGGCTGCTCTCCTCCCTGGCACTCACCGTCCGGCTGCCGCTGCCGGTGGAAGACGCGCACGGTGCCGAGCGGCCGCTCCGGCCGGTTGCGCAGGGGGCGGGGCAGCGGCCTGTCGGTGCCGCCCACCAGCGTCGCGCCGTGCGCCCAGTCGGTCGGCCCGTGACGCGTCAGACGCGGTGCGCCCCACCATGTGGCGTACAGCCGGCCCGCCAGCACGTCCAGTGAGCGCACGTCCTGCCGGCACGGCACGGCATGGCATGACATGGCATGGCATGTCACGGCACGGCACGGCACGGCACGGCACGGCACGGCACGGCACGGCACGGCACGGCACGGCACGGCACGGCACAGAGACCGAGCCGTGGTTCGATACCGTGATTTTGGGGATGGAAATGAGGTCGGACACGAACGGCACTTGCCAAACGCTGAAGTATGGGGAGGTGAATTTCACATAGCACGCGCTTCTCTCAGACAGCTGTCAGTGGGTCTCGGCTTTCTATCCATAAAACGAACACATGCACAATGCTCTCACGCACCATCTCAAGCGCCCATGCCAAAGCAGGCACGCCCATGTACATACAAAATTACAACACCATAATCAAATCCATTAATCGAAAGACCAACCATCAAAGGAACTTATTACTGCGGAATCAGAAACAACGAATCAATCACTTGAACAATCAACCAACAAAACAACCAATGCTGAACACCGGTATTTGGAAAATAGATTATTTGATAACATGTCATTGACGTCAATGAAAATATTCGTGCCCCCTCCCGAGACTGTTCGCTGTCCCGCCCGGGCCGTCCTCGGCCGCCGTCTCCGCGGGCGAGCGTGGCGGCGCCCCCTCCCGAGACTGTTCGCTGTCCCGCCCGGGCCGTCCTCGGCCGCCGTCTCCGCGGGCGAGCGTGGCGGCGCGGCCTCACCGAGTCGGCGAGCGAGGCCAGGCGGCGCGCCTTGCCGCTCTCATAGTCGACGGCGGACAGGGCTCCCGACAGTCGGTCGGCCACGTACAGGCGGCGCGTGGCCGGATCGACGGCCAGCGCGCCCAGCCGGTCGCCGGGCACTGCCAGCGCGCGCCGCCCAGCGCCGTCCGGGGCAGCGCGCACCAGCACCGACGGCTGGCTCAGGCCGTGGCCGGCGGCGAACAGCACACTGCGGCACACCGGCTGGCCGTTACGGCAGGGCTGGCCAGCGGGGCGGTCCGGGACAGGGCGCTGAGTCACGTGGAAGAGGAGTGTGGGCAGGGATACAAAACCCACGAGGCCTTAGACAGGGTGCTGAATTACGTGGGCGAGGAGTGCGGGCAGGGGCACGGAACCCACGAGGCCTTAGGCAGGGTGCTGAGCCACGTGGGCGAGGAATGTGGGCAGGGGTACGGAACCTGCGACACCTTGGAAGTAAAACGGGTTGTAAAATGATGCAAGTCCTCACTGTGGGGTGTAGGTGGGACTTGTAGTTGAATGGATTTATAGAGATGCTCAGTTAAGTGCACATGGCCACTAACCGGCTGCGGTGATTCAAATCACGACGAGGTTCCAACCGCTGGATCGTCGGCAAAAGAAAGACATCGTAACGAGCAAAAAGGAGAGCACACCTACTTTTAGGCTAAGCCACCGAGTCATCTACACACGATTTCACTGTCGGCAGCCTTTATCACAGACCAAGCGATCTTGAATCACAGCCTGTGTAACGCACTAGGGCGAGGGTTGGCCTTACCCAGTCGGCCCCACACACCTGTTCTGCACGTCCAGGGCCATGATCAGGTGGTCCACGCCCGGCGCGAAGTCCATGACGGCCGAGCAGGCCGACAGCTGAGCCGTGCACACGAGGATGTAGCGCCGGGACGGGTCGCACACGTACCAGTTGCGGCCGACCCAGTCATACTGCAGCTGAGTCGCCTCTGCCGGAGAGGGGGACGGGGGAAGCGGATGCTCAGGACAGCTGGCCGACCCTCGGGCGCTGCTGCACGGAGACACGGCCCCAGACACAGACACAGGCCGGCTAGCACACCCTCCCAACCAGCCAGCTCGCCATCCAAAAACCCATGGGGTACACGTCAGAAGACGAGGAAGCATGTGACGAATGTCAGCGAGTGGGCGGCGGCATAACATGTGACGAAAGTCAGCGGATGGACGGCGGCACAAAGATGACACAACTAGGAGGAGACAGTCGCATCGCGTCACTCAGCAGACAGACGGACGGACGAGACGCGAACGGGAGACGAGCGCCCAACACGGCAGCCATCAGTCAGCGATCAGACGCACGAACGAGACCCGTCTGGGGGCGGGGGCAGGGGAGGGGGGGAGCTGAGTATGATGCAGCGAACAGCGGTTCCTCCAAGTGGGTGGCGCGCTCTGCCCATACCTTTGAGTGAGAAGTAGCGCGGACTGGACACGTCCCACGTAGTGGAGAGGTTGGAGACGCTGGAACAGCTCAGGCCGCCCTCGGCCGACACCCAGCACACGGAGTCGTTCCTGTGAACATTGCCACAGCCCCATCAGGACAGCCAACATCGGCATTCTCTATACACCGCGAGATCGCAGGTTCGATCTCCACCAAACGAAACTTTCACTGGCTGTGGTTTCCACAGCAGTGTTGCGCAATTAGCGACCTGACAGCTGCATGCATTTCCACGTCATCAGACGAATACAGTTACAGCCGGCGGGAGCGATCGACTTCGGGCGAGACAGCGAGAGAGTTCGAGTTCCGGAGCGAGAAATCACAGCACTGGAGAGCTGTCACAAGCGTCATTACAAGCGTCATTACAAGGGGGCTGCCGGGCAACGCTGCCGCTCACCGTGACCACCGTACGGCGTCGTAGGCGGGCACCAACGCAGAGGTCAAACGTGACACTCGATCATCTCCAATCACAACACAACCAACCGTTCTGTAGTGTTCTGCTATTGGTTTTTGTTTGCTCCGCCCGAGCTCCACCCAACTGCCGGCACCCGCCAAGTGTCACCTGTGGTCGAAGTCCATGGCGGCGGGCTGGCCGCGGCGGCTCGTGTTGAGGTGCCGCCAGCCGGCACGGCCCTCCGACAGCCGACCGTCAGCCGCCGACAGCCGCAGAAGCACTGATTCTGTGCTGACCAGCAGGCTGGCGGGAGCACCGACGGGCTCTGCCGGCGGGCGACGGAGGCGTCAGGCTCGCGATAGCGGGGGGGGGGGGGGGACGGGACGGCTGACGGGGGACGGCTGACGAAGAATGACTGATGCAGGACGGCTGACCGGGGACCGCTGACGGAGGACGGCTGACGGGGGATCGCTTTGTTGTTGTTTATTGGAGTTTACGGGTGCGCCGACTGCGGTGGTCACTTGGCGCCCATAACGAGTATTGTTTTACCTAACTAGTGAGCCGCGTAAATGGTTCCAAAGTTGAAGTGTTTGAGAATCAAAAAGACCTGTTGAGATTCCAGAAATTGTGAGCTGTCTTCTAGTATATCACAGAGGGTAAGGGGCGAGTCATGCTGTCCGAAGTAACGTTGACGTTCTTCCACGAGGCGCGGACAAGATAGAAGGACGTGGCGGACGGTAATGACGGCGCCACATCGGTCGCAGATAGGTTTATCAGCTCCCTCCAACATGTAGCCGTGGGTTGCGTACGTGTGCCTGACGCGTAGTCTGCAGAGGATCACCTCTTCTTCTCGCCTCACTTTGCGGAAACAAGAGAACCACTGACCTCGCTTAGGTTTTATCGCTCTAAGCTTATTACCATCCATCCGATCCCAACAACGCTGCAACTTGCTGCGCAGGAAAGTTTGTATTGCAGGGTAAAAGTCTCTAGCATGGATAGAAAGAGAGCGAACACATGGAGCCAGCGCTGCTCGCCTGGCAGCCGTGTCAGCCAACTCGTTGCCCGCGATTTCAACGTGACTAGGAATTCAACATAACACGACTTTCTTTCCGGCCTGATCCAGTTGAGTCAAGCGAACTAAAATGTCCTGTATAAGGGGGCATGATGGATAGAAAGACTTCACACTAAGAACGCTGCTCAACGAGCCCGTCAAGATGAGATGCAAAGGCTCGTCACCGACTTCAATGAAACATAGTGCCTTAGCAATTGCTATCAGCTCCGATGTGAACACCGGCGCGTTTGGGAGCCATGAAAACGACCGGATGACGCCAACGCTCACAAACGCACAGCCTACACCATCAGAAGTTTTAGAGCCGTCCGTGTAAGTATGCGTGTAACCCGCATATGACGCCATACGCTCAAGCGCTCTGGACCTCATTATGTCTGGCAGCGAGACATTCTTTTTCATCTCGTTCAGGGATGTGTCTGTTGAGGGCGAGATCAAATACCAGGATGGAGTGCACATATGACCTGATGGCTTCACCCTTTGAATGACAATTTCGTTTTCCCGCACTAAGGCTTGTATACGGGAGCCAAAGGTCACAGCATGCGCACGAGGTGCATGCCGAACAAAAGGCACAGCAGGCCGCGGAAAAACTGCGTTATATGCGGAATGTCACGGGAACTGTTGCAGCTTAAGTGCATAACGCATACCGAACATTTTCCTCCTCGTTGACAACGGCGGCTCGTGCGATTCTACCAAGAGGCTTCGGGCAGGAGATGTATGGAACGCCCCTGTGATGGCACGTATAGCGGTGTGATGGATGATGTCAATGATACGTTTGGCGGATTCACACGCGCTGTCATAAATAAAATATGCAAAGTCCAGCTTAAAGCGTATGATTGTCCGATACAATAGCAAAGGCAAGCATGCTTCGATCTCCTCCATACGATGTACGCGAAACACATTTTAATACGTTAAAAGATTTAAAACAGCGTTCATGTAGTGTCTTAAGATGAATCTTATATGTTAGTCGGCGGTCAAAGTATACCCCAAGGTATCTAGCCACACGCTCAGTTGGAACGCATTGCCTATACAGATGGATAGACAGGTCACCGCATTGCCGGCTACGGCAAAAATGCATGACTACAGTCTTGATTCTTGAAAACCTTAACCCGTTCATGGTAACCCACTTCTCAACACGGTCCACAGCCAACTGGAGTTGGCGCTCCACCGATGGTGCTCTTGCTGCACTAGTCTAAATAGTGAAATCATCAACAAAAAGGGCATGACCTACAAACTGCGGCAGCCCAATCCCGATATCGTTAATCATAACGGCGAACAAAGCTTAACTGAGAACGCCGCCTTGGGGCACACCGTTAATTTGAAGATGCCCCTCAGAGAGCGCGTTCTCAACACGGACACGGAAAGAACGGTCAACTAAAACGTTTTCAAGAAAGGTGCCCATATTGCGGCGTATACCATACCTGTATAGCTTGAGAAAAATCCCCTGACGCCATGTGGTGTCATAGGCGCCATCTACGTCAAAGAACACTTTAAATTCCATAAGAATCGCAGTGTCAAGAACTAAAAGATTGTCCACCGTGCTGCGATTCTCTCTATGACCATACTGGGCGTTTATAAAAACGCCGTGATGTTCCGAAAACCAAGTTAAACGGACATTAACGATCTTCTCCATTAACTTAGAGAGCGAAGAAGTGAGAGAAATGGGTTTATAATGTAGCGAATCTAATCCACTTTAACCCGGTTTTAAAAAGTAACGACCGTAGCTTCTCGCCGAGAGGCTGGAAAGTCACCGCTGGCCCAAAGCACATTAAATACCGCTAAAAGAGCGCGAAGCACGCAAGGCGGCAAATGCTTGAGCATGTCGTTGTGCACACTGTCCGGACATTCCGACACACTGCGAAGCTTGGCAATCGCCCATTCCAACTCGACCAGGGTGAATGGATCATTGTAGGAATGTAGCTTCGCTGCGGTGGGCCAGCGCCCTGGCAATCCCGTTCGCAACAACCAGCGGGCGCGTCACGACCTGTCCGTTCACACATAGTGCCGGAAGAGCCAGGGATGAAAACTGCCCCGATATACGCTTGACACGAGACCAAACCTGCGATGTTGGCGTGAACCGGTTCAGCGTCCCTACGTAAGCATGCCAGGAAGCATGCTTCGCCTCCATTACAGTGCGCCGAGCAAAAGCTCTCACCTTCTTAAAGGCCATCAGGTTTTCTACACTGCTCATGGCGTCAAAAGCCCGAAACGCACGTTTACGCAACCGGATGGCGCTCCGACACTCCTCCGCCCACCACGGAACAGGAGTATGTCGGGGAGCGCCAGACGTGCGTGGGATATAACTGTTGGTGCACTCTAAAAGTCTGTGAGTAAAATCCTCAACAGAGGGTGGCATCCTCTCAGGCTCAGCTACAAGCAATTCTTTAAGCCGAGTTTCAAATTCGCACCAGTCCGCTTTCTTAAAATTCCAGCGTTGTGGCCTAACACCCAACGCGCCACCTCTCTTAAGCCGGACCCACACTGGGAAGTGGTCACTTCCCAAAGAGTCATCTCCTTCACACCACTCGAGGTGTGACGAGCAGAGGATTGGAGAGGCTAAGTCTAGCGCTGACGTCTGACCGGACGGCATTGTAAAACGTGTAGGAGTTCCTGTGTTTAAAATACATAGTGAAGCACCGTGGATAACATTCTCACACAGCCTCCCACGAGTATTGGTGACGTCACACACCCCTGCGGTGTCATACGCGTAAACATCGCTTAGAAGAAGTGGCGGGGCAGTTCAGACCGCAAACATCTAAAGTGCACTAGCGGAGAAGTGATGCCTGGTGGAAGGTAAAGTGAACAAACGGTGATGTGACGATGATTGCAATTAAGCTGCACGGTCACAGCCTGAAGTGTGGACCGCAAGCTTAACCTCCTCGCTGGTACGCTATGATGGACTATGACGCTATGACGCTCCAGACCGAGAGCTACGGCTTAACTACGCGGGGCCGTGCCCCACCCTGGGACGAATCCTTGGGCTCCCTCCGTCAGATGGAGAACGGGGGCAGGCTGGGACACGCTTTACGCCAAAGCACCCAGTCCGGGGTGGAGGCGGGGGAGGGGCCCATCGGTGGGCCTCTACCGGAGTTCGAGGGACCAGTGGAGGCTTCCACCGGCCTCCATGGCGATGGAGTGCTGTTTCGGGGGACGGGTTCTTTGTCTGCCTCGGACAGACGGCCTGCCGCCTTAGTACGCTCCAGTTCGGCCAAACGCGTTCGCTGGGCCTCGCGGGCACGCCTGTCAGCTTTCTGGCGCTCCATCGTCTCTGCTACATGTTCACAGGCACTGACGAGGGGTGTCTGCGATGAGGAGACCAGTGGTGTCTCAGACGAAGGAAAGCCCGACGGCGCGCGAGGACTGCAGCCACGCCGATCCGGCGTCCAACCGTCATTCGTTGGCGCTCCAAGCGGTGCCGAGTAGGCCGGCAGCACGGCGGCCACCGACTGCTCGGTTGGTGGGGAGGGAGCTTGGGGTGCTGGCTGCGAGTCCAGCACGCGTGCTGAGGGTACAACTGACGGGCCAAATGACTTCAGAAGTTCCAGAAACTGAACAGCCGCCATTTGTTCGATCGCATTACTGTGCGGCAACGAAGCTTTCACTTTCAATGGGTACGATATTTTTGGGTGGGTTTCGTTATAAAGCTCTCGAGCCTAACGGAAAGATACGTTTTTAGAAGTTGCAATTGATATGATTTCCTTCCCCTTGGCGTACGCTGGGCATGCATGGTCGTACGACATATGCAGAACCTGGTCCTTACCGCAGTTGACACAGTGGGGTTTGTCAGAAGTGCAGACTTCGCTCATGTGCTCAAGGGATACACATTTGCCACACGCTGCGCGGTTCCGGCAGTGGGGTTTGGTGTGACCAAAGCGCTGGCACTGATAGCACCGCATCGGGTTGGGCACAAACTGCCGAACTTTCACGCGGACATATCCCACACGTATCTCGGACAGTAAGCCAGGGCGACTGAACGTGCGTTTGTGAGGTTGTTGGTGGGCACCACCTCTCCTCCCCTTCTGACAAGGATCCGCCGGGCGGCGGTCACTCCAAACTCGGACAGCTCCTCCACGATCTCTTCCTCGTCAACGTCGCGCGGATAAAATAGTTGACCACGCCCCTGGGCAAATTTTTGGTGTTATGTGGTGTCGCTGACATTGACACTACTTTTCTCCCGCTTACCAGCCCCATCTTGAACACTGTACGAAAATTCAGTTGCTTCCATAGCCCGACTCGCCCCCAAGCCACTACTAGCAAATTCAACTTCTATCTTTTCATGACGGAACTTGTCTCATCTGATAATTTTTTCAAATCTGTCGCAGCGATTTCGTCTCTGAAACGGTGACAGGGACGCTAACCTAATCTCATAGCTTCCGAAGACGAGGATCCGTGGTCCGGGGATAGCAGAGTCTTCTCTGCACCCTTGGGTTATCGTGGTCCGAACCCCTTTCGGAGGACGAGTGTTTTTAAACTTAGAGGAAGTCATGCAAAGTAGGTTTTCTTTCGTATGCGGAAAGGGGGTAATGGGAAGAGAGTGGGTGGGACAGGGAGCGGGAGATCACGTACCGGCAGGGCCGTTACGCCCTGAGAGAAACAGCTTGCGCTGTCCACCTGTTACCGGAGCTAGGGACCCGAGGGGGTGCTAGTTCCCTACACCGGCCGAAGCCGGTGCCCCTGCGGGGACAGGGGACTGCTGACGGGGGACTGCTGACGGGGGACCGCTGACGAGGACCGCTGACGGGGACCGCTGACGGGGGACCGCTGACGAGGACCGCTGACGGGGACCGCTGACGGGGGACCGCTGACGGGGGGACCGCTCACGGGAGACGGCTGACGGGGGACGGCTGACGGGGTGAATGCTGACGGGGGACCGCTGACGGGGTGACTGCTGACGGGGGACGGCTGACGGGGGACGGCTGACGGGGGACCGCTGACGGGGACCGCTGACGGGGGACGGGTGAGGGTGGGGGCTCCAGTCACTAAGACGATATGACAGTGATAAATGACAGCGGGACACGGCGGTGGGAGCACAGTCCCATGTATTCCGCTCGATGGACAGACAGCCGGCGGGGCGTCGGACGGCGCCGACGTGGTCGCTGGGGCGGACAAATTGCGAGCCACAAGGACGGCACAAACCAAGAAACGACGCGCCAGCGCCACAGCCGGCACCGTGCGTCGCTCGCGCTCACTATGCCGAGGTCAGCAGCCGGGCCATCAGGTTCTAACGAGGCGGCCAGCTGTCAACGGACACTATCATCTCCGGCTCACCACGCCGTCAAACAGAGCCGCTGGGGAGGGGAAGGGGGGTCGCTTACGCCGTTAACACGTGTGCGCCGCGGCACGGCAAGCTGGCTGAACAAGTCAGGCCGCCCTGGTACATCACAAACGGTCAACAATAACACCTCGGCGCCAGCTAACATTTCACACGCACACACATACGCGCGTACACACGCACGCACGCACGCATGCACACACACGCACACACGTACGCACGCACGCACGCACACACGCACGCACATGGCAGTAGTGTACAGCATGCAGGTTGGGAACAGGACAAAATTGCACAGACAAAATCGCACGGAGCCGGCGCGCCGTCGCACAGCGCCCGCGTTGCCAGGCCGGCAGTGAGTGACGTCACACATTACCGCCGTGTGACGTCACCGGTCGCGGCGCCTCACCGTTGATCGGCTGACAGTCGGTGGGGTCGCCGTCGGCGACCGCGTAGCCGTTCACACACGAGCAGACGAACGAGCCGATCGTGTTGTTGCACAGCTGGCTGCAGACGTTTCGAGCGCACTCGTTCTCGTCTGCGGCGGACGAGACGGCCGGCGTCAGAGGACGTAGCCGGCGCGGGGCGGCGGCGGCGGCGCGGAGTGGACAAATGTCAGAGATGGCAGCGACCGCGAGCAGCACTCGGCACGAGCATAGACGGGCACCGACTGACGAGAGAGAGCGAGAGAGCGAGAGGGTGAGGGTGAGGGTGAGGGTAAGGGTGAGGGTGAGGGTGAGGGTGAGGGTGATGGTGAGGGTGAGGGTGAGGGTAAGGGTGAGGGTGAGGGTGAGGGTGGGGGCGAGGATGAGGATGAGGATGAGGGTAAGGGTAAGGGTAAGGGTAAGGGTGAGGGTGAGGGAGACGGAGAGGGAGAGAGGGGGAGAGGGAGAGTGAGGGAGAGAGGGAGAGAGGGAAAGTGAGGGAGAGGAAAGAGCTGTTTCGCTCTGAAACTGGTCCAGCCCCGACAATGACACCGCTCCACGACCACAGCCCTACCCACTCCGCTACCCGACACGAGAAAGGCGCCGCCACGACACCGACACCGCTCCGCCGCTGTCGCCGCCGCCGAGCAGTCCTCCGATGGCAGCCGCGGCCGGTCACTGCGTCGGCTCGCTCATCAGACACCCGCACCCTCCAGCCACCAACGCAGCCCCATGCCGCTTCCCCAGGAGACACGCTTGCTCCTTCAGTCCCACTGCAAACCCCTCGCATTCAAGCGCTCAATGGCGGCGAAATATGGGCGGAGTTCTGACATGAGCACCGACACGGCGGCGGCGCCTGCCTGCGGCGGCCCCAGTCGCTGGGACCAGGCCTGCGGCGCCCGCTCCACCCCACCCGGCACGCCCCGGTGGGGTCCGGCCGCGTCCAGTCAACCCAGGCGCGCCTCCGTTGCGCCCTGGGTGACGGCGTCGGCGCGCCGGCGTCCGGGAGGGCCTCAGCGGCTATCAGCGGCGATTTCCCGGGACCGGTCGGAGGGCGGCGAAGCGCGGCGGCCGCCGGCGCCAGACCCTCGGCGCCAGACCCTCGGCGCCGCACGCTCGACGCCGGGGCTGCTGCGGTCGCCTGCCGCTGACCGACACACAGCCGAGCGCAGACGGACGGCGTGGCCGCCCCGGCTAGCCCGCTGCCGGCACTGCGGAGCTAGCATTGTCCTTGCAGTGCGGTGACTGTTGGTTGCGGTGCTCTTGTCGCAGCAAATTCGAACTCAACGGAGGCCTTAAAACGAAATCAAGAGGTACGAACGACCAAACAACACAGCAACGCCGACCCCATTAGCAGCGAGACGCTATGTTCGCGGCTCCGCGAGCCACCCCACCGGGTGGGGCGAGCGGCGTGGAGCCCGGCGCGCCAGCTCCTCCACTGATTCGGAGGCCCAGCGGTTCCGCTATCCAGTGCCTGCCGAGCCGCTGACGGATTTATCGCGTCGGATCGTGCACCACTCGTCGGCCGCTCCTCCATCCCGCCGCCGCCGCGACGAGCCGCGCGGCCGGCAGATCGTGGTGCCAAATATTTACGGCCGTCACTCATCACGCGCCGGAGCGCGAGGGTCGCAGCGCGTCGCCGACCGCTACCGGCGCTCGGCGGCGACCCCGGCGGCGACCGGGGACACGGTCCGTCGACGGCGGACGGCGCCGGCAGCGGAGGCGGCCGGCGCCACAGCCTCGGCCGACCGTCCCCCGGCCCGCCTGACCGGGCGGCCCCGGCCTGCCGCTGGCGGTCGCGCGTCAGGCCGGCGGCGGCCGGGCCCGCTGCGGCTACTGACGGACGGAAACAAAACTTCGTGGCGCCTGGTGAATCACCGTGTAAGATGCGACAAGCGAAATCCCTGCCCGACGGCATTCGGCCAATGCGCACGATGATTTTCCCGCACAACTCTCAAACACAGGTAACACCGTTCTCAAACCAATCCTGAGGACGTTTATGGTCAAATCTTTGGTTATCAGCTACAGCATACCTCCTCAGAGATCGATGCTCTGTCAGTTCACTCACCTGAGACTTCTCCACCCTTCACCCGGGCCCCAGACACCCGCCGCTGTCCCTAGAAGCCGGACGCCAACCGCTGTCCCCGGATCCCAAAAAACCGCCGCTGTGCCCGGACAGCAGATCCGGTCACCGTCGCCCGACCCCCTGCCCGCCGCCGTGCCAGCGCCGGCCGCGGCACGCGTCCCGGCCCGCAGCCTACCGACGCAATCCGTGCCGTTGAATCGAGCGCCGGTCGGGCAGAAGCACAGCGCGCCGTGGCCGCCTGGGTGTGGCTTGCAGCCGTACACACAGCGCTCCTTCTGGCAGCTGTTCCGGTCCTCTGCAACGGAGCGGCCAGCGTCAGCGCCGGCTGCCGACCGGCGGCCAGCCTCGGATCGACTGACGTCACGTGCGTCCCGTCACATGGTGACCACATGGTTGTCTGCCGGGGCGCGATGGTGCGCCGCAGCAAGGTCCGACTCTCGCCGGACAGCTGGGTGGCAGTGTTTTCTTTTGAAGTCAGGCTGCTTGAGACGCACGCGGCGAGACTCGACACGAACCCGTCCCTCACCAGATTAACGCTCGCCGCTGGCTGCGCAACAGTGAAGAGGGCCACTGCTGCTCCAGCCGCATGCTTTCTGGTTATGAATGGACATTAGATCAGTTACAATCTGCCCTCGCACAGCGTGCCGCTGCTCTCATTACACACTATCTGGTTATGAATGGACGCTAGATTAGATTTAGTTTGCAAGATCAGCTCGAATCCGGTCAGCCCCCGCCACATCTGTCCTTGTGTGTGCCAGTGCGCCTGGATGGCTTTGCGCGCGCACGCATTCGCGCGCGGATGAGCACGTGCGTGGGGGGGCGCCTGTTATTCAACACTGCCACGCAAATCCCTACCGACCAGACCGGCCGCCGCGCGCCGCCACGCTCACCACGGCCGCGCCAGCGGAGCGGGCGGCGGCGCGGTTTGCGCGACGGCCCGGCCCGACCTTGGGCGGTCATCAGCGTACCGCAGAAGGCGCCCTCGTCGCTCCAGTCGGGACAGTCGCGCGACTTGTCGCACAGCATGGAGATGGGGCGACAGGTCAGACTGTCGCCGCACTGGAACTCGTTCGGGCCGCACACCCGGGACGACTGGCACACTGCAGGCAGACGGGTCAGGTGAGGTCAGCACACACCTCAAAACTCACACACTGTGAACAGACGGGTCAGGTGATGTCAGCACACACTACACAACTGACACACCGCGGCCAGACGGGTCAGGTGAGGCCAGCGCAGACCACACAACTGACACACTGCGGGCAGACGGGTCAGGTGAGGTCAGCACACACCACAAGACTGGCACACTGAACAGACGGGTCAGGTGAGGTCAGCACACACCACACAACTGACATACTGCGGGGAGAACGGTCAGGTCAGATCAGCACGTCCTGGACGACCAGAGGATGGGTCAGGTCAGCACAGGAGCTGCAGCATGCCCGCATACATTGGTGATAGGTCGGGTAAGCATCCCTCAGACGACGGACACACCGACCAAGTCAGCACGTCCGGACCACCAAGAAACGGGGTCAGGTCAGCAAACTCTCAACCACTAAGAGACTGGTAAGTCCCGAAGTTCACTGCGTAAGGCTCATCACACCTTCAGCACAAACGTTTTCGTTGTCGCTCTGTGAGACTATACAACCACCACTCTCTCCGAATCGGTGGCTTCGAACACACCCCGGACCGCAGTGTCCGGCCGATGGCCGTACCGTGCTTGATTGACGCAAACGTCCATCAATTACCGGCGGGACTGCAGCGAAACACGACAGCCTGCACGGCGGTGGCGTCGCCTTGGGCCGACGAAAAAGGCGCGCTTCGCCTGGAAGCGTCGCCGTTTCGCGCGGAAACATCGCGTGAGCCGACTGATGAGTCACCGGCCAATGGGCGCCAGTGCTTCAGCCTGCAGACCGCACAGGCCCTACCGCATGACACCGTCCGCGCCCGCTCTGTGTTGGCGAGCGCCCGCGTTCGCGCTCTCGGTTCACCGGCGGGACCGGGTGGGCGGTCAGCGGCGGCTCGAGCTTACCGGGGCAGAGGCACCGCCGGGCAGACAGACCGTCCTCAGTCACAAGGATGGCACACCCAGGTAGCCACGACATGAGCGATGGGATGGGGACGGGTCGCTGCTCCCGTCCGGAATGGGGACGGAAGCAGCGACGCCCGCACGACGATGCGAACACAAGGAAGGTGAGCACCAAGGGCAGGGGAAGAGGCGTACGCGAAAAGTCACGGCACCCGTCCAGCCCGCCTGTCCCGGAAAATCGCGCGGCGGGGCAAAGATCACGTTGCCATAAGACGTCCATTCCCATACGAATCCAAACGCTACTGTTTTGCTTAGAGAACGTGCCTTTGTTACCTGGTAATATCACGCGGGCCTAACAACACAGATGACATGAGAAATCGGAACGCCCCCTCAGCTGCCGGGAGGGATCCGTGCTCTGCGTGGCGCACACAGAATCACGCCGCGTTGTTGTTATTGCTGCTGGAGTTTTAGGGCGCGCCGACCACTGTGGTCAGTTTATACCCATAACAGCTTAATAACTACCTACGAGGGCGAATGGCTATATATATATATATATATATATATATATATATATATATATATATATATATATATATATATATATATATATATATATATATATATATATATATATATATATATATCAGAAATGAAAACGGCTGAGTCGTGACCGGAACGCGTCACCAATGACGTCTGCTTACGCGAACCCATAATGGCATGCTGATAATAAATTTTCAGCAGCCTAAAAACTTTCTAAACGAGGTATGAACTATTGAGGCAGGTGCATATACAGTGCAGAACTAAACATGCGATACGAACCTGAGGGTATGTCCCATATACGTTGAGCTGTCACACAGTGAATCAGAGAGCGTCAGGGATGGCGCCGCCTGGCCAAAGTACCTCAGATGCTTCACGCGTAGTATGGGACAGCATACGAGTACATTTTCCACTGTCAGCGTGGCGTTGCAGTGGCGACACCGTGGTAGTTAGTCGCGACATAGTAGGCATCAATATGTAGCATAAGCATGGCCAATCAGCAAGTGACACAGAATAACTTCCCCCTGTCTGGACTTTCGATAGGATGACTGCCATTCCTGAAAAATTGGCTTAATGTTTTTCAGTTTACTGGTGCCCATCGCATCCCATGTGCTCTGCCATTCCCCGCGCAAAAAGGAAGACATGGCGGAGTATAGGTCTATAGCGGGTATTGGAACCGCTCTGCGACAGGACAACGAGAAGCAAGCTTTGCGGCAGTCAGCCAGCTCATTTCCCGCAATGCCAACGTGGCTCGGAATCCAGCAAAGTACTATGGCCTTGCTAACCCAGTACGGATTGTCGAGACGCAGTAGAATATCCTGCATCAGGGGCTTTGCCGGTTTAAACGCATTAATGCCGAAAGGCACTTAGGGAATCCGACAAAAGCACGTGCAGACTGTCTTCGACCAGCTCTATAAAGCAAAGCGCTTTAATGACGGCCACAAGCTCTGCAGTATACACGGACGCATGGGCTGGTAGTGTAAATGATCGCGTATCGGGGCCACATATAAAAGCGGAACCAACACCCGTATCCGTTTTGGAGCCGTCCGTATACGTAATTGTGAACCCCCGATATGTCTTGATATGTTTCAGAGTTGTTGATCTGGCAACATACGGAATCATATTTTGCTTCCGAACCTCGGACAATGAGACGTCGACAGTTGGCGTTACCATCACCCACGGAGCGGTCGCCAGGCTACGTAGGCGTGCCACAACCCGAAAGCTTAAGCCACTCTCATGAAGAACATCACGGCCACGCACACAGAACGGTGCCACACCTGTTGTTTGTTCGCGTTGAAAAACATTAGATGTGGCGCGTGAGAACACAGCGTCATGTGTTGGGTGCTTCCGGAATTGCGCGAGCTTGCAAGCGTACCGCATCCCAAAAAAACCCTTCGGGTAGCCAACGAAGGTTCGTTGGCTTTCACAAGCAAGCTGGCTGTCGGAGACGCACGAAATGCACCAGCAATGATCCTCAACGCAGCATGATGGACCGCATTCAATGTACGTTTTACGGACTCAGAGGCGCTATCGGCGAACAGTGAGTCCAAGGCTAAAAAATGATCAATGGTGCTGCGGTTTTTTTCTGAAGCCACACTCGGCATTCGAGAAGATAGTGCTGCTTTCTAAAAAGCAAGGCAATCGTGTCTGAACCATCCGCTCCAGACGTTTGCACACAGAGCAGGTAAGCGCAATTGGGCGGTAGTCCGGCGGATCCGTCCCACTCTTACCACTCTTTCCGCTGCTTCAGCAGCGGAACTACTAGCGACTCCCGCCAAGACGTCGAGAACTCTCCCGTCTCCCATAACTGGCTGAATGCCACCAACATAGCTTGTGTCGCTGTTGGTGGGAGTCGCCGGAGCATATCATTATGAATGAAATCCGGGCCTTCCGCCACGCTGCGCAGAGTTAATGGCAGACATCAGTTCAAGCATTGTGAAAGGTTTGTTATATGAAAGCTCTTCGATTGCCTGAAAGTCTATCTGGGCTGGTTCGCAACGAGCACGATCCGTATGAAATCGGGAGTGGCAGTTGTTCTTCCACAACGCTCCGTGAACGCACGAGCCATTTCATTCGCCACATCAGATGGGTGCAGTATGTCCTGACCATTCACACGAAGCACGGGGGGCGGCACTGAGGAGTGTTGGCCTGCTATACGCTTCACCCGCGCCCAAACCACCGAAGCCGGCGCTTGACAGCTCAGCTGACCCACATATAAACGCCAAGACGTGCGCTCGGCCTCCAAGATAGTATGTCGGGCTGCCGCCCGAGCTCGTCGAAGAGCAATTAAGTTGCCCGTAATGCTGTGTCGATCAAAGCCTCGAAGGGCTTTTTTACGCGCACGTATAGAGTCACGGCACGGGTCCGTCTACCACGGTACAGGGGGACGACGCGGGACACCCAAATGTACGTAGTATGCTTTCTTCTGCCGATCGTAAGATTGTGGAGATGAGTTCCTCTATCGATGCAGGCACATCCACCGAAACGGAAGCCAACCTGGTTTCCACCCGTGCCTAAAATGCATCCCAGTCAGCCTTTCTAAGATTCCACCGCTGTGGGCTGGAACCGAGAGCTGCTCCGTTCTGGTAACGCAACCAGATGGGGTAGTGATCACTACCAAAGGAGTCGCTTTCAACCGACCATGTCAGGTGTACCGCCAGTTGGGGGCTTGCAAAACTCAAGTCCAGCGCCGATGTCTGACCTGACGGCAGCGTCATGTGAGTTCGGGTCCCGGTGTTTAAAGGACAGATGTTCATCATGTAAAAAAGTTTCGCAATGCCTGCCGCGAGGGTTGGTCTGGGCGCAACCCCAAGGTGTGTGGTGAGCGCTGAAGTCACCCAGCAAAAGAAGAGGCGGGGGAAGCTAGGCCACCAGAAATCTCATTTGTCCTGTCGAAAATGGAGCACCAGGAAGTAAGTAAAGCGAGCAGACGGTTACTCACGACGCCCGAAAAGTACCTTAGCAGCAACAGCTTGCAGGTCAAAGTGTGAGACGACGCGTTGGACGGAGACACTGTGGTGCACAGCCAAAAGAACTCCGCCGTGTGTAACTGAATCAGCTGGCATATCCCGACGCGTTATGGTGTAGCCAGGGATACTTAACTGAGAGTCAGGTGCCAATTTGGCTTCCTGCAGGCAGGCGATGGCCAGGCAGCGCTGATTCAGAATGACTCTGAGATCGTGTAGACTAGTTCTAACGCCCCTGCAGCTCCACTGTAACATACCTGTCATAGAGCTAAGAAGTGAGGGTGGCCACTACAGACCTAGCTCACCGGCACAGCACGCAGAATATCACAGTCAAAACGCCTGCAAGGGGGCGTACTAAAAAGGGGGTCACAGTCACACTTTAAGACGCGACACGGTTCAAAAGAACTGGGCTGCGCCTGTTGCAGGACGGAACACCTCGGTCTGGGAATTACGGCTCGATTCCGTAGGGCGGTGCTCCACTCTGGGCCGATTCCTTGAGCTTCCTCCGTCAGATGGAGACGGAGGACCGGCTGGGGGGCGCTTTGTGCCGACGTGCCCAATCCTAGGTGGTGGAGGGAGAGGATCCATGGATGGGGCCCTGCCAGAAATCTGAGGACCAGCGGGGGCTCCTCTGGTCTTCTGGGCGATGCAGTACTGCTGCGGGGGACGGACTCCTTGCCCGCCCCGGACACACGGTTTGCTTGGTATCGCAGACGCGCCTGTCCACCTCATGCCGCTCCAACTTTTCTATCGCCCACCCGCATGCGTTCGCTAGTGGCGTCGGAGGTGACGAAGGTGGCGGAACACACGAAGCGGAGGCGGACGAGGGTGACGAAGAAACCGACGCGGAGGCCGGTGGAGCCCGCGGGCCACCATCCAACCCTCCACTCCGGCAGGAGACAGCGGCGCCGGGGAGTGGGCAACACGGAGGGTGCCGACCGGCCAGGCGCCGGGGGTGGAGCAGGGGGCTTAGCCCGGACGCCAACGTCCGCTACAGACTGGTCGGCCGGCGAGGAGGGAGTTCGGGCTGCCGGCTGGGAGTCCGGTGTGCGTGCTGAAGGCACAACAGTGAGACCAAACGATCTCAAGAGTCTCACGAACTGAATGGCCATCATCTGCTCGATGACGCTGTTGTGCGGCAAAGCAGTTTCTTACTTTTGATGCATACGAGAGCTTAGGACGACTCGCGTCATATAGGTCTCTGGCCTCTCGGAAAGATATGTTTTTAGGCGTTTTTAGCGAAAGTACCTCCTTTTCTCCGACGAGCGCTGCACACGTACGGTCAAACGCAGTGTGTGGTGTTTGATCTCTACCACAGTTGGCGCAATAAGGCTGGTCAGCGGTGCAGTTGTCACTCAGGTGAGTGGTGGACGAACACTTGCTGCACAGCGGCTTATTGCGACAAGGGGGTTTCGTATGGCCGAACCGTTGCCGTTGCAAACAGCGCATCGGGTTGGAAACAAAAGGACGGACTTTCACGCAGGCATAGCCCACACGGATATCTCACGGTAGAACTGGACGATTGAAAGTGAGAATGATGTTGGTAGCATTCAGTTCTCCTCCTCTCCTGACCAGGATTCTACGCGCGGCGGTTACGCTGAACTCCGAAAGCTCCTCGACGATTTCGCTCTCACTTAAATCACGAAGGTCAAAACAATTTACGACACCTCTAGATGAGTCTTTTGTGCTGTGCGGTGTTACTGTCAAAGCTCCGGTTTTGTCATGTTTCCCGTTCACATCGCGAATACTATAAATGAACTCCTTCGCTTCCAACGCACGCTTCGCCTCCAGATCACTGGCGAACTCTACCTCGATGTTGCCGTCCCTCAGCTTGTCACATCTCGTGATGTCTCCAGACTTGTCACAGCTGTTGCGTCGTTGGAACGGTGACAGGGTGGAACGCTCCACATCTCCGCTGGAGAAGATCAGAATCCAAGGGCAAGGGGGGCCGAATCCCCCTCGCATCCGGGCCTCAGCGCTGTCCGACCTCCTTTCGGGGGCCGGGTGTTTGTTGAGTTTTGATAAGCCGCACGGAGCACCCAACCAAAGCGCGAGCGACAAGCCGCTAGACCCATGTGGGGCCCCACGGGCCCCCCGCGACCCCGGATATCCTGGCCAAAGTGGAGTGTTGGGACGCGCTGTGACTGACCCGCACGACGCGCCCCTCAGCCACCAGGGTCCGCTCAACCCGGGGACGAGGACGAAGGTGCACGGCGACCCCGATAAAACGAGGATTATGAGTGGTGAGTGGACCGGATGTGGGAAATGGAAAATGAGTGGGCGGGACAAGGAGCAGGAGCTCACGTACCGGCAGGATCGCTACGCCCTGAGAGGAACAGGTTGCAATGTCCACCCGTTACCGGAGCTGGGACCTGAGGGGGCGCTAGTCCCCTACACCGTCCGAAACCGATGCCCCTGCGGGGAATCGCACGGCGTCTGGAACACCAGGCGGACGGATCACTCCCAGGGGAGGACCTTCGGGCTGTGTGTATCATCAATCCCCCCCCCCCCTTGACCAAGACGTTCGAACTCTCAACCGCATAGGGGACCTAGCACGCACCACAGCTGCCAACAAAAAATAGAGACCAAGAGGCGCAGTGCCACGACGTCGGTACAGCCGAGCGACCGGCAGCGGCGGCGGCGGTGACGGCGGCGGTCACTCACAGAACTCGTCCTCGTCCGAGGCGTCGATGGCACCGTCGGCCGGCGGGCAGTCCATCTCCTTGTCACAAACCCACGCCTGCGGGATGCAGTAGTCCGAGCCCCGGCAGCGGAAGTGGTCCTGTCCGCACGAGCCTGCAATGGGGCCGCAAGTCAGGCCACGGCGCGACGTCCGGGCACGGGAGTCCGCCATGGAGGTCATCCGAGTGCACAGGGGCCGCGCACACACGCCAACATACACGCACGCACACACGCATCCACGTGCCCTTTTGGCGTGCATTGGGATAATAATGATGTCTTCAGCAATCCATGCGCCGGACAAAATTGTTGAAATACATTTCAGATAACACTTCATCCGGACCATTTGTCATACGATTACATAACAGTTTGCGAATCACTGACGGCATAAATTGCAAACGACGTCCCTACCTCTCATCGGCCTTCATTGCAGTGTATGTGAGACGGGTTCATGGAATTTGAACAGGAGCAAGAGCGCGGGCCGCGGCTATGGTGACGCTTAAACCGACATCTCGTGCAGCAGCGTCATTTGTCTAGACATGGCGGCGTTTCGTTACAGCTACTTGTGTTACCCAATAACTACAAAAATACCCGATTCCCAACAGGTTTAAACTTCGGAGTTCTTGGGGCCAGCTATCAGACGCGCGGATCATGGGCGAAAAAGGAGTTGTGGTCAGCCCAGCGCATACGAGCCAGACCGTCGGCTTCATCGACCGGTAGCGAACAGATCGATGCCATCTGGCGAACCGACCGTCAGCCCCAGCCAACCGACAGTCAGCCCCAGCTTACCGACCGTCAGCCCCAGTCAACCGACCGTCGGCCCCAATCAACCGACCGTCAGCCCCAGACAACCGACCGTCGACTCCAAACACCGGACCGTTGGTCCCAGACCCCCGACCGTCAGCCCCAGACACGGACTGTCGGCCTTGGACCCCCGGCCGTCGGCCCCAGACACGGACCGCCGGCCCCAGACACCGACCGTCAGCCCCAGACACGGACCGTCGGCTCCAGACCCCCGACCGTCAGTCCCAGACACGGACCGTAGGCCTTAGACCGCCGACCGTCAGCCCCAGACACGGACTGTCGGCCCTAGACACCGGGAGCGTCGTGAGCTGCCGGTCGGCCGCCGGAACCTGTCGCCGCCTCACGCTGACGTCCCTGATCCATCACAGCCGCCGCGTGACGGCCGGCCGACGACAGCTCTACCCGGCCCGGCCCAAAACAGGTCATCGGGTGCCGGCGGGGCCCCCTGCAGCCGATGCTGGCCGGGCGCCGCCGATCGCCCAGATCGCGCCAGCTCACGTCACCATGTGGCGGCCGATATGGCCACGTCGGGCGTATCCCACAGGAGATATCCACAGGCAAGCTTTCAGCGTTGCATTTATTCATTTCGTCATTGCATCGATATCCTAGTGTGCAAGGGGATCTCCCGCTCATCTCGTCACCATGTTAAAATCATAATTACTGCGTTGCGCGCGCGCGATAACAAGAGTCACATGGTCGGATCTGATAAATAAGCGCATCAGCAGTTATGTATATATCCTATGGTGCTGCAATAGTCCATCTATGTGCAGCAGTCCACGCAGCACATACTTTTATACATCTGCGCAGCACATCAGGCGCATCAAACCTACACATAGGTGTTATAGGTGCTGTTCAGAAGCCATATAAAGTTCCTCTTCCAACGTGTAAGCTCCGTTCGAACAGCAGGCGTTGGACTCACGTGAGTAGCCTGCCATAAAGAATGCACATCACGCCGGCCCAACGATTACATTATCATAATCGTAAGAGCATCAAGCACGAACGTGGACTTGCATATGGACCTGATCACATTGTAGTCGGACATTTGCTGTCGACGATGGTTGGACAGAGAGATGAAGCTGATTTACTTCTGCGGGGCGTGTGAATCTTTTACATGGGCGTGCAAAGACGACTGACTTCATAAGGGGCGTGTCATTTGTAAAGTGCAGTGCGCATGCAAGCTGGACAATATCTGTTCGGAATGGAAGACCAGATTTCCCCCAAACTTGGGAGTATGACATTTTGTCGTTTAGAGGGGAGCTTTCGACGACTTAGGCTCCGCAACGAGGGCTAAATAAACACAAGGTCACCGGAGCAGATATGAGCTACACCCATGGCGTAGCTCCGTCACTGCATGCATGCATGCAGTGACGGGAACAGGACGGTTCACATCTGCATTCAGGCTGGTGATCTGTGTTGAGCGTGTAACACCATGCACGTGTTTGCGGACAGTGCCCCAGACTCGGGAAGGACAATCAGCTGAATCTCAGCAGCACGCCACCTGCACCGGCGACATCAACCGGCGACGGGAAACAAAACTGAGAGGAGGTTGGCAGAGCTGGCGGCGACACGGGGCGGTGACGGACGAGGATCTGGAAGCAGAGGGGGGCGGCAGGAGGAGGGGGGGGGGTCAATAAGAGACGGTGAGACGGCGGGGCGCTTAGTCAACACGGCGCGGAGACCAAGCGACGGGCTTTGGGTGAAAGGCAAGAGGGGCAGGGAAAGAGAGAGGGGGATGAGAACGCCGTGGTGGAAAAGTGCGGATTTGTGGCCATCCTTGATCAGCTTTCAGCTGATCGCGGTCAGTCAATATCTCAGCACCTCACAATCCAGTCACAAGGCCACGACGAACAGGAGCAGTGATTGCGCCGTAAAGCTTGTACGCTTTCCGAGTGGGCAACACCCACCTCCCTCAACTAACCAAGACCACACACGTTCGCTGGTTTTGGGCGCAGACGCATCGACCGTCTCTATGCAGGCAAAACCAGCCACAAGAGCAATGATTCCGACGGTTGTCTGCCGCACTACCCGCAGAAATGCCACAGGCGACCTTTAAAGTGTCGGTGGTCCAGTGCGCCCAGTCCCATATCATCCCGCGTATGATAAAAAACAAACAGAAACCGTTGTTACATGTCACACATCGGACAGAGACCACCAGCAGGCGAGTCATAGCGCAGCCAGCACATGGTGACAAGTGTCCGTCCCAGATCCACTTAATGCGAGTGAAGCCCACCGGAACAGCAGCCCAGCGTGCCAGTCTCCTGCAGCAGGAACGCCCCAACTCGGGACACCTTCCGTAAAATCCTAGCGGGGCTGTGGCGGCATAAATGCATGCAGAACGCAAAAGAGTTCTGAAGAACGCTATAAGCTGAGACCACAACTAGCCACAGGTCGCACTTTGCTTCGCACAACGACACGCAATACACGGCATAACCGTCGCGTCACCCCGGAGTCCAGATCACCAGCCAGAGCAGCGTGGTTGTGGCCGGCCGGCGGCGCCGTCTTTGACAGAACGGCGAGACCATCGCCGCGTCCCGAACCGAGTGGAGCACGGGTGCGGCTACACCGCGTCACATCAGCCGATCAGCTGCCGGCGGCTCAGCGGGGCCGAGGCTGCAGCAGGGCCGCCTCCATCGGCGAGACGCCGGCCTGGGCTTTCGGATGAGCGGCACACCTCGGCCGCAGGCAGCAGGACAGCGCTCGCCGACCGGTCCGGGGCGATCTGACCAAGGCACGGTCTGTCACGGACGCCAGGCAGCGACTGCTGAGGTCAACGAGCAGATGGGGGTCTGCCTTCTCCCACGTCTGGCTATCGTTGACGGAGCACGTGGTACATGGGTCTGCTGATGACTCCTACGATCCATGCTGAGTATGATGGCAAGATTCGCCTGCCATTATCTAGGACCTCTCGTTGCGCTCTGTCGGTGAGTTTGCATTCCCATTGACACTCCTGATCGTAGACATCGTCGGCAATCTGAGCGGTTGGCCGTGAGTTGGGCCGGACTTGTCTCCACCGGCGGTGAGACGAACGTTCCCAGCGCCGCCTCGATGCAACAGTAACGCCGTGGACTGGGCCGGACTCGTCTCCAATAGCGGTGAGACGAACGTTCCCAGCGCCGACTCGATGCAACAGTAACGCCGTGGACTGGGCCGGACTCGTCTCCAATGACGGCGAGACGAACGTTCCCAGCGCCGCCTCGATGCAACAGTAACGCCGTGCACGCTTGCGCCACCGCTAATAGGCTTATCCTGTTAAACGTGTCGTCTCTGCAGCGGTGATCATAAACAAGTCGTCGGCCGCGTTGTCCACCAGCGTTTAGTGGAGCGGCACCGCCACCCGGTGGAGAGCCCGAATGACCAACCCGGTTCCCGGCATCCCGGCTCGGGTCACAAAACGACCCATTCTTCCCGGAAAACGGCCCACGTGATAAGTGGCGTTTACTCGTCGTGTGTAACAACTCAAGGCGTTCTTTTCAGAATTCAGCTGTTTTGCAACGCTCCGCATCGCAGCTGCTAAGAAACATGGATAAACGTGAGAACAAGCCGCCCAACGACATGGACTGCGCCCCCAGTTCAAGCAGTCATCATTGTTTTCACAAACAATATCAATCAATCATTGTTGTGACCCCTCCCCCCCCCCCCCACGCACACACACACCATCTCCCCCGCCCGCTATGGGCGGGATGTTGTCCAGCCGGCCAGGGCCGCCTTCCGCCGGTGCCGGGCCGGGCCGGGACCAGGCTCCTCTGGTGCTGGGCCGGGCCGCGACCAGACTCCTCTGGTGACCCGCCACAGACGGGGGTGAGTTCACCGCGACCCGGCCCCCACCGAGCCCAGTGCAGTGATGCCCCCTGTTCCTCGCGCGAGACGACGCGAGGACGGCCGCCCCGTGGCACGCCTCTAGACTGCAGTTCCGCTGACAGCCGGCTGCTGACCCGACGACAGCATTCAATCCTGGCCGCAGCACCGGCGACCGCCCACCAAACAATCAACATCGGCCCGGCCAGAGTACGGCGCACTGGCGACCGCAGCCGGCCGCCATCGCCGGCTGGCAGCGACCCGCCGAGGCCGTCCGGCACGCACCGCTCGTCCCCGACGAGGCGCCGGCCGCGCCGCAACTGGCCCAATCGGCGCGACGCACGGCCGCGGCACACGGCTGGGCCGAAACAGCGGGCGCGCGCGTGATCGACGCGCGGGTGCTGCCGGCGGCCGGGGCGGGGGTCGCTCACCCTGCTGGCGTCCGACCCAAGCCGGGCCGGCCGGGACGGTGGCGACACGGCCGGCCGTCCGCCGCTGGTGACGGTGCCGCTGCCGGC